GCAGCTGGAGAGGCCCATATGCTGACGGGCCTAGATACGCTGTGCGACGTCTGGCGGAACCTTGGAAAGTCCATTGTCGCAAACATTGCCGCAGCTCCAAAGCCACCCCAGGCATGCCAATCGCAGACTGCGTGTGCCGGTGGCTTGCGTCTTGCATGCCGCGAATGACGGGCTGGATGTAACGGCAGAAGGTGAGGTAGTGTGTGGGGTGGCCGTCGAGCTTTTTTGCCGTCGTTGAAGGAAGAGCAGGCTTAGATTGGACGACTCGTCACATAAGGGCGCGAGTTGAAGATGCACTATTCCGCGGCAGAGGACCCACGTGTAGCTGACAGGGTTATGCCCACTTCCAAAAAGACGACCCAGAGAATCGGCATGGAACAAGAAGAGCAGGAGGCCGACTTTCAAACGCTCCGTGACCTCTCTCCACCAGAGTGTCTCGTGAATTTTACGCTTTCTGGCACGTCGCCGACAACATCTCCAATGGGTCTTCTCTGTCTGTCTGGGAAGGAACGACTACTGCTGCTGACATTGAGTAAGCCCAGAATAAAACTGGAGTCTACTGCCAGATGCATCATGTGCAACTGCAGTCTATCCCTGCAAGATCCTCCAGTGTCATGTTCCTCGCATCAACGTCATTTCTACCTGCCTCCCATAAACACTACCGATCGTCTCCGCATGTATCTATCATGCGGATCAGCTGTCGAGTCGTCGCAAGTGAAACGTCAAGATTCAGGCTACTTGGACTGGGCACAATCCTGTACGGCACGTAGTCATGGAGTTTCCAAGGCAAGGCTGTGAGACATTTTGAGCTTTCATAGTTCCTTCCGTATTGACCGAGAGACGTTGTTCCTGCCTGAAACGGCAACCTCATCTCCGAGCTGTTCGGTGGACCATTGATCCTGGGCACGCAGCTGCTCGGGGTTTGGCCATCGGTGCCTGCTTTCTGGGTCGCCAACCTGTAGCCATTCGCAGATGGCGACCAGATAACCTGCTTGTAGCCACTTGGAAAACAATCTAGACACGACACCACGCAACGGTCCGCCCTTGGTGTTGACCGCTAGACCGCTGCCGGGATGACCTAGAGGTGTACCCCGACACAATGCGACTGCACATCCCGGGTCCGATAGTCGATAGTGGTCTTGAATCATCAAACACCATCTTGGATGATCCTTACGTCTGCACAACAATCCTTTATGACCAATGTTTTTTTCTGTTTACCTATGGGTCCATGTGCATTTGTTTACTATATACGAGCTGCAGCAACTGGGCGACTTGTTCAGATATCCTGACATGAGGAACATGAATCCCAAATGTCGTAACAGATAGCACCCGTTGTAAGATGGAGGTCCGCCTGATGTGTATACATCCATAGTCCACGATATGCAGGGTCTCCAACTCTGCCGCAGCCACGCATGCCACGCAATAACGAAACCAGGCACACGTCCGTCTGGATATCCAGTACGATCAGCAACGACTCTCCCCGTCCCGAAAGCAGGCGCACGCCATTTCGGTTTCTGTACCCTCCCTTCTTCAACTCAGTCTCCACGCAGCCTATATCAAGCTATATCAAGCTAAGCTGTTCACTCATCACAACTCCTTCGACGCTCCGCGGAAGCAGCGACAAGGAGATCATCACCCGTCTACGCCCTATCCAGACATAGCTGGACGCTATTTATCGTGGGTTTGGCGGCTGCCTGTGAAAAGGCGTACGCCATCATCAAAAGGTGTGTGCACTGATATACATCTGCGTTGACCTCCTTCTGGCCAGTTCGCCCACATCGTATGATTACTACGGTTGTGGCGGCCGCCCGCCCCGGCTATCATTACTCCTGCTACACGGTTCGGGTCAGCACCACACGTTCCAGAACGAAACACTCGTCCTGTGCTTCTTCGCCGTTTACCGTAAACGTTCCGCCGTATACACCCATCCGTACGGCCGCGAGGCCAGACGGTTCGGACATTTCGGACTACTAGGACCGAATATTGGCCGGCACGACGCGTTCCGTAACGTTTGGGCGACTCTTCGCACCCAGGGCGGTTGGTTGGCATCTATATCACCTCAACTAATCCACCAAGGTACGTGTGCATGACACGAGGCAGGCTTATGTGAATGATTATGCATCCATATATGCATTCGTTGTAAACGCAAGTCGGAGAAGTGATGTGCCGAAACAAGATCCTTTGTCATTATTGCTGCCTGCCCGGCTGTCTTGAGCACAAGCGTAGCAGTTCGTCATGTCTGCCCGGTGTAGCTTCGAAGACTAGATCACTCCCCCATCTCGTTCTACCGCATATACAGTGAGAGATTCGTAGCAAGTCGTTGAGATGCTGCCCGCCAGAAAAACAGTCGAAATTCCATCCCTTTTCCCCTGAGATGCCGTGATGCCAAATATGCCAAGATCCAAGTAATACATTGCGGACGCCATGAACGCTCCAGTTTGCAGGAAATAGAGAAAACAGCCTGACCCGATAGTCCTTCGTATCCAATAGTTCGGGTAGAGTAGCCAATCATGTAAGAAAGGGGTATATGTGAAGAAATGAGCGAAGCCCTCATGGTGAAGAGCCGAACATCACCTGCTGCAAGTGAGAATTGATCAAGCGGCTGCTTGCGGCACCGAAGGCGTAGCAGCATCTGAGGTGGCATCGGTTTCCTTGACCGTTTCATGCACGCCCTCTCCTCTACAGAGTGGACAAGAGTTGCGTCCAGTTGTCAGCCACTAAAGTAAGTTAGCATGCGCAATGCTACGAATCAAGCTAGCAACTCACCTGATCAATACAGATTTTGTGGAACATGTGTTCGCACTTGACTAGCTTCCGCGCCTCCTCGTCCACTTCGAAATCACACAGGCAGACGAGACAGCGCGCACCGGCAACAAGGTTGATTGTCTCTTGACCCTCAACAGCTTCAGCTACAAGAGCACCGGCATCACCACGTATCCTGAAAAGGCCTGGAGCCGAAGCTACATCCTCCTCACTCGCGACGGGTGGTTTGGCGGGTCCGAGTATAGATGAGAGTAACATCATATCTTCGTAAGTGGGCGAGTCGGTGAACAGGCTGGGAGTGGTAAGAATTGGGTGGTTTTCAGGATAGCTCCCACCTAGCACATAGATGATCCAGCTCCGTGAACCCTCCCCAGGATTGTTGTCTGGCTCCACGACGCCTCTTCTGCGAGGTGCACCTGAGCCGTATCTTGTGAAGTCCGACTCGCTCAAGCGCCGTGGCCGAGCGTTCCGGGTATGTGTTTGTGGTTCTTCCGCGGTGGGCTCGAGAGTCGAACCAGCAGCCCTGCGGACGAAGCTGTTCCGCCGCGAGGGTGCTGAGGATTGTGTGGTCGGTGAAGAGGGCGAGGTAGAAGTTGCAGGGGTCGTTGCGCCTGACGGACCAGCTGAGAAGTTCAGCGTCGTAGCTGGCGTAGAGGGTGGGGGGAGGGGCCCTGGAGGCGAGTCGGTGACGGATGACCATGGACGAGAGCGCTCTTGTGTCGTCCCACGGTGGTGTCTTTGGCTGTCGTAATTCGAAGGAAAGTTGAAGCCGCCCATCGAGGCTCGTCTTCTGTGGCTGAAGCGGGTCCCGTTCTGCGGTGGCTGTAGAATGTTCGCATTGGTATCGCCTGGTGACGTGGGAGGTGTGGGGAAGCTTGAGAGGGCGTCGAGGAAGGGCGGTATGCTGGCATCCTCTTGTCCCGTACCGCTTCCGGGCTGTATAGATCTGATGCCCACAATGATTATCGGCACCATCCTGCCTTCGCCATCTTCCTCTCCTTCTGTTCCACCGTTCCCTGATGAACTGCCGCCGCGCCCAGTAGTGTCGTTCCTTGCGTTGTCGGTACTGGTGCCAAACCTGAACATTCTGAAGAAATTGAGGGGCGCCTGTGCGGCTCCGGGATTGTCGCCACCTTGGCCATCCTCGTTGCCTCTTAGCGCCGATGCTATGCTGCCGTTCTGCAGTGACTGTAGGAACGTGTCGAATGTACCGTCTCGGGTTGCTGCTTGGTTGTCGTCGCCAACCAACGAGGCTGCTGTGGCAGCTGCAGCCAGCGATAACAGCCTTGACAGCACATCGGCCTGGTCCTCGCCTTGCCTCAGCTGCTGCACATTGTCCATGTTCTCTCCATCCTGCCAGAGCGATCGTCTCCTCCGCGGGTGTCCTATCATGTTGCGTAGTCGGCGCTGCGAGGGAATGATGCTGAGGGCGCGTCCATCCCGTCGCAATGGGCTCAAGGGAACCAGCGGTCGCTGTCTATGTCCGTCTGGCCGCTCGGCTTGTGAGTTGGTCCGCAGCAGCTGGTCAAAGTCTAGTCCTAGTTCTGGGACCTGCACGCGTGGAAGGAAGGGCCCTCGGTCGCTCGCCGTATGCCTCAGAGCAGCGCGGCTTGGCACGGTGTTGTTGGGCGTACTCGGTGCCGCGAAGCCGCTCGTGGGCTCGGTGTTGCGGGCAGGCAGCGGCGGTCGTCTCGACAGCAGGCCCGTCATGGAACTGAGCGACGAGCGCGCCCGGTGCAGCCGCGACCGCGAGCGACTGGGGACCGGGGCATCTTCGGGCGCTGACGAGCCAGCATCGTGGCGCCCAAAGTGAGAGGAGAGGCGGTTGGAGATTCTTGTGGTACTGGGGCGGGATCGCGAGGGCGTGTCCGGGGCTCTATGCAGCAACTCTGGCACCGTGTCGTCGTTAGGCTGGGACGAGGCCAGTAACCCAGGCGCCCATGACAGCGGCCGCGATCGCCGCCGTGTTTGCGCATCCGCAGCGCCCGTCGAGTTTGCCTGGCCCATGTTGTGAGGCCGTCCGGCGAGGAAGGCGCGCCTCGAGAATAGAAACGGTCGGAGAGGGTGTCGTCGGGTCGATGTGTCTTCGGTCAGAGCGACGAGGTCCAGCGGCGGCAGAGCGGTGATGTATGGCGCAGCCGAGCCTTCCCAATCAGTCACGGCGCTAACGGCATGGGGCTACCGTTGTCGATTGCTCTTGCCTCAAGTCTATTACTGAAACTGCTCGCCGCACCTTTATTCTACAGACTCCAATTTCCCATTCCCTTCGCGCAGTGTGTGCGTGGCCGCTACCGCTGCATAGCCTCACCGCTGCATCCCGGGCCTACTAAGCAGGGGCCGTTGCAGCTCAGACAGCCGCATGAGCGTGCAGTCCTGCGTCATCACCAACCATGCAGCACTTCACCACGCAGTTGCGTGATGAGCAGAACAGGACACGCTCGCTGCGCGCGAGTCATTATCGCAAGTCGAGAAGAAATAAAGAGAAAAGGAAACAAGACGAATCGCTTTTCGACCTACAAGGAGAGGACGAAACGCAGCCAGACGCCACAGTCCAATCGTACACCTCGTCTACCGCGCCTGGCATAGCTCAGCTGCGTGTCGCAGGCCTATTGCCCAGCCAAGAGAACGAGGTCCCTCCAGCACCCTTCCCCCATGCGCCTGCGAGCGTGTCCAAACCACATCATGTCCCTGCTAAAGTCCAAGAGGAAATGGCCAGGCCGCCTTCACGCCTCTACGCCGTCAACGCCACCTCTAAAAGCGGTGTCGTTCAAGGCCAACCAGAGGCGCAGAAGAGGGCGCACCTTGACTCTTTGTCCACGCTGATGCATTGCTGTCTGCTCAAGGGAGATTACGAGCGTGCGGGGAGAGCGTGGGGCATGATCTTGCGGACGCAGGTAGCTGGTGGGCGCCCGGTAGATCCGCGTAACCACGGACGTTGGGGCATTGGTGCTGAAATAGCCCTGCGTCGTGGATCACAAACGCTGAATGAGCACAGATTCTCTGAACAGGGCTTTGAGCTTGCTCGTGAATATTACAATCGTCTGATCATACAACACCCGAATCGGAAACTGCAGCCTCATGCTGTCGATGAGAGAACCTTCTACCCGCCCATGTTCTCACTGTGGATTTACGAGGTTTGCGAAAAGAGCAAGCGCGCAAGAACGGAGTTGCGTGATGACATCGCGAATCAAACACGCTCTTCTCGAAGTGTGTCGGTCGACAGTAACCTCAGTAAGAGGTCAGACGGTCTCTCTGCGAAAGAAGAGGCGATCCAAATGGAAGAACTTACCCAAGCCCTGGAGATTGCAGAACGCCTCGATCAGGTCATCATGTCACCACCCTTTGACAGACAGCCAAGTCTTCTAGAACTCCGCGGCAATGTCGCCTTGTGGATAAGTGATCTCACCATGGGAAAGATGGGCTCAGATGAGGACTGGGATATGGATCTACCTAGATACTCAAGTTCAGTCTCAGACCAGCTGAAGCGACTTGGAAGGGCTCATCAGGAGCTACTAGCAGCACAAGCGTTCTTCGAGCGAGCTGCAACCAATGGTGGTGAAGCTGCAACCCTGTCCAGTATCAACGCAAAACGCAGAAATCTAGTGAAGATCATGGAGCAGTTGCACGCTGCTGGGTAAGGCCGGTAATCAGCTTCACCGACTACGTTGTTTGAAGACTTTCGCCAACTGGACACTACACCAAGCCTTTGGTGGCTGAACAAATTTTGCTTTTTTGCCATATACCCATTCACGACTTAGAAGCCTCTACAATACATGAAAAGATACCAAATGATATCATGTAGTAGGTGAAAACTTTTCTACCTATTTTCTTAGTCTACTCCGGCTCTTTTGTAGAAACTGTTACACATGCGTCAAGGACTCGACAAATGAGAGAATTTAGTCAAACCCTCTGGACGCCAAACCCTTCTGGAATCCTACGTATGCAGGCACAAGTTGTGGCGTAAGAGGCGGCAGGGAAAAAGAACGATAAGCAATGTTTGCTATGTACCAACCACATCTGTTTTCGTCTGGCAAGTTCCGGGTGTAGAAAAACAAACACAGCCGATCTCTTGTACCAGAACGATCAATTGTCACGCAGTAGGTAATTAAGCATGATGTGTCATACTGAAGTGTACAAAGAAGTTTATCTATTTTGAGTCGGTGCGACGGAGATGAAGAAGTTGAATGTGTGTTATATTTCATTTTCTACATTTGATGCTATGCACATTGATTGAGAAGAGAAAAGAAGTTCAAAAATAACCAGAATCACAATAACACCAAATGATGCCCATGAAGATACAAAGTCGATTTACACCCTTCACACCGCTGATACACCGCCTATCCAGGGGATGGACCTACGGTTCAACTTTGGGACAATAAGGAGCTTACCGAAGCCATCAGCACTGAGGCAAGTTACAGACCTTGCGCACGTTCTGAGGCGCGAAGGTCTGGGGTCCACCAGTGCAGACGCGCTTGTCGCCCTCGTTGTGACACTCAAGCGAGTCGACTTTGATCGCATTGCCGGATAGCCACTGGTTGCTGTTGTACTGTTAGTTGTTGCTTGTGAGGTGACAATATTAGTAGACTTACCCTGAGCAGGTCCAGGAATGGGTGATCTGGTAGTAGGCTTCATCTTGAGGTCCACGAAGGTCGAATAGAAGACGACGGTTAGCGACCTGACACTCGTTGCTGTTGGGTACAGAGGTTCCAGAGCCACTGCAGTGAGCGCCGGCCTGGACTGGGTCGTCGATGGTGCTGCCGGTGGGGAAGACAGACTTGAACGTAAAATCAACGCTTCCAGAGGTCGGAGAAGTGACTAGCTTGTAGTCTGAGATGGTGTAGGAGGTGGGAACGCAGCCTTCCTCGCCACGGCCGTTCATAGTAGTAGGAGCGGCCACGGCAGCAGCGGCGAACACTACCGGGAGTATATTCGAGAAGTACATCTTGATTTTGTGATGTTGGTTGTAGACAAAAGTGGAACTTCGTGTCGATGAGGCTAGGAAGTGTGGTGACTGTTGGTCGCACTGGAAAGATAATATCAGGTTAAGTTGGGAAGTTGGAAATTACTTGATTGAGATGATGAGAAGGTAGAATCAGGAATAGGTTCTAGAAATATATGCTCGAAACAAGCGCGTAAGCACACAGTCAAGAGTCACTGTCCGCGTACTGTTGGAGGGGTCAGCGGAGGCAAACGGGTAAGTGGGCAATAGAAACTTGCTCAATCAGACGCACGAAGAGCAGGTGAAAAGTAGTGAGCGAACTGTGGCTGTACAAAGCTAACATGACCAGTCCGTGAGGTCAATCAAGGTGGCCTTGCGGCTGATGGCGCGATTGGACAGGCCTTGGTATAAGCTGAGCCCAGGTGTTGGGTTGTACAACCAATACGTGAGCGATATATCAAGGGACTGGTATTGAAGACAAAGCGGCTATTACAGAGCTTGTATCAAATGTCTCTGTTGGGAATACACAACACCTCATCCTATAGCGAATCCTTTGTGTAGTAAAGTTGGACTCGAGTTAGCCTTGACACCCTGGGTCCCGAGTACCCCTTGAGCTCTTAGCCTCTCTGAACGTTCTCGTGGTTGGAAGTATAGTTATGTTTGAACGTCCAATCGGGCGCGTGAGCGTCGTGAACATGCAGACAAAGGCGACGGCGGCAGACAGATGGTGAGAGCTAATGAGGTACGCCCAAGACATCTGCGAACGTGACATTATCATCAGACATATTACGGGGCGATAAACCTTTCTGTTGCAGATGCTTGATGCGAATCTTTTCTAAATCATGATAGGAAGCATCCTTCCTCAATGTAAAGAATCTTGAGCAGTGAATAGTGATGGTAGGTGTTTAGGCAGGCGCAATAGTGCGTCATTGGCTGGGAAGCGAAAGACCAGCATGACACTCCCGCGGGGAGCATCGTCATTTCACATGAGCAAGTTGACTGCACTCCAACACAATGGACATCACGCCAATATTTAACCAGGTGCTCGCGAAGCACGATGCGCGTCCGATTGAGCCTCCCGTGTTTCGCGTCGAAGCCCTCGACGGCTTTGTAAAAGAGGCATACCGCATTGTAGGCCACGTTGCGCGCGTGAACCTGAAGGTGAAAGCTAACAGCCACAGCGAGGTCACATTGCAAAGCTTCACACAGACTTGAAGTCGATACGACAGAGCTATCTCTCGACGGCACATGCCCCCCGCCGGAAGCAGTACGCGCGAGCAGGCGCAGCATCGGCCTCTGCAGACAAAGATGCCAAATACCTTAGCGACACGCAGCGCAACGAGATCGACGCCCAGGCCAAACTATCGATACATCAGCTGAAGGATGCGATTGAGAAGCTAGGGGCTGCTGAACAGGTGAGGCAGGAGACCCAGACGCAGGTCGCTCTGAAGAAGCGCGCAAAGCAGGGCCTCGGTGCGCTTGGACGATGGGCAGCAGGCGGGGCAATCACAGCGAAGAGCGTCGAGGAGGAGATTGAAGAGGCCAAGGCGAACACGATCAGGGAACACCGAAAGGGCATATTGTGGACGTTGGATTTTCAGTTGGAGCAGTGCGTCCTGTTCCAGACGGACATGATGGAAATCAGACACATGCGGGAGGTGGAGAAGAGCAAGAGCGTGTTGTACAAGACGAGGGCTACAGGGCCAGCCAGCAGCGATTATAGTGGCATGGACGAGAGCCACAATGCTGGGAACAAGGCTGGGGACTATCGGGCCAAGTCGACTTATAACCCGGATGAGTCGAGCGCGGTGATTGAGAATCAGCTGGACCCAGAGCAGCTCCAGCTGTTTGCGCAGGAGAACCAGGACATGCTCAAGCAGTACGAGGACCAGCTCGACAAAGTCCGGTATGTGCTACGACACCCTCGTCTTGAACAGCTACTGACACCGGCAGTGCAACCGAAAAGTCGCTCATGGAGATCTCGGAGCTGCACTCGACGCTCGCGTCCAACCTCAGCATGCAGGAGACGCACATCAACCAGCTCATTGAAGACTCGTTCAATACAACGGAGAACGTTGGGAGTGGAAACAAGGAGCTCAAGCGCGCGACGGAGCGGGGCAGTACGGCGCAGAAGCTGTTCTGGGCTACAAGCATCTTCTGCACGACGCTTGTTGTGTGGGACTTGTTCATATGAGAGTGGAACAAGGTGCGGTGGTGTTCTTGGTAGATACCCAACATGTGAATATATCGCGCTACGTCCGTCAGTATCCGGGGCGCTCTGAGTGGACCAAGTTTCCAGAAGCAGCAATGGCAGCCATGTGGGGTCGGCATACTTGAACCAGCAGCCAGCCTGCAGGCCATGCAGACCCACAACGGTTCGTAGCTAGCTACAGCGGTAGCAAGTTTACTCATCTGAAAGAAGTCGTGATGGTGACTGCCCTGCATGTGAGAAGGGCTGTACAGCTGACATCATTGCGGAAGCGGCAGCTTGTGCCTCGGCTTGCTTGCTCACACGACCCTGCGGCATACCTTCCGAGCTTCACCTCTATATAATGCGCTGGTCGGATGCGATGCCGTCGCCATGTCAGCCAACTTTTGTTCTACTGCATCGTCTCGAACCGGCCTCCCGGTTCTCCGCATCTCGCCTTCCAAAAGAAAACTGCGGGGTTAAGCGTGGGCTGGACACGGCTTCCCATAGTTAGGCGGCGGCAGCGGTGAAACGTAAACGTGGGAGAGCTCATACGCCGTAATCATCATGCCAGACTCACCTGTCCTCAAACCACTCACCTCCTCCCTCTCCCTCTCCACTACTTCCACCCAGACTTCTTCCCAGACCCGACTCAACCAGATCTCCTCGCACATCGAACCAATGGCTGCTACCGCTTTCGACGCGAATGTCGTCCCCCAGGCGCCCGAAGACCCGCTGTTCGGGCTGATGGCTGCCTTCCGCCGCGACGAGGACCCCAACAAGGTCGACCTGGGCATTGGAGCCTACCGAGACGACAATGCAAAGCCCTGGATCCTGCCCGTCGTCAAGAAGGTGCGCCCACCACGCCTTCCTCTTGTCCTGACTTACCCGCGACTGACCATGCACAGGCCGATGACAGACTCCGCGACGACCCCAACCTCAACCACGAGTACCTCCCCATCGCCGGTCTCGCAGAGTTCACAACCGCCTCCCAGAAGCTAGTCCTCGGCGGTGACAGCCCCGCCATCAAGGAGAAGCGGGTAGGCACATCACTCCACCACGTCATGACTTGAGCTCACACCACACAGGTCGCCAGCTTGCAAACCATCTCCGGTACCGGTGCCGTCCACCTGGGCGCCCTCTTCCTCGCCAAGTTCTACAAGACCAAGAGCCAGCGAACCGCCTACTTCTCAGACCCCACATGGGCGAACCACTTCCAGATCTTCTCCAATGTCGGCCTCGAACACAAGACATACCCCTACTTCTCCAAGAAGACAAAGGGCCTCGACTTTGATGGCATGATCAATGCTCTGCAGGATGCCGCCGAGGGTAGCATCATCGTACTGCACGCGTGCGCCCACAACCCCACCGGTGTCGACGCTACGCAGGAGCAGTGGAAGAAGATTGCCGACGTGATCAAGTCGAAGAAGCACTTCCCCTTCTTCGACACAGCATACCAGGGCTTTGCTTCCGGCGATCTCGCAACCGACGGCTGGGCAATCCGCTACTTTGTCGAGCAAGGCTTCGAGCTCTGCATCGCGCAGTCATATGCGAAGAACTTCGGCCTGTACGGCGAGCGAGCAGGCTGCTTCCACTTCGTCACCTCTCCTTCATCCGATGCCGAAAACACCATCAAGCGCATCGCCTCGCAGCTCGCCATCCTCCAGCGCTCTGAGATCTCAAATCCTCCCGCCTACGGCGCCCGTATCGCCTCGACCGTCCTCAACGATCCCCAACTCTTTGCTGAGTGGGAAGACAACCTCCGTACAATGTCTGGCCGTATAAAGGAGATGCGCAAGGCGCTTCGCGGCAAGCTCGAGGACATGGGCACACCAGGTACATGGAACCACATCACAGAGCAGATCGGCATGTTCAGCTTTACTGGCTTGACAGAGCAGCAAGTGCTGAAGATCCGGGAAGACTCGCATGTATACATGACCAAGAATGGTCGCATCTCCATGGCTGGTCTGAACACGCACAACATTGACTACTTTGCCAAGGCTGTTGACAAGGTCGTGCGGGAGACGCAGTAGATAGCAACCTGTGAAGGTTCTTCGGTAATCTGACCGGCTAAGACACGGCGGGTACCGGGAATGTGTTACGAATATACGAGATAGAAGAGCTAGCATAGACTAAATCCTCACCTCATTCAGAGACTTGACTATGTTCTCAAAAATCATGAAATGGAGTGGAGATCCGATTTCACTTGATCGAGTGCGCTAATAAACTAGTAGACACCGAAAAAGAGGAATGTCCGGTTGATTAATATCAATGTGCGCGTCTGGTTTTCACTTCGTGTTGCAAACTGGTACAGTAGTACATTTGGATGAACGCATAGGGTATACAGCTCATGGACTCTGGCCACAACCAACTAAGCAACAATGTTAAATGCCGACGAACAGCAGACAGTTGCATGCTATGCACCCGTCTACTGAATGCCCTTGCTATACGTGAATCTCGCAATATTCACCCCAATAGTCCACCCCTTTCTTTTTCTTTCCTTCTCTCTAACCTTCTTCTCCTCGCGTTCCCTTACTTCGTCGCTAGACTCGAGCAGACTATCCCCGCTGAGCCGTTTTAGTATGTCCATACTAGACGATGCTTTACGTAACATCTTCTTCTTTGGTAGCGGCGGGATCAAGTCGTCGATATTTGAGGTAAAAGACGGCAAAGCAGTAATGTCCGCAGACGAGGATTGCAGAGACGTTTTGCTTTGCTCATTGGCAATGTCTGGGTTCCGGCCTTGGAGGAATATAGAAGACGTGAGGATTGGGATGTAGTGCCCCTGAGTGTCTTCGCTATTGTCCTTTGTGTAGCACCATGACGACTCGCTGGTCCCTTGTAGTGGCAAGCTAAGCGCGCTGCTACTATTTGACGAGTAGGCTGAGTGCTGATATGGCGGATATATTGGTGCGGAATGGTGATGAGGTCTATTGAAGTAATCCACGGAAATTAAATCTGGTTGGGCATGTCCCGTTGGGAACAAGGGTCTGTCTCGAAAAGCCGGGTGCTCTGACAGTGGAGGTGGTGGATACGTTGGTGTTCTTGACCGTACGGGCGGAAGAGGCTGGAATGGCTGGACTATCTTATATGGCATATCTGCTGTGCGTGGACGTCTCGTCCTTGTTGGTACTGTCAAACTTGCTTGCGACAAGGTTCTAGACGATTCGGATGGAAGACGTGGTGATGCGGAGCGTGCACGCGACTGAGTGGGAGTCTTGCGAAGAGGCAGTGATATGACAGGAGGTGGTAGTTCTGGTGTTGACAGTATCTTCGGGGCAACTTTTTGCGGTACGTTCAACCAGTCTGGCGTAGCGCATACTGAAGCTACTGGAGCATCGGTCTTCAAGCTAGAATGCTTAGCCTCGGCAGAGGTGAGAAGCTTCTCGATTGCCTCGCGCAAGTCCTGGGGATCGGGTTCGATATTCTTGTCTGAAGCATGCACAGCGACCTTCTGACTATGAGTTACTTGTCTAGAGAGCTGTCTTGAACAAGAACCATCGGATGACGCAGTGCTACTATTTGAGAGACCCGGTATATCGCTCTGGGGATGACTCCATGAATCTCCAGGATGTTTTTCTGATATTGTTGGTACAGGAAAAGTTTGGGACGACCTGCGCAGTGGTCGTATGCATGCCCATGGCGGCGATTCTTGCATGAGGTTGTAAATATCAGGCATTGCTGGCAGCATATCCCAGTCTTCCAACTTCTTTGCGACCCATGGATTCTGGGTACATCGGAGCTTCGAAAAATAGGCGGAGCATGCTTGGGTATTGGAAAGTGGATGGCCGTAGTCGATCAGATCTTCCAGCACCGTCGTGAACTCGTTATTAAAATCCTCGATGCTTGCGTATTGATCAATGTGCAGGTTCAGGAAATGGCAGAATGCGTGGTGGTAGCCAGAGAAGCTGAACACGTTGAATCGTTCATCCAATGCCTCAAGTATCTCCTGCGAGCTAAAGTTGGAGGGTGGTAATGGTGGTCCGACTTCAAACAGCTCCAGCATCACTTCCTCTGCCAGCGAGAGAAAGATATCAAGCTTGACCTCTCGATCTTTCCGTACCCATGACCTTCGCTCTTCTAGCAAGCTCGGCTGCATGTCTTTCGTCTCCGTTACACAAATGGACGAAGCTAACCTTGGACTGGGCATGGGCATGGGCAAAGTGCCATTGCAGTATTTCCAGGTATCCTTCGTTTCAAGCGCAAATTTGACGCTACGTCGCCAGCGAGAGTATTCCGGCCCGGTAGAGTCGAGTTTCAGGATGGGGACGCCTGGTAGGCGTGGAGAAGTTTGTAACTGCATTGGACTGCGTGCACCTGAATCGACGCAGGCGCGTATGCACTACTCAAAACATGCGATAGAGTGAAGGACACACACAAGGGAAACAATCATCGAGGAATCGACCACATTTGAACATCACCGCACCCCGCGATAGCCATCAGCAGAATCTTACCAGCGCATGGCCGCATGCACATCAGCCACGATGCCCCAGCTCTTTGTTCCAACGCCGGACTCGCACAAGGCGACCTCGGGCCAACCGTAGCTTGAGGTACATGGTCCCGTACCACCAGGATCCCAGAACAGCGTCGTACGTCCCGGGGCCCCTAACCTATACAGCCCATGGGACGGTTTCGGTGCCGTTTGCATCCAACGTATTCCCTGGAGTGTCGCGGACACCTTGGCATGGGCTACAGTCAGCAGCGAAGACGTCGGGTGCTAAGGTCCTGTAGGCTGCATGGCGCAAGCGAATCAAAGGGATGCGACGCGAGGCTCAAAGAGAATTACTGGTTGTCGGGATCCGACGGGGAGTATCTTTGTCGCCTCATTTTCAACTCCGAAAGGTGACGACGCGGCTCTTTGCGCGATCAAAGAGACAAAAGCTTATTGCCCGCATCGACGGACTTGCGTATTTTGCCACGCATGAAAACTTGGATCGAGCGACCTGTCGCATGGAAGAGGGCAAGGACGTATGCAGAGTCAAAGTCTTCCTCGAGGTCTTGAGGTATAGGGACAATGTAGGCGGTGGTGGAGACGAGGCGGGCTGGAAGTGGGGTTTAAACGAGCCAGTTTCTCCGGCCTGCATGTTAAGACCACAATCTTGAAATATATACACAGCGGCTTGACAACTTTTCATCGAAGTACAAGTACTCGATAACAACAACCGAGGCGTTGTGGCGGAGTGGTTATCGCGCAAGACTAGAAATCTTGTTCCTTCGGGAGCGTCAGTTCGAATCTGGCCAACGTCGTATTTTTTGATGAGTGAGTGGGTGGAGAGAGGTGCTTCCGCTGCTCTATATTTTTTGCGCGCCCCTGTCCTATACAAGATGCGAGAGAAACAGCATACCTACGCATTTTGACCCTGCCAAGCCTTAACCTAGCACCTTCACACTCTCCTACAGCTTGAATGCTCTGTGACACTCGACTCACTCGATGCCACTGCGACCCTTTCCATATCCTTTCCGAGTGGGCACCGACATCTGCCATGTCCCACGATTACGAGCCGTTCTTATGCGCCACCATCGCGGCGAGCCTCTGCGACCTCTACACCAATACTTGAGACGAGTTCTTACTGATCACGAACGCCAGTACTTCTGGAACCGTTTTGGACCAGAAGAAACGATCTCCAAGAGGATGGATTCAGTCTCCAAATTCCTCGCTGGCAGGTGTGTACGAGTGATGCTCTAGATACGAGCAGAAGGCTTACGCAATAAAAGATTTGCGGCGAAGGAAGCTTGTCGCAAAGCATGCAGTCATCTAGATATCGATGAGAGAGGATTCAAGCATATCATGATTCTACCCGTTACCTCGGTGGATCGCAGCGAGCATCAGTCAGCACGACCCCAAGGGTTGATACTCGATAAAGTCTATGACACAGAGAGCTCTGACGATGCACCAGTCGTAGTGTCGACACGTGTGGACGTGAGCGAACTTGATGGACAGCTGTGCGAAATCAGTATCAGCCACGATGGAGACTTTGCAACCGCTGTTGCTATCGTGCCGGTTGTGGAAACAGCATCGGGCCCTTGAGTTCGATAGACTTGGTTCAGAGGCTGTTGGTGCAGTGTGATTGTTCGTCGAACGGTGTTAGATACATCGATGTCCCATGGGATAGTCAACCGACAGTAAAGTTGTGGATTCGCTACCAAATGCACGACCCACGATTCTGAAAGGTATAGTTTCGGACAATGCAATTATCAGGTGGTTTATTCTACTGTTCTGGTATTGGGTTTGCTGCCTAGTAGCACGACCACTTGTCCACACCGAAACTCTCTCATTCCCTCACACTCGCACACAATCTCAACGCAAGTTCTGAAACTATAAAAAAATTCAGCAGCTCATTCGGACACAGGATAGCAACATGACTACTAACACAAAATCTGCGTTTGGCAGAAACAACATCTTTGCGCCTGAATCACCCTCGATATGGCAGCACTTGCAGCGAAACCCGCTACTCATAATCGCACAATGGCTATACGCCCATCGGCCGCCCATAGTCATACCACGACCCACATTCGGTACACCAGTAAAGGTTGTGTGCATTTCAGACACCCATAACGAGAAACTACATGTCCCTAATGGCGACATTCTCATTCACTCTGGGGACATGACCATCAACGGTACATTCGAAGAAATCCAACTACAACTCGGTTGGTTAAACAGTCTGCCACATCATCACAAGATTGTAATAGCTGGAAATCACGACTTGCTTCTCGATCAATCCTTTTTCCATCGCAACCCACGACTTGCAAGCCCAGACAATGAACGTAAAATGAAAGAGCTGAAATGGGGAAGTGTGATGTACCTGAACAACGAATCAAGGACATTCGACATCCGGGACCGTACCGTTCGGGTCTACGGCAGTCCCATGACACCACAATATGGCAACTGGGCGTTTCAATATCCAGAGAACGAAGACAAATGGTGCAACACTATCCCAGAATCAACAGCCATACTCGTAACGCATGGCCCGGCCAAAGGACATCTCGATTCTTCGCCTTCGAATCCTACGTATTTGCAGGGCTGTGCTCATCTCCAACGGGAACTATGGCGTGCCAAACCACAACTACACGTTTGTGGGCACATTCACTCAGCGAGAGGAGTTGAGCGAAGGAGCTGGGAATGGTTGGAGTGGAGTTATGACACTGTGTGTCGTGGCGAAGGACGCGTTGGCACTATGCTGATAATTCTTGCTAGTTGGGTCGGGGCTTGGGTACTGTATGCGTTGGGAAGAGAGAACAGAGGGGTTATGACGAGTGTCAACGCAGCGGTCGTCGGGGACTGGGGTTTAGCTGAAGGCAAAAAAACTCTTATCGTAGATCTTGTCTAGATCGTGTGGAGATGACTGCGGAACCATGTCAAATGTTAACATCTTTCTCTTCAAGTAGACGTAGCCTGCACCAAGTGCTGTGACATCGAAGCCTGCGTGGCTTCTCGCAGCCCAATATGGCAGTTCACACAGCATTATAGGTATGAACCAGCCATGCTTAGAACTTCTGGAAGCCAACAAGAACAGGAGATGCCAGAGCAAAAAGTGGAGATTGGGTTCCTGGGTTCATGCGTGCCGTCATGCCCCACCGATCCTCGCGATAGCGATACAGAACACGTTTCGGGACGTGGAGCCCATGAACAGTCACCCTGCTGGATGTGGATCTGACAGGAAACAAACGCGTAAGTTGGGAAAAGACAAAGGCGAACTATGGAGCAGACGGTGGTTAATGTAAGAGAATGGGAACAAGGATTGGCACCAAACCGAGGCAGAGTATAGGAGAGGGAACATAGCATGAACGCAGTGACCGTGCCCAATGTAAGTGCGGGGCTATAAATCTGTTTGTTAAGAGATGTTCTTTTTTCAGTTGACGGGAGCGGTTTCGAAACGTTCAAGCGCATGCCGGCAGTCCCGATATGTCGAACGATACTTGGCATAGGGGGGCCTATCGCTCAGTACAGCTCTGCGGCGCATGTGATGAACCAGTTTCGATCGAGATGTAATGGCATCTTCATCCGCTGCGACGGAAGTCTCCTTGAACTGGCATTACGGTTAAGTTGGCAACTGACGATATAGCAAGCGACGGAAAGGGGAATCCCCGTAGCCCGATGCCACGGTACATTGGCTAGACCATTGGATCGGCCAAGGGCTTGTCTACAGTGAGCTCTGAATATTGGCGCCTTCCTCGTACAGTCGCACACAGAAGTTTGAAACGAGTCACGGACAGCGAACCTCGGCAACCACGATGCGGGAATGTTTGTAGAGGGTCGGCATCTACCAATTATAGGCGCGTGGGAAAGTGAAACGCTAGAGCACGCGATGTGAGGTTGAGGCGTCGATGCAATGGCGTCAGTCATGGCCAGGCTCAGTTGCAAGATGAAGGACAATCCAGTTAGAAAGTACCGGTAGGCTGACCAGGCACGGACAGGGGCTGGTGGCAGGCATGGTACTTCCTGCCTAGGGCAGCTGTAAAGTTCATGTCGTTCCCTGGTGCGCAAGCGTGGAGGCGGCGAGCAGAAAGACGAAACCAGCCGTCTGCCCTAGGACGAACTTTGGCGAGTCGTAGAGACGAAGATGTCAGCGAAAGGCAGATGGGCGTCAAAAACGATAGCGCGGTCAGAGTAGCAGTTGGTCGCACTTCGGAATGACTGTGGACACGAGGCGAAATCTGTGGCTGCAGGCGATACACGGGCCTGCATGCCTTGGATGTCAGCCGGTAGAGACGTTGGCATTACAGTCTGCAGGGCCACTGGGAAAGTCCCGCGATATTGCTTCTGGAGGCAGATAATCAAAGCATGTCCACGGGTGCAGGTGCAGCATGAGGCGCGGTGGTGAGCGATCATCATCATTCGCATGCGAGTGGGACCCGTGTTATGCCGAAATGAAGGGCTGGGCAAGGGCAGGGGCTGCGCCATCTCTCATTGGCCGCCTGATGGTCGCTCCTTCGCCAGAACCCTCCGCATCGACAGCTACGAGGACGGCGCTGTAAACGAACAGCAAGACTGTGGAGTTTGCTGCATTCATGCTCCTCTGGGTTTTTGTGTTGCACGGTAGTGTCGCGGGCAAGGGATATAGTGTGTTGGTCGATCAAGTAGGATGGATAGCCGGGGTATATATTACCCATCGCTAGTGCGGTTTGAGCATACAGCCGTCTGCACGACCAGGGTCTCGCGGCCAGATGCAAATTAATCCACTGGTGGCATGCGCAATCTGCTGCTGATGGGGACACAATGTCCACTTGGCTTTCTTGTTGTCGTCGTCTTCGTTTCTGAAGTCTCCCGTCTCCTCTTGTAAAACATTTTGCATTGAATGCACCGCCAACGTCAATACCGGACTACTCCCTCTCCAGCAAGCGCCGTTCTATTTTGCGACTATCGAATGCAGAGGCCCGCCGTCCGAAACCCTGCCTTTCCCCGTCGTGGACGCTCGCACTAGTGGTGAGCAGTTGGTTCTCCTGCAGGGAGCACACGTTAGCGACTCGCAGCCCATTGCGCTTGCCCTCTTCCGCCCGCGACCCCTGCCTGCCGCCGTTTTGGCCTGGACACCGGGGCGAGTGCTGCTGCTGACGCTTGCCCTGTCCTCTTCTTCTTCTTCACTACCCGTCGCCCACGCCCCCAAGCCGACTTCTTCTCCACCACCCGCCGACAATCCCCCCAACGGGCGCATTCATATATCGACTTTGCGCATTCGCCGCCCGTGGCTCCCCGTGGCTCTCTCCTCCGACCGACAAGCACCGCTCTCCACGTCGCCCCAGGCCTTACGCTCCCTTGCACGATTCTCCGAATCACGACCACTCTTTCAAAAGCAATATCGCTCCATCGTCGCAATTACTAGTAATTTGACCGTTGCCTATCAACGTCGCCGCCGCTCGTTTTAGCATCGCACACGTACGAAGACGTGCCCCAACCCCGCTGCACCCAACCACGACGCGCACGTCCACCCGCTGCTCAGAACAAAGAAAACGCTCCCGCTACGAAATCCTGCTTAGGCGACAGCAACGACCACCGCTTCGACCGACCGCTACGCTTCTTTGTTGCGCATCTGCTTCCTGGCTGACACCCACGTGTGAACCAACCTCTGCTCGGCCCTGGTCCACTACCGCGTGCTTCTAGACCGCGCGACGACTATTCTCCGGTACCCGTCAGTGTCAAACATGACAGCATAGGCCCGCGACCAAATCGACTACATTGCGACGACGCTGTAACCGCATCGCCATCTATTCCTAGCTGCATCGACAGTCTAGTGAGTTGCCCGCTCAGCGACGCGCCTTGTTCGTCGAGACTGACAGCCTACAGGTCCATTCTTTACCCACCATTGACATTCGTCAAGTACACTCGTTTACCAAAGCCCTGACAGTATGTTTTCTGACTTTGCCTACAAATCTCATGTCTGACAACAGCAGGCTTTTACGTATACCGCCTTCGACACCCTCAAGACACTTAATTCTACTTAACCGGGGAATATAATCGTAAACATGCCACGCTCAGCCACAGTATGGGCCGCCGCCCTTGTTCTGGCCAGTCTTTCTGGCTCTCCGCTCACGACAGCGGAGGCCATGCCTGCACCAGGACCTCAACAGACCCAAGGCCGTCCCCGATACTACTTTCCTAGGCAAGTGAAGCGACAGATCGTAACCAACTCGACTACCCCGGCGGCCACTCCGTCTCCGTCTCCTGAGCCAGAGTCTAGCAGCTACTCCTCGCAACTCACATCGCGTCAGATGGACTTCCCGTCCTTCATTGAATCGCTTTTCCGTGGCAGTTCTGACACTTCGGCTCTGGCCTCTTCAGACTCACTTGTCAGCACCAGCGATGTCGACACAACTAGCACCCTGACTTCCACACTAGACGATCTCCCAACAACACTGCCCGAGAGCTCTTCGTCTGCTTCTGCCTCGCAAAGCAGTGTCTTTTCCCCGCCTCCTCCTCCAGCACCGTCAAGCTCCAGCATTGGATCATCGAGCCAAGTTCAGGAGTCCATCCTTGTGCCAACTTCTGAGGCTGCTTCAACCCCCACTCCAGAGGCCCCGCAAAGCAAGAAACCAGCCGAAACCCCCATTGTGGAGAACCCTCCTCAAGTTGGCTCCACTAGTGGTCTCCCAGAGACCATCATCCAGCCTACTCCGTCACCTGAGCCTATTCCTGAGCCTGAACCGACCACTGTTGTTTCTTCATCAGCTGCTCAGTCATCTGCACCACCCGCGGTAGAGATTGGTACCACCAGCGGTCTCCCTGAGACCATTGTGCAGCCTACTTCCACAGCACAGAGTAGCCCTGCTTCCAGCACCAAGGCCGACAGCCCTATTCTGGGTCCTATCCTCGGCTCGACCGGTCTTCTTCCGGACGTCATCGTCCCGCCAACCTCCTCTGCCCCGAGCTCAGCTGCTGCCACATCTTCTGCCGTTGGCAACAGCCCTGCTTCCTCTGACGTGCCCAGCGTCGTTGTGCCGCCTACATCCACTGTTCAGAGCGTAGCGGCAACTTCGACTGGAGGATTGCCTGATGTGATTGTACAGCCGTCGTCTACCACTGTTGGAAGTGAGCCAGCTTCCACAGGTGGCATTCCTGAGACCATTGTACAGCCAACTTCAGCCATTCAGAGCTCGGCTGTTGCTCCTACTGGAGGTCTTCCAGAGACCATTGTTCAGCCATCTTCATCGGTGGTAAACAACGCGCCCGCCTCTTCTGGTGGTATCCCTGATGTTGTCGTACAGCCAACTTCCACTGCGCCTACCTCCAAGCCTCCTGGTATCGAGAACACTCCTGCTTCTACAGGTGGATTGCCCGATGTTATCGTTCAGCCATCATCGTCGGCTGTTGAGTCGCCTTCCGCGACGCCAACTTCTGCCGGTCTTGTTGGCGGACTTCTCTCATCGCTCCTCAACCCTATCATCGGCTCTACTGGCGGAGTTCCCACATCTATCGTTCAGCCTACCCAGGCCGTTTCGTCGACCGTGCCTCAATCATCGGAGCAGGCTGTCGGTTCTACTGGAGGCATTCCGGAGACTATTGTGACACCCACTGCAGCTCCTGCTTCTTCTGCTGTACCAAGCTCTCCTGATGCATCAAGCTTCCTTGGGCCTTTCATCGTCCCCGGATCGACTGGCGGTATTCCTGAAACGGTTGTGCAACCCACCTCTTCTGCTGGCCTTGTTGGTGGTCTCCTTTCTTCGCTGCTTGCACCTACACCCACTGCCGAGATCGGTTCTACTGGTGGCATCCCTGAGACCATTGTGCAGCCTACTTCTTCCGGCGGTCTTGTTGGCGGTCTCCTCTCATCCATTCTTCCACCTGCGCCTACTTCGCAAGTTGGCTCTACTGGTGGCCTCCCCGAGACCATTGTACAGCCTACTTCAGAAGTTGGTTCTACCGGAGGCGTTCCCGAGACCGTTGTGCAGCCTACCTCATCTGGCGGTCTGGTCGGTGGACTCTTGTCTTCCCTTCTCGCATCCGAAGCTCCTGCAGCCACTACCCAAGTAGGCTCTACTGGAGGTATTCCCGAGAGCGTAGTCCTTCCTACAAGCGTCGCTGCGTCTGGTTCAAGTGGATCGCCGCTTTTGCCATCCTCTGGCATCGTTATTGGAATTACCACCGCTCTAGGCACGGGAGAATCTGCTGTTGTAACTCCGACGCCGACTCTTCTAAGCTCTGGTGCCATTCCCACCTCAGAGACCGCAGCTACCAGCTCTGGAATCCTCGATGTTCCAGGTCTTCTCTCGTCGGTCGTGTCGGAACTGCCTGGTGTTTTGCCTACTGGTAGCGGTCTCGCGTCCACTGCACCCACTCCTGTAGCGTCTGCCAGCGCGTCTGGTCTCCTTCCTCCAGCTCTTTCTTCGCTCTTGTCATCGGCTGTTTCGGATCTTCCAGCATCTGCTTTGCCTAGTGCTTTGTCGAGCATTCTATCTGGATTGGACTCTGCTCTCTCTACTGGCACTGGTCCTGTCATCATCCCGACCATCTTGCCTTCCAGCTTGTTGTCTTCGGGTATCCTGCCTTCATCTGGAGTATTGCCATCCTCGGGACTGCTTCCCTCCTCTGGCGTCCTGCCATCTTCCGGCTTGTTGCCCTCTTCAGGTGTTCTGCCATCTTCAGGCCTTCCAATCTCTTCTGGCATTCTGCCTTCATCTGGCGTGCTTCCCTCTTCAGGCCTGTTGCCATCTGGTGCCGTACCTACCCCTACTTCTGAGGCATTGTCTTCGTCGGGCGTACCTGCTTCTGAAAGCGTTGTGCCCACACCCTCAGAAACTGCCAGCATTACACCTTCTGCGACACTCTCTGATACCATCCTGCCTTCGGGCACGATAAGCTCAGGCATCACTCCCTCTGGTACAGGTTCCGTCGGAACATCTGCGTCAGCAGTCCCAACCTCGTCAGGTAGCTCACTCAGCGTCCCGGCCTCAGAAGAGCCTTCATCGGCTACTTCGACCGCGTCTCCTAGCAGCGCCGCGCCTACTCTGAGTGCATCAGGCTCTGCCAATGCTACACTCAGCGAGGCTCCCACATCAGTATTCAGCACCGGCTCCGTTGTTCTGCCGTCTTCCACAAAGTCCACGCCACCGCCAACATCCGAGACACCTTCATCGACCAAGAGTGAAACTCCCTCCCTCATCATCCCGGTGACACCAACCCCCACCAAGACGGCACCACCGATCTTTTCCCTCAAGCCAACCGCTACAGACAGCGCAACTTCTCTCATCGTCGGTACTAGCATCATTGTAGAGGCCTCCACAATGCCCACTCCTAGCCCTACTGCCAGCACTATCCCATCGAACCTGCCAAGGATGATTGCGCCACCCGGAGGAGTGCCTTCAGAGATCCCTCAGAACAGCTTCATGGGTCAAGTGTGCTTCAAGTGGCCTTTGAACTACCCATTCGTTTCCGCAAACGACGGTGGACAGCAGATTTTCCATTACTTGCCTCTGGCTATTGCTGATGGTTTGAACATCTCATCCACTGAGGTCAAGAACTTCGGACTCAAGCCACTGAACACTATGGAGTACCAGGGTTTCATCACCACGCTGGCTTTGTTCACCATCCCCGCGGACTTGCAGACGAAGCTCGCAGCTCAGCTTCGCAACCCCGCGGATGCTTTCTGGAACAACAAGAACTCGACAGTCAACGACCTTACTACCTTGATCAACACTGCATGCCCTCTTCCCGCCGGCAAGCTTCCAGGTGACAGCAGCCCTGCCAACGCGGCCGAAGAGCCAGGCGCCACCTCTACTGGCGGTTCTGGTGACGGTGGTGCTATGGGTGGTGATATCGGCGCCAGCCGCACTGTGAACAAGACCAGTGCAATTGTTGCCAGCAGTGCCATCGTCGGTGCCATCGCGTACGGTGCGGCCATGTTTTTCGTTGCCCGCCGATACAGGAACAAGCGCATGGCCCACCAGCGCGCAAGCTCTGTGCCCAGCACAAGCCGCATGACTTACGGTTCGATTCCAGGCGGCGCTGCTGCTTGGATGCACGGTGCTCGAAATGGTCGGATGACGCCTGGTAGTCGCGGCAGTCAAGGTAGCAGTAGCACTCAGGGTCGCAGTGTTCGCACACAACAGATTTCTGCTCCAGTCATGGCCGAGAACTCTCTTGGCTGGAACTAAGGACTGCCGATTTGCTCTTTCTCACTGAGACTGTGCGGTTGTACTATATACCGGACGTGAGTAGCTCAGCAGCACGCCTTGATGATGGGAAGCCTTCCGATGTGTTTACACCACGGCAACACGCTTTGTCTCATATCTACGACCATCTATTGTACCGACCTCATCCAAGCTAGTGTCTTGACAGGATCTAGCCGCAAACCATCTCTCTCTCGTCACTATCATTCCAACACGTTCGCTCAAACCACCATAAACTTACACACTATACTTTAACATATATTCTCCTTTCACTGTATTTCTCTTCTAAGATACCAGTCTATGCTTGCGGACAAGCTAGACCGTTTTTTTTCCTGTCGTCGATTTGTCGATATATGGAATGGCCATATTTGCCATGGGTGGAAGGTTTGGAGTGTAGTCAGAATCTTCATGATGCGTCGTGCATGCATAGGCGGCAGCGCAAGGGGCACTTGTGGGGAGGCTGATGTTCCGAGTATATAGTTGTAGGGATGGAATTGAAAAATCTACTTACTCGCTGAGAATTACCAATGTACGTGAAGAGAAGGCGTGAGGTTTCGAGGCCCTCTGTGGCCGCCACGCTCATGGACAACTAGAGTTGAGCATCGGTGACACGTTGACCTTGTGATTCCTCTGCTGGCCTCTGATCTACAACCGTGCAGCTAGCGGAGGCGGTATTGTTCGCATTTCGTCTGCCATCGATGGTTTTCCGAACATGCCCTGTTGGGAAGTAGCGACGTGAACCCTGTCGGTGTCTTGGCGCAGCTCCGCCGAACATCGAACACATTGCGGAGGACAACAGGCAGTTAGACGCCAACTCTTCCCGTGACTAGCTTTTCCTCTTTGTCGACCATATACGCAAGCGATACCCATTCCCGTATCCTCGAATCCTTCGGCGTCTGCCTGCGCATTTGTGGACTGGCTACTAAAGCCACGTTCCCATAATCCACCCCTCCGCAACATATACACCTAAGCTACAACAATGCGTCTGGACGTAAAGGTACGCACCAATGCGCTATGGCATATCTTTGGAGACAAGGGTGAATCTAACTCGACTGTGACTACAGAGGCAGCTCTTCGCGCGGTCGGAGCGTGTCAAAGGTAAGCAGACTCGACATACGCACATCAACCACCAGAGGGTAAACTGACATATCATAGGCATTGGTAGGAACAGCACCTCTACCCAAGATATTCGCCGCTAAACCTGACCAAAGACTTTCATCCAACCGAGCCATGGATCCTCACGACCTTGTATAGCGGTATGCATAGCTGGAAACCCCCAATATAGGCAGAGCGCTGACGGAAGCAGGCCACGTCCACATCTGGTCGTACATATCGCAATCCATCGTCAAGACCTTCGAGCTCACCGATGTACCCGTACGCGCCGGTCGCTTCATCGCGAGGAAGAATTGGATAGTAGCAGGCAAGGGCCCAAACACCCGAATCCTCAGGAAGAGAGGCTGACATGGCCGTCCAGGTTCCGATGACTTCCAATTGCGCGTCTACAACTACAACACCTCGGAGAAGGTCACATCTTTCGAGGCGCATCCCGATTATATTCGCGCAATTGCTGTGCACCCAACACAACCCTTCGTCCTTACCGCCAGTGTGGGTAACAATTTCCAACAACACGAGGATCGAGCTAATGTAGCTTCAGGATGACATGACAATAAAGCTGTGGGATTGGGACAAGTCATGGAAGTGTATGTGGACCTGCTGTGCCACACATCATGGCGTATGCTAACACACTGCAGGTGTCCAAGAATTCGCTGGCCACCAACACTATGTTATGGGTATCGCGATAAATCCCAAGGACCCAAACACATTCGCCTCTGCGTGTCTCGACCGAACCGTCAAGATATGGTCGCTCGGCAGCTCCACCCCCAACTTTACCCTCGAGGCGCACGAGACCAAGGGTGTCAACTTCATCGACTACTACCCCCAGTCAGACAAGCCATACCTTCTCACAACCTCTGATGACCGGACGGTGAAGGTCTGGGACTACACCACAAAAGCGCTGATTGCGACACTCGAAGGCCATACTTCCAACGTCAGCTTCGCCGTATACCATCCCGAGCTCCCTGTCATCATTTCTGGATCTGAAGATGGTACCATTAAGATTTGGCACTCTTCGACATACCGGTTGGAGCAGTCCCTAAACTATGGCTTGGAGCGCGCATGGTGCGTTTCCTACCAGAAAGGAAGGAATGGTGTCGCGCTCGGATTCGATGACGGCGCTGTCGTCATTACCATGGGTCGCGAAGAGCCGGCAGTCAGCATGGATGGTAGCGGAAAGTTGCTTTGGGCGAAGAACAACGATATCCTCACCTCGGTGATCAAGGGCAGCGATCAGCTCAAGGATGGAGAGCGCCTCTCCCTTCCCAGCAAGGACCTTGGCTCAACCGAGCTATACCCGCAGGCACTACTGCACTCGCCCAATGGAAGATTCGTCGCAGTATGCGGTGATGGCGAATACATCATCTACACTGCGCTTGCTCTTCGTAACCAAGCTTTCGGCAGCGCACTTGACTTTTGCTGGGCCTCGAAAGAACATGACAAAGACTACGCCATCCGGGAATCCTCCACCAGTGTCAAGATATTCCGCAATTTCAAGGAGCGGAGTGTCCTGAATGTAGGCTTCTCAGCCGACGGCTTGAGTGGCGGCGTACTCCTTGGTGTGAAGGGTCAAGGTGGCATTGGCCTGTTCGACTGGGACTCTGGTGCTCTGGTCCGACGGATAGAGGTCGAACCCAAGAGTGTATACTGGTCTGAGAGCGGGGAACTGGTCACTTTGGCTACAGAAGACACATTCTACGTGCTACGCTACTCCAGAGAGAACTACCTGGAGGCGGTGCAAAACGGCGAAGTAGACGAGGACGGCGCCGAATCTGCATTCGAGGTTGTGTGCGACATCAACGAGAGGTATGTTCAAAGAAGACATGATTGAAACCTTGAAGCTAATGATAAAACAGCGTTCGCACTGGTACCTGGGTTGGAGACTGCTTCATCTACACAAACAGCACCAACCGCCTGAACTACCTTGTTGGCGATCAAACATACACCATCTCTCACTTCGACTCACCACACTACGTCCTTGGGTACTTACCCCGTGATTCCAGGATTTATATCGCCGACAAGGATGTCAACGTGGTTTCTTTCGCCCTGTCTCTGGCAGTTGTTGAGTACCAAACGCTTATCCTCCGAGGTGACCTTGAAGCCGCTGAGGAGACGCTTCCTTCTGTGCCCAAAGACCAAAACAACAAGATTGCTCGATTCTTGGAAGGTCAAGGCTACAAGGAAATGGCGCTCAAGGTTGCCACCGATCCTGAACACCGTTTCGACCTTGCCTTGTCTCTTGGCGATTTGCAACAGGCTGTTGAGATTGCTCGCGAGCAAGACACAGAACACAAGTGGAAGACTGTCGGCGATGCTGCCCTCACAAACTGGGATGTCAAGCTCGCACAAGAGTGCTTTGTGAAGGCCAAGGATCTCGGCTCTCTCCTTCTGCTTTACAGTGCGACGTCTGACACGGCCGGTCTTCGTGAACTTGCTGAATTGGCTGAGAATGCCACAGCAAATAACGTAGCCTTCTCTGTGTTATGGCAGGTCGGAGATGTCCAGGCGTGTATCGACCTACTCGTCAAGACCAACCGTTTCGCCGAGGCCGTCCTCTTCTCCCAAACGTACAAGCCAAGCGCGACGGCTGGCCTTGTCAAGCAATGGAAGGAGTCTCTGGAGAAGGAGAACAAGACCAAGGTTGCTAGACTCCTTGGCGCGCCACCCCAGGACGGCGAGGGCGACGCCGAGATGTTCCCTGAATGGGATGAATACTTGCGATTGGAGAAGGAAGGAGGCACTGTGGAGGATCTTTTGATTCAAGAAGATGAGGCAGAGGCAGAGGACGCGGACGAGGAGATTGCTGCCGATGCTGAAGAAGAGGAAGAGGAAGATGAAGAAGAAGAGGATGACGAGGAAGAAGAGAGCGAGGAGGAGAAGTAGGTGTGCAAGTAAAGTGGTACCGTGGTTAGTGGATGCATTCTAGCTGCAATTGGGCTTTTTGTCGTGTGGTTGCTACACGTAGCGTACGTACGGTAACGGAAAATGATACAAAGATATAGACGTTTAGCAAGCAGATGTCATGATCAAAGTTGTGATTGATTTTTTGTAACATGATATGATGTGACGTGGTATCGCCTCTCTTGTTGGAGACGTATGTCTAGCCCATGATAGTAACGCCGCCCATATATACGTTCGTGTCGTCTTGGTAACATTCCAAAATGTACAAACATCTTACAAATACTTCTCCCATGGCAGACATGGGCAGAAGACTAGCTTTACCGCACGACTGCCTCTTCGTTGGCCGCGCCTTGGTATGCCGAATCGCGGAACCTGTCCTCGACGCTCGCTGTGCTTTCGCTGCTGCTCGCTTCCTCGGACACGGACTCCTCAGACGTAGTGTGCACTGTGCTACGTACGCGTGCGTTCATCTCCTCGCGTGTATCGTCAACGGACTCCATTTCTCGCAGGCCCTTTCCGCGACCAAAGAAGTCTTCTGTACGCAGTCCACGGACATCGCCCTGGGCCATTCCTTTACTGCTCCTCAGGGTGCCGTCTGCCTTCTTCCTCCTGATGTACTCCCTGACCGGGCCCATGGCCGCGTCTCTACATGCCTCTTTGATGTCGGAACCGCTCATTCCAGCCGAAACACGAACCAGGTAGTTCAAGTCAAAGTTCTGATGGTCGATTTTTGTGCCGCGTAGGATGAGAGAGAAGATGTTGTGGCGTTGTGTAGCTGAAGGGAGGGCAACGGGGAACTTCTTGGGCATGCGACGGAGGATGGCTTCGTCAATGTCTTGGATGCGGTTTGTGGCGCCGAGAATGCATATCCGCTGGGGAGTCGATGTGCCGGAGGAGGTGCTGGAGGCGAGGCCATCCCAGTGGGTCATGAATCTGGGTAAGGGTTAGTCTTGACTTGGTCGCGAGTTGAATGGAACGCTGTTGGAGAGGTGTAAACGTACTCGGCCTTGACCATGCCGCTGGCTTCATGTTCACCGCTCCTCCTCTGTCCGAGAACTGCGTCAATCTCGTCGATGAAGACGATACTTGGTTGCAGTTTCCTTGCCAGACTGAATACCGCGTTGACGAGCTTGTTGCTGTCGCCGTACCACTTTTCTGTCAGAGTCGAGATGTGCAGGTTGATGAAGCAGGCGCCCGATTCGTGCGCGAGGGCTTTTGCAAGCATAGTCTTTCCGCAACCGGGAGGACCGTAGAGGAGGACGCCGCTGGGTGCGCTGAGGAGCGAGGAAGAGTGCGAGTAGAGGTGGGGCATGGTAAGGGGGTAGATGACGGATTCCTTGAGTTCGTCGATTATCGAGTCGAGGCCACCGATATCTGCGAGGTGTTAGTTCTCCATTGCGCCAGGGCTTCAAGCATGCCAATTGGCATGCGCCAGATGCTACAGCCCAAGGGCCAAGCTTGAAGGAGCTTGTGACGTACCCTCGAAGCTCACGGGAATCTCTTCAGGCGCAACAACCTCCATGGCAATCGTCTGTTCGTAGGTGCTCAGGTTGAGGTCCTGTATCCTCGGCCGTCTGGGCCTGGATTCTGTGTCGTCATCTTCGCTGTCGTACTCGCCATAGCTTTTCCGCCGCTTGCTTGTAAGGATGGCGTCGAGTTTACGCGTCGCAGCAGAGGCTTTGGCGCGGGCTTCTTCTTTTTGTTGAGCCTCCGGGTCGAGGCGTGTGAGGAGGTTACGAATGACGAAGTAGGCTATCAGAGGCTACCGAGGTGTCAGAAGGTGCTTTGCAGGACAGTGAGGGGCAGGGCAGGGCAGATGTGGGGAGGACACGGCGCATGCGTGGGAAGGGACATACTGCAGCAGCTGCCATGAGGATGTCGGGGAGATAGCCGGTGAGGCTACTCTTCTTATTTGAGCTCATGGTGCCGGGTTTCCGCCTTCAGCGGTGCTCTGTGGTATGGATCTGGCGTGGAATCGTGCTCAAGAAGCAAAAGTCGGCTCTGAGAGTTGCTGCAGCGAGCGTTGTCGATGCCAAAACTAAGGTTCAGTCCAGGAACCGGCCCGCCACGACCATGGAACCTGCAGCCGCGGCTGCATTCACCTCCGGCGTCACACGAGCTCCGCTCCGCATCGCATCGGCATCGGCGCATGGCATCATCGCATGTCTTGAACGTCACAATTCACACACAACAACAACAACCACAGTCACAATGGCTGCCATATACAAACCTACCGAAGCGATTGCACTACTGCGTCCAACTTTCGTCCTGCCGCGCATACATGCCTCACAGCGGAGAGCGCATATCGGGCGCATCGCCTTCTCCACTACCCACCATGCACAAGCTACACACAGCTCGACGAGCAGTCCGCCTCCAAAACCACAGAGGAAATCCATTTCCTTGACAGGCGACACGGGCCAAGTCCGATGGTCTGAGCTATCGCCGGGTGAAAAAGCAGTGCGGACTACACAGCAAAGTTTCAACTTGGTAGTAGTCCTGGTGGGCATAGTAGCAACAGTAAAGTTTCCCCTCACCCCACCTCTCTCTGCGAGCGCAACACTAACAACATATCAAGGGCGGCGTTGGCTACTTTCTCTTCTCCGATGTCTTCAGTCCCTCCTCCAAGACCGCCTACTTCAACCGCGCGACAACTATGATACGCCAGGACGCCCGATGTCAGAAACTCCTCGGCCCCGGCGCTGAAATTGCTGCATTTGGTGAAGGCTCTTGGTCGCGATGGGCGCGCAACCGCTACCTCAGCAGTACCGAAGAGACAGACAAGTGGGGCACAGAGCACCTGCGCTTCAAGTTTTATGTCGAAGGTCCGTTGGGTCAGGGTGTCGTACATGTGCATTTGACCAAGCGACCAAGCCAGAATGATTACGAGTACGAGACGCTTGCCGTGGATGTCAAGGGGCATCAGAGGATTGATCTAGTAGCTGGGAACAAGTCGAGCAGCGTCGCGCCCAAGATTTTTGGAGCGCGGTGGTGGTGAGATATATGAGTCTCACGGCGCATTGCGCTCTTGACGGATTTTTATGGTAGAGGCACGAGCCATTCTTCGTAATTCAACTTTTCACGTCCCCCCTTTGAAGAACAAACAGCCCGTTCTAGCCAACATGCAATCTTCTTTCTTCCCTTGTAAACGCCTTCTCGGTGCAAAATAAAATGACTAAAAAGCAAGGGCAAGGTAGGAAGCTGTGCGCTCGCCTACCACGGACTACACGACTCTGTTCCTCTGCCTGGGCGAACTTGGGCAGCAAGACTGAATTATTCTGCTCCGTTTCTTACTTGTCCTTGCTCAAGCTGAGTCGCTCGTGGGGGCACCGAATGCGGTACACGAGCGCGAGTGTTACCCCATGACCCATCCAAACTATCGAATGGAGCCCAGCCACGTTCCACATATGCGCGCCACAGTCTTGTAAAGTAACCAATACAACAAACATCTGGATTCTAGCCAAGGAACGTCATCCATCCGTTGAAAAATCAAAGCATCTTTTACTATGGCCATTTCCATCACATCCGCAGAACCCAAGGACGCACCTCACATCGCCGCCCTCCATGTCCAAGCCTTCAGTTCAAACGTCCTCATGCGAGCCATTTATCCCACCCCTGCTATTTGGGCAGCATTCCAAGGCAGTGTAGAAGAAAAGTTCACGGCTGACATGCATGATCCTAACATGACGGTCCTCGTCGCCCGATATACTGATGAGGCTGGAACGGGAGAACAAGGTAAAATTGTAGGCTACGCGGTATGGTGTCATCCTGTGAGGACCGAAGGGACAGCTTGGAAACCGCCGGCTTGGAAGCTGCCAGCGGGCACGGATTGGAGTGTCTTGAGGCCCTGGTTGGCAGCTGCTGGAAAGGTTTCGCGTGAGGTTATTGGAGAAAGGCCGCATTATGGTAGGTCATGTTGAACTCGGCAAGATGAACTTTGCAACGGACTAATTCCTATTGAAGATCTCACGTGGCTCGCTGTGTCGTCTGATTATGCTCGCCAGGGCATAGGTTCAATGCTGTTGCGCTGGGGTCTTGACTTGTGCGACAAAGAGGGTGTGCCGGCATGCTTGGATAGTACTGTTGACGCAGCCGAGACCTTCTATAAGAAAGCTGGGTTCACAGAAGGGGGCAGGATCAGATTGCCTGTCAACGCAGAGATGTACGAAGAAGTCGCTTGTGTGTATGAACCCAGACGATAGAAGCTGCCACAATAGAATAGCGCTGGACTGCCTCGAAACTTGACAGTCCTACTCGCCCATGCCAATACCATCTCCAAATCTCCGAGTGTCTCGCCATAGCTCTGGACTCTTTTGGGCTTCTATGAGAATCTTTTTCTCGCAAGCATAGCCAGAATTGTTTCGGTCAATCTCTTCGTCATTACCAAGCCAGGATCATGATCTGGATTGACCTCTGCAACTGTTAACCCAATAACATTCTCGCTAGCCAGGAGTACATCCAAGGCTAACATCATGTTCGTAAACGTCACTCCTGTGAAGTTGGGGACATTTGCCAGAGGACATTCGCCTGGATCGATGGAATCAACGTCCAGATGAACCCAAATAGCTTTGTGTTTACGCTCCAGGTGCTCCAAAGCATCACGCGCACGTGCTTGCGGATCGAGTGCAACCGCCTGTGACGAGAAAACTTTGAAATGCTCGCCGTGAAGATAAGCTAGGTGCTCATTCTTGTTCCCCGGGTGGGAGAGATTTGTCCCGAAGAAGACGGTGTTTTCAGCATTACAGAGCTTGTCGTTAGTGAGCACAGAGTCGGCGTTTGAATTAACAAGTGACCCAGGACGTCCCATGAGCTGCGTCATAGTCTAGAAGTTAATTATGAAGTCAGCATGTCTCACGTCCAGTCTGTACTGGACACTACTAACCATGCTCGCAAAGTAGCCGTTCCAATCGGCATCCACTGGTGAATGCATATCGGTATCCGCATCGACATATATGAAGCCCACATCCATGTCGTATGATTTGTATTGTCTTTTAACGCAAGAGAGGATCACTGGCAGCATGCAACATTCGCCCCCAAGAACTAACTGGAAGGAGTTGGGCTCTTGGTCGAAGTTCTTGGTCATTCTCCGTCGCACTTTGCGAAGGAGCTCCAGATTATCAGCTCTGTTGCGGATGTCGTGCGGTACGAAGGGACTTGGTTGGTAAGTCATGGTTTCTTCGAGCACGTCTAGCTGTGAAGACGTATCATGGTAGCCCGAAGGCCCATTATCGACAACTTCTATACCTGCTTGGAGCAGTTTTTGATGAATCTTGACTGCTTTGAAAGCCGCGGCTGCTCCGGACTTCCCTGGGATAATAGAACCGCAGTCTGCTGCCACGTAGGTTACGCAGACTTTTTGCATACTCACCATCACGGTTGCGTGCGTGTGGATGTTGGATCTGACCGTTCTTCTACCAAACGCTCAGAAGAAGATGATGAGTAGCTTCAACAGCAGGATGCTGTGAAGAATGGCGAGTTCAACTGACATGTTGCCCACAGGGCGTGCATACCAATGTATGACTACCGCAGCAGCGGCACAGGTGCAGCCACATGACATCTTCTCCTACATGAAAGACTCTTGATTCGACCCTTCAATACTGTTATCAGACCTTGGCGCAAGCTGGAGTAAGCTACCTAGCTAGGCTCCAGACATGAAATACATGTATGGCAACGAAGCTTCCAGAACTTGTATGCAGCACAATAGCGAGTGACAGTATCCGTGACCGTATCGCTCGAGTGACTGGTTTTCAAAACGTGGAAGCAGAGTATGTGGCTGCCATCAATACGATAGAACGTTCGTGGCTGACTAATACACCATGCGTCATGGTCTCCAACATAGTGATCCCCGAAAAGCTGAAGATCTATGGATGAAGAAAACGAGGTACATGCTAGACAAAGATCGTACCCAGACGTATAGCCCGTACCGCGCTGCTAGTCCGGAGAGATGTTGCGCTATGATCGCAGTCAAGTGACGATACCTAATTTTCCGCCACGATGACTCGACAGTCCCTGCGCTTGCTATTCACCCGACGCACCACCAAAGAACAGAGGGATTGAGTGCACGCTTATGCGCACGCCCCATGGGGATTGACAATGTTGAGCTCGGGGATGCGCGCTGTTCTCCAAAAGCTGATGCAAAGATCCATATTTCAAAGATGGCACGGATATAACGGACTTGTTCTAGTCAGGGAACGCGCCAATCAGAGCAATTCCTTGACACATGGTGTCGCTCTCGAACGTCGGCGTTGCATCATTTTTTATCCACGACGACGCGTTTGGGCTCCATGTGCAAGTGTGCTTCCTGTTTCGGCGACCCCTTTGATCGCCTCTACCCGGTGGTCCTCGTTCCGGATCCACAGCCAAGTCGCGGCCAAACGCAAATGTATTTTGGGTGTACCGGTCCGACGACAATTACGCAACGGAGAAATGCCGACGCCTGGCAGCTGTAGTATTCAAGTCTCATGACGCCTCTAATGTGACGACCCCTCTCGACTCTTCTCTTCATCTCAGTAAATATCGTACTACAACATCGCGACACTCTCCCACGCTATAGCTGTCGCAATGGAGCCCTCTTCCACCAATTCGTCAGAGCACACCCACGTCGACGAGCATGAGATGCAGCAAATACCACCCACATACCCGACACCTTCCGTACAACCCGAACAAGCAACAGGCAAGACAAGAGTACGATTCAACAGCTCTGCCAATGTTGAAGTCCCTCCGCCGCCGCTCGAACAAATCCGTAGCTATAGCCGCGTTAGCGAGTCCGGTTCCAACGAGATCACTACCAACCAGCACACCGTCGATGCGGAAGAACTTCTAAACGCGCACAACGCTGGTGAGCTCAACGCACAAAACTTCAATGCTCTGCCATTGAGTGAGGTGGACCCTGATGGCGCATACACCGTTACAGGTAACGCCAACGGAGGCGTCTTTTACCAACTCCTCCAAGCCTACAAGACACCTGTGCGTGGCTACACAGACACATCATCAGAAGTCAGCGAGACGTCGCCTTCACAAAGGCCCGGATCTTCTTCAGGCGCCTGCACCCCAAAGCGGAAATGGTACAACGCGAACAAGCCCATACAGTCCACAGAAACACTGGCCACTCTTATCGGCGCTTCAGCCAAGCTGGCGAACCCTAAGGACGAAAAGAAGGATGTCCCCCTACGCCCACGCAACCACAGGCGAACTAGCAGTAACAACATCATCGCCAAGGTCTGGAAGGCAAAGGAAGATCAGGATGCCAAGATTAAGATCCACGTAGCCAACATTCTCAAACGACAACAGTACATCATCCGCATGTGCCGCGCCCTCATGCTCTTTGGAGCGCCTACACATCGTCTCGAAGAGTACCTCGCGACCACCGCCAAGGTCCTTGAGATCAACAGCCAATTTCTCTACATCCCCGGCTGCATGATCATCTCCTTTGACGACAACCTCACTCACACGGCTGAAGTCAAGATTGTTCGTACCGCCCAGGGAGTTAACCTTGGCAAGCTCAAGGACACCCACGACATCTACAAGGAGGTTTTGCACGATGTTATCAGCTTAGATGAAGCTCTCGCTCGTTTAGACGAGGTCATCAATGCCAAGGACCGTCACCCGCGGTGGCTGACTGTACTGATGTATGGTTTGGCGAGCGCCGCGGTTTCTTGTTTCTTCAAGGCCCGGCCCATCGACATGCCTGTCATATTCGTCCTCGGAATCGTCCTAGGCCTACTTCAGCTTGTCATCGCCCCCCTATCCAAGACATACAGCACCGTTTTCGAGATCACCGCGACGATCCTCATGAGCTTCCTTGCACGCGCGTTTGGTAGCATCAACAACGGGAACCTATTCTGTTTCTCGGCCATTGCACAGAGCGCCATCGCCCTGATTCTTCCTGGATGGTTGGTGCTTAGCTCAGCCCTTGAGCTTCAGTCTCGCGCTATCGTACCAGGTTCCATCCGACTTGTCTTCGCCATCATCTACTCGCTCTTTCTTGGATACGGCATCACTGTTGGTACCGCTATATATGGCGCCATCGACTCTAACGCTACCAACTCGACTCAGTGCCAAAGCCCGATGAACCCCTACTGGAATTTTCTCATGGTCCCGCTCTACGTCTTCTTCACGACGTTTACCGTGCAGGCCAAGTACAAACAGATGCCAGCTATGATTGTCATCGCCTTTGCTGGCTACATCGTCAACTTCTACGCCGGAATGAAGTTCTCGTCGTCAGCGCCCATCGCCTACACATTCGGCGCCTTCACCATTGGTGTTCTGGCAAACCTTTACAGCCGGTTGCGTCACGGAGTTGCAGCCGCCGTCCTCCTGCCTGCAGTATACGTCCAAGTTCCAGGCTCTCTTGCATCGAGTGGAAGCATCAACTCTGCTCTTCAAACAGCATCTGCCCTAATTAAAGGGTCAGGGGGAGCGGCCGACGTGAGCACCTCTTCATTCCCAGCCAAACTTATCACTGACGTAATGCAGACCACAACCGACAGCTTGAACGCAATCGTCTTCAATGTCGCTGCGTCCATGATCCAGATTGCTATCGGCATCACTGTTGGTCTGTTCATGGCTGCCCTTCTTGTTTACCCCATGGGCAAGCGACGCAGCGGTCTGTGGACACTATAAAGTATTCCCCTAGTTTTTTTGTCTTGCATAGCGATAAGGCGTTAAAGGAACCCAAAATGGGAGGAGTTTTGGAGTTTTCCTGCTAATCATCTGTAGCATTTGAACACCTAGATGTTCAGCTTCGTTGGCCCACATGGAGATGAGTGGTGTCGAGGTGAAGTGTGAAGGTAAGCTCCGTTGCAACATCATCGACCCCGAAGCACTTGTCGATGCGCCCTGCGACAACTATTTCCAAGCAACAAGCAGTTACGCCATCCCCCGTATTGGTTTCTTTGCGACATCCAGGCCATAAAACCCCTACTCGGACTTTGGACCCCCCTACCTATGCAGCATTGGCCCTAGCAAACAACCCACCACACGATATCAGCTGCCCAGACCACCGCACCATACACCCGAACCTAGACCTTGCGCCCAATCCTTCCTTTGATCGACCTTTGCTCCATGCATTCACCCTTTCCCAAGGCCCAGTAGCTCTCCTGCACATCCGCGTTCATTCTTCCCTTCTGTGATGCTTCGCTCATGTTCACGAAGCTCACAGAGGTGATGTTGCCATGCATTGTGTATACACGTTGATATATACAGCTCATCCCCAACCACACAATTACTAACTGTAGACCTATCGTACAGCTTGTCGTGAGATGTTACATGTTGATTGATGCGAAACAAGAGGCACAATAGTGCACATGACACGGGTAGTTATGATATGGAGGGAGGAGATTGTGCCTATAGCACTTTTGTAGAGAATTCAAATATTTGTGCCGAAAACTCTCTTTCTGCTCCCTGCTGTCACCTGGAGTCCTCTAGCACAGTGAAAAAGTGGTTTTTTGTGATGTGTAGTTTGTATCTATGCGTCTGAACGGGCACTTAGTCTTGAAGGAAGAAATACAAGCCGCACATTCAACATCGTGCTAACCTTTGTACAGCATATGCGAGAGTGACGAGTTGTAGGGCGTACACTGTGTAAGCTCGCTAGTGTGTGTAGCAAATGCAAGACGGATGACACGCATAGAAGCCCGTGCCTTCTGCCTTCTAGAAAGGACATGTAGTTTGGATAGGGTCAGTGCTCAATACTAGATGCCAATGGGACACGAAGTATTGCATGGGTGACGTAGTGTGAGAGTCTGTGCCCGGTGACATCACTCCTTGTGTGGGAATAAGAGAGGCTGGTGAGTGGCTGTATAGACTCCCATGGCTGTCTAGCCGACAACGGGTGTAGACATCAGCAGGAAAGAGCCGCTAACGAAGCCTCTCCAAGCCTCTAGCACAAGCCTTCGTATCTGCAGCCCTATGTCAGGCGGTGATGAGGCTCTGGCGCTTGGAGATCTCCGAAGCTTCCCCAGTGTCCAAGCGGAGGGAGTCACCTTCTAGAAAACCTTCAGAATGCGCACTGACGAACGTGAGGCGTAAGCCTATTGGATACCGAAAGGAACAGGCCTTAGATCGGGTCCGAAACACGTAGCTCGTCTTCTGATTCGTGTTGGGAAGCTTACGCGAGACGGGTACGCAGTCAGCGCCATGGTGGTGGTGGTGATGGTGGTGGTGTCTTCGGTGCCAACTCGGATCCGCTTGGAAACACAGTACAGAGCTTGAGATTAACTTTCTGTACACCTGGAGAATCTGACAAGATACGGGACGTTTCGGGGGCTGGATGTACTTATGCTTGCGGGTCCACAGTGTATTCTGGATATCTTCTAATGTTTCGGGGGCCGTCTGTACGTTAGCAAGCGCCGTTTTCAGATGGAGTAGGCGGAAGCCATCGTGATTCCCCGATATCTGCCAGATATCCCACCCGTTCAGACTTAGCACATGTATAATGGTCTTACATCGTACGATAGGTCTGGACGGTTATGCTTTGACAAGGAGCGGGGCTAAAGCCAGCCGTGCTTCCTGTAGGGCTGCTAGTGTCCGCTAGGATCTACAAGCGCTGGACCCTGACATCCGTCCCATAGCACTATCACGCTTAGGGACCGTGATAAGATGACTTGGAAACGGAGAGGTTCGACTTGACTGAGACACTTGATCCATGACCATGTCATGGGAGACACACAGTGGTACAGCAGGCAGCCAGTGAGCTACTCTGCATCCTCTAATTCTTGGAGTAAGTGAAGACATGGCAAACACTTTTCGCATTGGACAGTATTGACTATGTCGTGTAGATAATGCAGAGTATTTGCATTAACATTCGACAGCTTTAGCCTAGCGCTGCGTACGATTTTAGGAGCGGCTGTGCTATGATGCGGAACAGATGAAGTCAAACGTGTAACTTGATCGTATAGAGTGTCTCATAAGCTCGTCTCCTTCATTGCTGCTTACTGTTTAACCGGTTGGCTAGCCTCGGCATCTCGTAGGCTCATGAAGCGAGGCCGGAGGCTCATGTCGCGAAGGACGAGCTGTGTCAGCAGCGGGGCAGAAGCGTTGTGTTTCCTGTTATGGATAGCGAGCTAATGTCTTGCAGGGCCAAGATCAAGGCTGTACGCGGTCCGAATGAGTATGCTTGTTGGCGGTACGAGTCGCATATCGGTCAAGGAAGGACCATCAGATAAGATGTACGGTCTCGCTTGCGTATGTGTCGGCCGATGAGCGATGCTGCACAAAGTTAGATTGAACAGCCCCAAAGCGGATCCGGTGAAGGATGCGTAAGACGCGGTGGATTTTCAGCCCTCATGCACGTTCCGCAGCAGAAGCGCTGGTGCAGGTCTAGCCAGTTCTCCCCGCTTACGTCACTAGTGCGCTGCTACATTTCGAAGTGCAGAATTACTGCTTTGGGTAAGTAGTCCAGCGTAGTCGTAGCAGAGCGCCGTAGGGCTGTCTTCCTAACCATATGGGAATGCCGCGTAAGAACGAAGCCATAGGGTAAAGATGAGGCCTTGTCTACGGCCTGGTCTGCGATACTGTATGTTTGAATTCAACTGCCTTGGAATTCCCACGATGCAAGCAGGCTGCACCATGTTGCCTGATCAAATGCAATATGGTAAGGATATATCACCTCACGTCGCCGAGCATTTCGTGATGGTGGTAATCGCTTGGGAACGTTACATGGACATGGCTACTGATAAGTCATGGCAAACGCGCTTACGTAGCCTTTTCGCTAACCTAGCGTACCACGTGTTGCCACTATAGGCTTTCTTTTCGGCGCGCCCTAGGTAACTGTACCCGACACTCACCGATCGGTCATCAACCTCGCCAACTATCTGTTGTCTTTCTCTAGCTGCACGATAAGGCATGTGAAAAGGTCTGCCAAGCACTTTGTCCTTTTTCACTAGGCGGACAAAGTATGAGATGGCCGTCCACCTCGATGGTCACAACTCGATATCGTGTGGCATCCAACCTCGAAGGCTTCGGGGCTGGCGATGGCTGCCTTCATAAGAGAGGCGCCACACTGAGCAGGCTACTTCAACGGTGACTAGTAGGCCCCCTGGATCGGTGCTCAGCGAGGAAAAGCGGTGACAGAATTGGAATGCACTTTACACTGCTCGCGGCTAGCGCGAACGACACTTCACTACGACCGAACTTCGGCCCATAGCTCTCGAAGCGAAAACTCAACAGGCCAGCTGGACGTAACCTTGGGTCAGTATGTCGCTCTGATGTCGTCACCTAGCTGAGGTCCTTAGACCCAGCGCATTACAGAGCAATCATGTCTAGCTATGTGGGCGTCTCACTGCAAGAAGAATCTTGTTTGATTGATCGCACGAATGTGCGATCGCAGCCAAGAGTTTCTGAACTGAGAAAATTACAGCCCTACCATGCATCGTGTGCGGGACGATAATCCTAAAGTGGAGTTACTCTTCGAGAAGACAGCGCCAGGTACCTCTACCTGTTACTACGGTCGCGACGACGGACTAACCTGGCCACTGTATGCTTGGTTGGCGGGAAATCATTACGCTTTGGCTCAGCAAGCATGCCAATCTTTTATCAAGGCCTCGAAAAAGTATAGCGCACGCCTCCATGCAGACCCCTGCCCCATGGCCATTGGTTGTGTAACTCTGGGAACCACTCGAAGACGAGAATAACAACAGTTGATGTGCTTCCTGCAATGGTGGACCGTGCTTCGGACCCGTGTGCCGGTAGCAAGCTGTGTGAACATGCAGCTCAAGCTAACTTCTGCACGTATTCCCGCTGGAAGCCACATTTTCAGGGTCTGCCGTGGCCGTTGAATTTAGTCGTGGGCAGAATTGCATGACAGAACCACCCCTGTCAAGCCACTTGCCGCCATCTCATGTGACTGACGCGGTTCCGACGGAGAGATACGCGACGTCCCCACGGTGTATAAGATCTCACCTTGCCCACCGTTGTGTAAGCTGTCTCCACCACATAAGTATCTTAACTTGAAGCAACAAGCCACTTGCACGTCATACCATCAGCGGTCGTCAATATAGACCTAGTGAGAGAGAATACCAACACTCGTCTCTACACACGTTTTCGCGAGCACACAGACGTATCGACTCCTGTCCTCACTGTTATACAACTGTAAATCGAGAGCGATGGATTCTCAATCATTCGATTACTGGATGGCACAAGGCAACTATATCGCACCACCACACCAGACAGCCATATTCGAGATGCCTCCAGATCTCTCTAAAGTTCCGAGTCTGAGTGGATCACCTGTTAGTATCATGATTGTGTCTTCAAAACTTGTCAACTAATCTTTCAAAGGTCTCTTCTACATATGACCAGTTTCCTGCACATATCCACCAAGCTTACTACCCTCACATCGTCGACGAACCCATGCACTTTGGATCATATCCCATGCCCATGACCCCCTCGGATTTTGGCTCAGAGCATGATAGCCCATATTGCAGTCCGAGGCCACTACAGCACACTGAACCTACTTTCGGAACTACCCACAAGCCTGCACCAGCAGAACGAACCCACACTACTTCGGGAGTATGTATATCTTACTCTACATACACAAGCTCGAACTAACGTGCGAATAGCGCCGAAGAGCTCAGAATCGTGCCGCCCAACGTGCGTTTCGAGAGCGCAAAGAAAAGCACGCCAGAGATCTTGAAGCCCAGCTCTCGATCCTAAACGACAAGTACACCAAGCTCGAAACATCGCACACGGAACTCAATGCTGCCTATGAAAAGCTCCGAAGGACAATCGAGCTTCTCACACAGGACGACGATGCGGAGGGTGAAGACGAGGAAGGAACAATCGCCCGTAGACGAGGGAGCAATTCCGACACCCTCCGCAAGCTCCTGGATATATTGCATGGAGAGTTCAAGGGAACGGCACCGGTGAAAACAGAAGTATCCTAGTCTGCGGACATTCAACATGGGGTAACAGATTTCCATGATTCTTACTTCGCTTCTTGTCTATACCCTTTTTGCTTTTGCGTTAAAACCAGCGGTCATTGGACGATGTGTTTAAGGCGCCCTTTGTGGCGATAATTGCTTTTCCCTTTGTGGTCTGGCACCTATCATGAGCTTCTGAGCTACTAGTTTGTTAGCAAGCGAGCTGACCATTGCAGTCGGCTACATCTTCACTATACGTTCATGACTGACGAAGCTACGGCCGATCTATCTATATAGTACCTAATACCAACTTGTAACCACCACATATCTGAGTCATGAATATTGTGAGCTTCTCCCTCTTGAATCCGTGCGTAGTCTACGTATGGAGAACGAAAGTATGAATGTCTGCCTTCTGTGAGAGTACCGTTCCAGCCCCCACACTCCCCCATATTCCCAACAAGATCAGTTGCAATGCCGATATAGGAAGCCGGCCCGTCATCAGCAGCCCCCTTCTCCACACATCTCCGCAATGCCACCAATAAACGTTTCAGCAGCTCCGGTCGGAGTACGCTCATTCTGACCAGCCCCAAAATCTGACTGTGGTATACAAGGGCTAACAGCGAATGGGGAAACCTTGACGGCGGCCCTAAAGGTAGCTATGTTGGTGGCATCCAATGAGCCGAAATGAGGCGGTAGGGAAGTGCTCATCTGATAGGCTTCGGTGTAGAGTAACGCAATAACTGTAGCACGTGCAGTAACATATAGAGTTCCGTTCTATCTCCGTATTAACAACTTCCTAACACGACAATAGACTGTGTGTGAGTTGGACAAAATCCGAGGAGAGACATGAAGTATGAGAGGGACGAAGTAGCGCGGGACAGGTACCCGGATGGTCGGCCCGCCATGAATGCTGTTGCACGTGCATTACCTTTCACCGCGGAAAGACCGTCTTCCTCGAGTCTAGAGGCAAGTGCGATGGTAATTTGCATCCAATATCCACGCATTGAGAAGCTCTAGCTATCCAGATAATGTGATGTATCAGGGATGTTCCTGACCTGTGACCCACCAAGCAAGTACACCCGTTAAGGATAACGCCTCAAAGGCTTGGCTACCCACAGCCATGCTATTGGGACGTATTGTATATCCCACCTTACCGAAGCTGGCTATGCTAGTAGACCATTCCGATATGCGCTTTCGAGACGCTAGCACAAAAAATAGAGCGAACAGGCGAGAAGATGTAAAGAAGGCGCGACGCGAGAGTGACCTCGTAAATGCAGGTCATTCCACGCAACGGCTGAAGGCGCACCACGCCAGCCCGCCAACCGCTTGCATTCCAGCGTCTTTCTTGCCCCACCATCATGTGCATTGGAAAATCCGTCAAAGCTAGACAACACGGGGAAGGCGAAGAGGTAAGAATAGACGATGCGATCCGGGACTCACAGCCTGTATCTGTACTATTCGCTTCTTTACGGACTGGTCTCGCGAGGCTTTTGACCTAAGAAAGCTTGATTGTTACCCTGTTCACTTTTCACGAGACGGACGTTGCCGCTTGTGTCACCCAAAAATAGGTTCTTCCAGACGATACGACCTCGCTAATTTAGTAGTGGGCATGACGACATTGCTAGCTAGGTAGATTTATTGTTTGGTGAGTCTTTGAGACGACTCATCTAGATGCCACGAATTCATAGGTACTGCCATGTTGGCTCCAGCATTTGACATCTTTCCGCAACCATTCTATAATCCTACTCGTCAGAACACCAACAGTTGTAGGGTACCATCACAACACTAGTGACATCTGCACTCATAAAGACACAAATGGCTAAATCATTACGTAGCGTCTATCATCTAACTCGGTTGAACGTTTGGCCTAGAGAGAAGGTGAAACCCCATCTACACCGGTGACCCTATCTTGCCAAACGGCAATTACTGTATATCCTCATTTTACCCTATGACGTAAAGCCAGACTCCAAAAACTCCATGTTTCAGATCGTTTCTCATGACCAACGGGCCGACTCGCTAAGATAAACTTTGACCATCATGGAATGACACTATCAGCATGCAATGTTGCTCGCAGTTGCACTCGTGCCCTGGCCTTCTGGTGCTGCCACGAAGTCGTCGCCTGTGAGTGCTCTACTGAACATTAGACAAGCCGTCTCGAGTTGTCCGCCAGCCGTGCCATAGTATCCTGCCGGCACCACGACGTTCTCTGCCCAGTATGCTGTCTTGCACTCGACATGATATCCGTAGCCGTAACATTGCTGGAGGCACTGTTGTGCCATGGCAGTTGTGTTTGATGTGTAGGAAGGGTAGTAAGAGCTGTATAGAATATCGTCGTGGGCAGCTGGTGCTGGCACGTAAGACGTGTTTGGATCGGTGGGCAGAGGATCCGTAACGGTGCAGTTCGAGGGTATAGGCGTGATCGCGGGCCCGCCTGCTCGAGCAACGATATTGGATGTGGGTAGCGCGGAGGCCAACGAGCAGAAGGCTGCGGCGAGAATAGCGGCTGAGGTGTGCAACATCGCGGCGGGTTCAACAACTGTTAGAGATTGTTTAGATGTCGAAGTAAATGTATGTGATAGCGGTTCCTATCGCTGGTGAGTGATCTCGCAGTTTTAGAAGCGCTGAATACTATATAAGTATTCTTGCGCCTCGTTGATTGATGCCTGTTGGTGTGATGTCAATGTGGGTAGCTGGTAGGGCCAACCTCCTCGTCAGCGCATTCAGCCCCAGCGCTGTGCGTCTATCGTTATTTAGCCTACCAAAGATCGCCGCCCATAGCCACCTCTAATGCGACTATACCAAGCAACCCTGACTTGTGCTTCCCTAGCAAGGGGACGATGTAACGAGCATAGCTGTCTGCAATACTTCAAAGATGCCGCGTTGTCCGCGATGATGTCAAAGGCACCGGCGCTGTGATACCGCCCCAACAAGGTTGGGAAAGACGCGGGGATATCCTGGAACGGCAATCTATGTCGCATCCTAGTTGGTGATAGAATGTCTCAGACTTGATGCTGCGCGCTTTGTGTTGTTGATAGAACTAATGCAGTGCGAGGATAGAGAAGACCAGATCCGTGGAAAGAAGTGGTACCACCAACATCAGAGCCAAGGCGATCCACGTCCACTAACGGAGAGTAATTCGAGACAACTACCATTATCACACAACCATGATGCTCTTGGTGTTTATGGTGTTCGTCAAATCAACCTACTGAGCTATTCTAATGCCTAATAGAGAAGGGTTGCTGCTTTGGAACAAGATGAACAGAAAGCATGCGGGTGGTGACGACACGATTCCAGACTATGAAACGGCGCCTCACACCATCTGAGACCTGTCAAAGCTGCTCACAGTACTCTGTATTACAACGACCAACACGTCACAAACCATGGCTGCTCCATCCAACAAATCCCTACAGTCCTTATCGGGTAAATGGCAACTAAACAAAGCCTGTTCCGATGACTTTGCATCAGTCCTCGCGCTCCAAGGCGTAAACGTTCTAGTCCGCAAGACAGCCACCGCAGCATCTATCCATCTCAAAATCAGTCAACCAGACGATCAACATATCAAGATGGCGCAGTCGATAACTAGCGGCAAAATCCCTGGTACTACAGAGGATTATACCTTGGACTACGAGTGGCGCACCAACCAGGATGGTTTCTTCGGTGAGGTATCAGGAAGAAGTCGATGGGTCAGTGTCGAGGAGGGGAGGAAGACGGGCGTAGTTGGCGAGGGCGAGGGTGAATGGATTGAAGGGGATAGCGAGGGAAAGTTGATTCATGCGGAGGGGAAGAAGCAGGGTGAATGGGAGGCTAGCCACCTTTGGGGCTTTGAGATGGTTGATGGGGAGAGAAGGCATACGAGACGTGTAAGAGTTAGCAATGAGAAGGGTGAAGAGTTGAGAGTGAGGATGGTCTACGACTTTGTTGGCGAATAGCTTGTCTGATTGTTAGGTCAAATGTTTGAAACCACGAATTAGGCTATATGAGAAAGAGTAAAGATTAAACCAAAAGCCAACGTCCGTGAGGACTGCCGTGTATGATGTACGATGTATCCATTATCTACACCTACCTTAGCAATACGCTGATGTTATTTCAAGTCCACTTTTCGAATCGCCAATAATGAACGAACTGAATTTATGATCCGGGCCCTACTCTTCTTGTTACGACGGTATCCTGCGCGAAGGTAGTATTCCCTCCATCTCTCCACATTCATCATTTCCAACCACTTAATCCCGCCCAGGGGTCGTTCCCGTTCTGACCCTGTCCTTGTGCCGGTCGCTGCTGGTTCGCGTATCCCCCGGGTCCATTTGGATAGCCTCCTTGGCTGAAGTGACTATAATCTTGCTGATATTGACTTGGCGGCGGTCCCGGCGGAGGTGGCGGTGGAACATAACCCTGTGGCAGATTATTCTGAGGTGCACCACCCCACTGTTGCTGCTGGTTTGAAGGAGGTTGACCCCATGGCTGATGTGGTTGGTGTTGTGCAGGCGGTGGAGAGAAGAATTGCTGGTGTGCTGGTGGTGAGGTGGGGTTGTATTGGTTGTGAATCGCGGGGTTATAAGCCGATGAGCTCTGCGAGTTCTGCGTTTGATGCGTGGGATATTGCTGTCCATAGCTCTCCCGTCGTGGGGGTTGCTGCTGGTTGTAGCCGTTCGAGGGTTGGCCATAGGATTGCTGTGGCGACATGAACTGTTGGCTTGGGCCTGTGGTCATTGGATAGCGTGGCGTAACAGGTGGTGAAGCTGCAGGATTATACGCCGGATGGCTAGCTCCTGATGTTGACGGATAACCAGGTGTTGAGGAAAGCGGAGGTGGTATGCTCTTCTTACGGCCTCCACCTTGTGATACAGGTGAGCCTGAAGGTTCCAGTGACATCCTCTCCATTAGTTCCTTCATTCTTTGTTGTTCCTGATCTGCGCCTTGTGCCTTGTTGCGCTCCTCAATCTTAGTCAGGAGCTGTCCGCCCTCACTGCGTCTGTTATTCACAAAAGTTTCAACATTCTTCTGTAGGCTTAACACTGTGTCCTTCATCTCTGAATAAAAGGTTTGAGCGCGCGACAATCCAGCAACAAGATCATTGAAGCTTTGGTATACTCTGCGATATTTGGTCATGACGATGTTTCGTTGTCTTGAAAATGCCTCATATTTGCTTTGCTCAGATCGCACGCGCTTGTCTTTGAGTAAATCCGAGTAAGTTCGAGTGAGCTCTTTCAGGAATGAAGCTTGTTTATGGTTGGCCTGTAGTATGCGATTCTGGTGGGGCCTGAATTTCTCCAGCTCAGCTTTAAACAATTGCGACTCCTGGTTCGCAATGGCTTTTTTGTTCAGAATTAGTACATTAGAAATGTCATCAGAGTGAACCTGTCAAAGTCAATACATGGCATACTCGAGCGTCGATGATCACATACCTTGTCTTTGAGGTCCTTGAGTATCTGCGTCCTCTCCTTCTTGACAAGGTTCAGCTTCCGCAAGATATCTTCAACAGCCGCAATCTGATCCGTTACCGATGGACCCTCATCAATGTCATCATCGATGAGATTGCCTTCAGTAGGCCTAGGGCTTTTGCCCTTACTTGCGCCTGCTTTGACCATAGCTCTTGAGTACAATACATCGGCTTCATCCGTTTCGCCAGCCGATCGCATCTCGTCAAAGTCGGCTTCACATTGCCTAAATGTGTTGTATAATTGTGCATCGCTAGTGCTCGCCTCCTGAACGGCGCCCCGGTAGTTTCTGATATCGTCTCGCAGCGTGGACGTTAACCGAGAGCTAGGCTGCTGTGTCCAGTCAGGTCCGTATTTGGACCTCATCTTCTCACAGACACTCTCTTCCATGTCTAGTTGTTTCATGCTGGCATCAAGTGAACCCAGTATCTCCGACTTGTCCCTATCCAGTTGCTCAAACGCAGGGCCGAACGATTGGTGTCCAGCGAGCTCTTCGCACCACATTCGGAATTCGTTGTCGACATGGTTGTCTTGGTCCATGCCTCCTCGTAGTACATTTAGACTGTCAGGTAATTTCAGGTAGTCCAGGCTAGCGGCCATCTCATCGTTGGCGACCTCGACACGCTCACTCTCGGCGCGTATGAGCTTAGCCTTCTCCTCATCGTACAAACTAGCTGATTCAGTGACTGCGAGTGGGACAATCTTCTGGAAGATGTCTGGACCGATGATTCTCTGGATGTCCTGTCCCTGGTATAACTCGCTGACGGGTATCGCCTTGGCAGCAGGCATTTTCGGCACTGGCGTCAAGGCCGCTTCATTCGGAATGCCTTGGTGGTATATAAAGTCGTTGTCTTTGGAAAACTCTGCCAACTTTTCCTGAACGTTGGCCAGATGTTTCTTCGTCATCTCTGCCAATATTCCCCCAGTCTCCGAGGTCAGATTCGAGTTTGCCGGCGCGTTGTTCGGGAAGCCGTGAGCTGCTCGATTGGCGTCTTTGGCATGCGTTTCGGCGACTTGTAGTCTGCAGATGGCTACACCGTGGGTGTTCGCATCGTCGTCGGCCAGAGCCTGATAGTACTGGGCTAGCGAAGCCATGTGATGCGATTTGATCTGCGAGACGGTCAGTTTCCAATTGCAAAAGTTACTGTGATGTTCTTACCTGGCAAACCAAAAGCCAGACCTTCTCAAACACGGCATTTGTGACGTTTTCCTGCGCACCTTCCGTTGCCTGTGTATACAAAAACGCGGCCTGACTCGCCAGTTTTGCCAACAAGCCGACCTTCTTGCCGTCAGCAATCTGCTTCTCCAGAAACACCTCTTGCGCTTGTGCCAGCATAATCGCTATCAGTGTCTTGACTGTCTCGCGGCTAAGGTCGGTCGACGGTGCGTGTAAGAAGTTCTCGTTGATGTATGTGAACATGCCGGCCGAGGCTTGGAACGAATGGTATGAGGTCTTGAGCCCGACATCCTCGTGGCGGTTCTGGTGTGCGGCATGGCAAGATAGGACGGCAGAGATGTTGAAAATGATGCTAGCTTTTTCGTATGCGAGGGAATACTGAGAGGTAGGTTTATGCGTAAAGGCATCGAACCTGGCAATCGTTAGTCTTGCTTGTCCTCTTGCTTACTTTGCCCCTATCTGCCCTCTGCCTCTGCCCTCTGCTCCATTCAACCTAACTATCGGTTCGGGACGTACCATGTGAAACTGATCTTGATGTGGTTCTCGTCGACGGGGAATCTCAAGTCCAGGAGTTCGAGCTGTCCGTAGTATCTGTAGAGCAGATCCCGGCCCGCTGCACTGTCCTTGCCGGCTCCTCGCATGTCTTGACGCAAGCGGTTCAGCGTTCCACATTCCTCATTGTAGCGCTCTGGGTCGTCGCCATACGTGGCGCGTATGTATTGCTTCAGCGGGGTTATCCAGTCAATCTCGCTCGTCTGCTTCAGCGGCACCGAGATCATGGGTATCTGCGTCGTCATGGTGGGCGGTGTTTGCGCTGAGGAGGCCGCGGCTGGGCGCGCTTTCTGGAGAGGTATCGCCGCGAGGGTTGGTCCTTGGGCGTGCGGGTGTGGTGATCGGCGACAATGGCGTAGGCGACAACGTGGGAAGTGGGCTGTCGTGGGCCTCGGAGGATACGCTAGGGCGGTAGCTGGCAATCCTTCTGCCTAGTTCTCTCGTATGAATACAGTGAATGTCCCTGGGGGGCGGCAAAGCGATCACGCAGCAGATGGCGTTGAAAGTAGGGATATGCACAGCGGCACGATGCGCTGGTCGGGTGGCTGTTCACCGAATCAAGCGTTCGCAGGGAAACAGCCGCATGAGGCACAGTCTAGTCAATCCGGGTCCTGGGAACGATTGTCGTGCGGCGCAGGCGACGCTTAAAAGTCTACGTGGTAACGATGCAGACGATGTCTGGTGCTGACGGTGAGCTCGGAGGGTGCGAGCGAGGTTGGTGGGGAAGACGCAGGCACATGCATAAGCAACACCAGAGCTGCGACTTCCTCATCCACACCCACCTATCATGCCTCAGGCACGCCACGAGAATCAGACCGCTATCGATATGTGACTCTTCAACCTCGTCACACCGTCGCGACAATCTATGGCAACCTCAAAGCCAACCCCAGCTGTGCGGCTCGCGTCGACCAATTACCATGCAAGGAGGCCGAATCTGGCCCTCGTTACGCGCCCGCGATATTGGCTACAGAGCTAGTCAAGCATCTCAAGAACACTGCAAAACTATGCCCTTCTTGGTTGATCATGAACAGCGTAATATTATACAAGCCCTGAGTCGAGAGGCCAAATACGGATACTTCTATACACCATGTCCAAGCCATCGTCATGTACGCCATCAAATGCTTTCAATCGTCTTGCTGCAAACATGAAAACATGAGTCGCATGAGTCGTCCTGTACGCCGGCCCTGTTATACAACACCTCACAACTTCTCCACATGCTCAGCCAGACCCTTTCTTCTTCTCGTCTTCTTCCGCCTTCCTCCTCTCCTCTGGATCCAGGTGCTTGTGCTGTCCCGTGAGGTTGTGCCACGCGCTCTTCAGGAAGCCCTCATTCGAGTGGTCGTCTCCTACGCTGTTCCCATGTTCATCCTTCATCTTCCCGGGGTTGATGACGCGTTGCGCGCTCTTGTCTCCCATTTCGTCCGCTAGCATCTCAAGAATTGTCCGCTGGTTGACACTGAGATACTTGGGCATGTTGACCTTGAACTCAACACGCAGATCGCCCTTGCCGCCACGTCGGCCCGAGAGCACCTTCATGCCCATGCCAGAAAGTGTGATGCGGTCGCCAGTTCCAGATCCAGTAGGAACCTTGACTTTGACTTCGCCGTCGAGCGTGGGGACTTTAATCTCTCCTCCGAGGACAGCAGTGGTGAATGGGATGGTAGCGGTATGAAGGATATCAGAGCCATTGCGCTTGAACTTCGAGTCATTTGCTACGCGAATCAGGACGTAGAGATCTCCCTTCTGGCCGCGGACGGAGCCAGAAGACATGGCGTGACCTGTCAGCGGTGCATCTCCTTCGCCATTAACGCGCAACCGCATGCCGTCCTCTACGCCACCAGGTATGTCGATAGTGATGGTTTTCCGGTCTTTGACTGCTCCATCGCCGCCGCAAGTGCCACAAGACGAGCCTCTAGGTATCGCGAATCCGGATCCTCCGCAAGATGAACAGGTTGCGCTCATATGGAAGCCACCCATGCTCGTCACCCTTTGTCCGGTACCTCCACAGCTCTTACATTCTGCTCTCTTAGCACCCTGCTTCAGACCACTGCCACTACATGTCCCGCACTCTGCCATGGGGCTAATGTGAATATCCTTCTTGACGCCCTTGGCCGCATCCAAAAATGAGATGTTTGTTTGCACTTCGATGTTGTCGCCCACCATGATTTCTTCTTCAAAGGGATTCCTTCTCCCACCTCCCCCTCTTCCTCGTCGCCCACCCGTGAATGCTCCAAACAAGTCTTCGAAATTGATATCCTGGAATCCTCCCGCACCTTGAGCACCACCAAACCCGCCGAAGCCGCCGAAGCCTCCTCCGAACGGGTTTCCTCCTGGTCCTCCCGCACTGGCCCCAGGGTTGAAGCCGCCGTTTGCATCGAAAGCACCGGCTCCGTACGAATCAAAGGCCTTCTTCTTCTCAGCGTCCGAGAGAACTTCGTATGCGGATTGTGCGGCAGCGAATTTCTCCTTCGCACCGGCGTCTTTGTTTGTGTCGGGGTGGTACTTTTTCGCCATACCATAGTAGGCCTTTTTTATGTCGGCAGCGGATGCATCTCTACTGACGCCGAGTGTCTTGTACGGGTCGGCCATGGCGAAGGACGGGGAAGAGGCGTGGAAGAACTGTGCATAGCGTATTAGTATCTACAGTTGGAAGGGCACGGATGAGAACACATACCCGTATTGACTGCGCATTGTGGACTTGCTGCTTCTGTGCGATAGAAGGTCTCCGCGATTGTGTTCTTGAGGCCTGCGTCGCTATACATCGTCGTTGACATTTGGCGAAAGATCTCGAGCCAGCAATGCGTACAGGAGCCACCGCCTTGAGCGGCATGGGACCAGCAAAACTCATCTTGGAATGATCTGGGGAGGGCAATGGGTATGTTGATGCTGCTTCTCGCTCTCCGCTTCGCCCAGTGATGTATAAGCCGATAATTGACAACTTTTTGCGGGCACGGGCCGGTGACGCACCGTCATTGGTCACCCTCGGTAAAGAGCGCGTCGAAGCTTCGAGAGTTTACCACGACGCGACTGCCGCTCACGGAAAAGCCGGGGCAGACAAACGAGCAGATGCATATATTACGGCTGGTCTTTCCAGTTCATGCCATTGGTTTTGCTATTTACCTTCGGTTCGTTGTGCGGGAGGCGCATGGCAAACGTGCTATGAACTTGATGCGCCTGCGGCGCATCCGTAGCCTCGAGCCCAAATCTCAGCGTTACCAAATACTCATTATTGATAACCCTCATGCTTGTACATGCCATGCTTCACGTTGTGTGTCCAGACCAGACCGATCCCGCGCGGCCAACCCGAGCCATGATGCATAACCATTCCCTATTCATTAATGCCCAGTATCCCAAACTCCTGTTCAATGCTTGTAATCCGTATGTAAAAGTGGTGGCTATCGTGCCAAAGAGGGGTATCGTCGAAGAAAGTCGGAAATACAGCGATGTGTATGCGCGGAGTGACCCAGTCACTTCCTTTGAGGAGCGAATCGTACTCTAAACTCATTGTCTGGTATGCAGATCAGCAAAGGAAACGTGCCGGACCGTGTCTGGACGCCTTACCTTGGTGTTTCGACTTGTACAGCCAGTCGACAATCACGTCACTCTCGGTGACAGCCTGAGAGTTGAAGCTCTTTTTGACAGCCATGCCGAGCTGGTCCTTGTGAACACGTCGTTTTCCCTTCGGTCGGGCCATGGTCGGAGACATTCGTCCAATGCCCTGGTTCAGTACGACGTGGCTGAGCGGGTTCTTGAAGCTGGAAGGGCAGTCGAGGCGATAGGCTCTTCGGTAGCCTTGGAGGACGGACGGGTCTTGCGACGACCATTTGATCTATTGCAGAGGTGATGTGTCAGCGACCGCGAATGTATGTGTGCAGGTAGTGAGGACAAGGGCGCGACGAACGTTTCCTGACGAGCTGAGATCGGTAGAAGTCTGGCCGCTGTGGGTAGAAGCATTGTCTACTTCTTTCAGAGCACTGCCATTTGCGACATTCGGCCCACCGTTACGACGGCCGCCCCGCGCGTTGGAGCCCTGGAGGTTCTGCAGTTTGTCCTTGAGTGAGGTGTGCGCCTCGTCGTGAGCATGAGTACGTTTTGGGGGCATGGTGGTGGACCAATGGCGTGTTGCGACGACAAGTGAAATGTGTTGGCGGTTGCTCTGAAGCTTGTCAGGGTCCCTTAGGGTTTCGCGAAGATGAGCCTACGGTGGTCGTGTACTGATCGCCAGCGAGATGGAGAGCAAAATGACGGGCAAGGCCCAAGCGCGCAATGACGTTGGCGCGCTTCTCGGTCAGGGTCCTCCTTTCCCTTCCCCTGCATTAGGCCAAGCTACTACGAGCTCCTTCCAATCTCGACGTGTTATCTATCACACGATGTGCCGTTTACTAGAGTGTCTGCGCTTCCGACTGTTTTGGCGATACACCTAGGTGCCATCTCCTACTTCACGCTGTGTCGCGTATGTCGCGTGCCGCGGCTTCCCCACTATCCCGGTCGCTCGCGTAGTGCATCCCCAAATGGCAGCGCCAGGCACTTGTCAATACACGGAGACTTGCAGCCTTGCAGACAGAGCTCGACGGTGTACATGGCCGGAAAATACCCCCTAGGCTTGACCATGACACAGGACCGTGCAGTTCTAGTGCTGAGGTGTGAAGTTGACTCGGGAGAGACGCGCTATGGTAGGTAGGGCACTCCATCCATCTCAGCACATGGCAGTACATCAGGGGACAGAGAGACGGTATGCATCAATTTTCGGGATGCGCATTCCGATATGACATTCGTCGACCTCGTAAGCGCGGGGTACCAAGAGCCAGGAACTGGAACCACGATAAGCGAAAGGCCACGGAGCGAGAGAAATTTGCCGGCGTCGTTGTGAGTGGTTGTCAGAGTATAGACAAAGAGCAGTCGTCAACTTGAGTCGGTGAGACCTCGGAAGCCGGACACCCGCGTCTTGCGATTAGCTCACTTCGATGCCCAGCAGGTACCAATGCGTAGGCATCAAATCCGGCCAGCCGTGATCTCGAGGAAGGAGCTGCAGCACGGGAAAGCTAGCGCCAGAGCTTAACCGTGGCGGCGGCAGGTACGCGATACGTGCGTGCCTATTACATACTGAACGACACGATGAGAGCCTCACATCAGATGCTACAGGACGTGATCAATGCCAGATTCGACTATGGCGATTGACCAAGCCTGCGATAGTTCCTAGTCTAATCACAGAACAGAAGACGGGTCATCCACCTCCACATGGTGATTCTGAATGCCTAGTAACATGCCATCAGCGCCATACACGAGGGCCGTACTGATGTTCCTGGTGGGACAAACTTTACTTCATGCTTGTCAGCAAACTTCACTATCGATACATGTGACAGCGTCCATTGCTCTCTCACTCGAGGCAGCACGAAAGGTGCCGCCTTATCACCGCCTCTGTACTCTCACTTATAGCCTATATAAGCAAGTCCTATGAGGTTTGCTACCGTCTCTTCTTCCATCTCCCTCCCATTGCTTTCTCTGCTCCATTTACTCAAGTACGCCTTACTTACTCACGACTTCTCACGACCTTGAATCACTATCTCACGGTGAGACTCCGACCCTCATTCCCTCACATTCATTGTAGACTCACACTGTATTGCAGTCCAGATAATTCCAGATCATCACAGACTCACAAGTCGCCTTGGTTTGGAGTGGTCCAGTAATCTCGAGGTACAATGTCTGACCGCGATCCAGTCCTCCACGGTCCGTACTCTCCACAGTACATGATGAACCCTACGGCCAACAACTTCGCTCCAACCCGTCCTCAGCAAAACGGTACGGCCAGCCAGGTGAGCAGCCCTTCCTCGTCATACCTGGAGGCACGGGTTCTCAATTTGGAGGAGGGACATGCAAGCTTGCTCGAGGATGTCAATGGTCTCCGAGAACTGTACCACGGCCTCTCCTTCTCCGTCGACAAGCCAAAGAAAGGCGGTTGGCCAGTACATGTTGGCCCGTTTCAAGAAGTGGACGCAAAGACATCACACCAGGATGCTGTACGACTCCGGGCAGAGTTGGAAAGCCTCAAAGACGAGGTACACGCATCTGTGAAGGGCAGCGCTGACGTGCAAAAGGCGAATGATATTGCCTCCTCCAAGACGAATGGCAGTACGCCTCCCCATCTCAGAGCTGCTAGTGTGACCAGTGGCGGTACAGTCAAGAGTTCGCTGCCTCCACATTTGCGTGGCAAGAAAGCCGAACCCAGCAATGACGGCAGGTGAGTCTACCGCCTACAAGCGTGAAAATACTTGATACATTGTGCTTTATTCGAAACTGACCGTGATGCAGTACTAAAGAACAGGTCGTGGCCCGCAATTCTAAGAACCATGTCACTAGCAACGTTCAGACTGATGTAGCAGTCAAGCAGATTCCTATGCCAGCGCCAACTCCGCCTGTCTCACCAAAGACTGTTGGTCAGGATCAAGCATTGTCTCTCGAACGCATTTCCTTGAACCGAGCTTGGAAGCCCTACCATCTTACAACTCTGGACGCTTTTTCAGGTCCAATTCTTCCAGGCGACACTACCGTCACATTCCATCCTGACTTCCTTGCCAACATCCTTGGCGGATCTTCTTGGTCACCGGGCCTACGCTTCGTCAAAGGCAAGGGTCCATGTATCCTCAAGAACCGCACGTACTACCAGCTAGACCCGCAGAACGAACCATACCTTCCCGAGGCGCCTGGAGACCATGGTGCAAAGCTCACTGCCTTCTTCAATAAGGCTCCAGAGGAAGAGTTTGCGGATCTACTTGATGACGACTCAAACTCATACGAGAACGTACCCATGTTTGTTCTGGTCGGCAAGCGTTACATGTACTATGGAAACTATTCCTAGACACGATGGTCTGATAAGTTGGACTACGACACCATGACAGCTAGAGTACCTCAGCACGTCAAGAACTACTGGGCTGAGGAGCTCACGTCGACAACGCGCGAAGAGTGGGTTACCGAAGAGCTCAAAAAGCATTTCTTTCGCAAGCCCGAGTACGAAGGCCGTCTTTCTGCTGCCCTAGACCACGAAACCACTATCGATTCTCATGCAGAGATCGCACTAACCGAGAAGATGACCAAAGACGTGCGCAAGTACGTGGAACAACTTCGCGAGTGGGAGCGTGAGGCCAATATGAAGACCGCCATGATCAAAAAGCAGTCTATTCTCAAGGCTTTCGATGCGGTAAGTGGCATGGAGTTGCAAACAACATGGAAGCTAATCAAATACAGTCTGATATGGATGAAGAACCTGCACTTCGCCTCTGGTGGGAATACCTTGAGTGTGTCGACTGGAGGAAGGACTTCTACGATCTCCTTGTTACACTTCAAGGGCGCAACCCTGGAAGCTATTTACAGTAGTCTGGCTTGCGTATGCTCGACTGGATAAAGAGTTTGCTGTTCATGGAGAACGTACACCAGGTTGGATTTTGCGATTTGCGATGGGTATAAGTTTGGGGTCGTTGAACTCGTCTATCTCTGCGACACCGCAAGCGGCACACATGGCGGATCTATCAGTCTCTGCCGAGGAAAATGGGTGGGTCTGCATGGCACCTGATTCAAGATCTTATGTCCTTCGCCACTCTGCTTTTTGCTTTCCATCATTTGGTTACCGAACTATTTCAGAACCACCACTATGGCGTTTGGGGAACCAGGTAGTGCATAAAAGTCATTTCCTATCATGTTGTCTCTTCGCATGGTACTCTCCTCCAGCCAGGTTGCCATTTGAGTAAGTCCGGCAACAACCAAATTGTTTCCAACTTACCAGAAGCCTTAATTAAGCTTTGAGCGCCACTCCGTCTCCGAGAGATGCTTTCGGACCTGGAACTCGGATCGGTCTTCATTTATCGACTCTCTGCTCAACGTAGGATGGCACCCCACGCATACCAGTGCTTATCCGACGATGGGCATCATTGCATGGCGCTATTGAACACTATACCGTCTTGTCAGACGACCAGGTTAAGTGACAGCCTGCCCGATACCTCGGTCGCACGATCTTACCTACCTCCACCGGTGACGAGGACATCAGCTACCGAAGCATTGTATGTTCTGAATATATTCGGTTCACCGTTCAGTCTTCCTCGCTCAGACAAGCCATCGCACCCTGGAATGACATGGGATGTTCCCACAGCCAAGCTTTCCAACCAGGTTTCCATCTCGCTCAGCATGGTCTGCAAATCTGCACGTGCAATGAATACTGTCGCAACGCGCATAAGCGATTTTACAACTCTTCGGTAAACGGCCTCCGAATCGGTACTTCTTACAAGTTTGTGCGTAATCAATCTTGCCTATGTTTTACAGGAACAGTAGTTCGTTAATGTCGATCACCAGCTTTGTCTTGAGTCAAATCCCAGACAACCATGCGACTCAAGCCCTGGACTTCACCTAGGCGGTCTCCACAGTCAACCAAGCATCGAGCATCTCTGATTCAAGACTTTTTCAAATTATAGATGACCCACACCCTCATATACCAAGCATCGAAGTCATGGGCACAAGCTACCGATGTTCCCGCGAATTTTGACCTCCGGCTATTAACATCCCTGCGAACTTCATCTATATACACCCACAACGGCTGCTTTCTCCGTCGGACTACCCAAAAAGCCTCACTCGTCTCCCAGCATCATTGGTCGACCAAAAAGATTAATTGTTCTTCCCCAGATCTAGCCCGGTAACACGAGCTTCTCCCTAGACCGAGGCGCCATGCGGCTGTGGCAAACCGAGCATGCGGCCTAGCAGTAGACATCAATCTATGGCACATGTGGAGATTTGCTTCCGCGACATGACTGAATACCCGGTCTTGTCACGCGGTACACGCTAGTATAGCTTGCAGGGGCAGACGAAGTGTATATGAGATGATGCACTCTCGGTCTGTACGACTTCTGGTCTTCTCACACAGCCAAACAAAATATCCTTCATCTCTCCTCAGTAATATCGAAAGGCAATATGAAGTTCTTTACAGTCTTCACAGGAGCTGCTTCGCTGATAGCGACCGCAACCGCACATGGTGGAGTTGATCAGTATATTGTCGGAGATACAACATATGAAGGGTAACGATCTTATCATGTCTGTTTATTGCGTACTCTAACAAGTTCAAGATGGTCGCCCTACAACTCGGCTGCGGGTCAAAAGACAATTCAGCGACAGTACTCAAGTTACGACCCTATGTACATCAAAGATCTTTCTGTAAGACTTTGCACCAAGGTGGACCAAGCAGAAGCTAACACTCCATAGACAGTCAACATCCGTTGCAACAACAAGGGCACGCTCGGTACAGGCGTGTCAGGTACCATTGCCGCTGGCGCAAAGTTGAAGACACACTGGAAGCAATGGACTCATAGGCCGACTTCACTTCTCGTATACATGGCGAAATGTCCAGGATCTTGTGACAGCTTTGATGGAGCAGGCAAGGTCTGGTGTACGTGTCAGCTCTCCCTTGGATGTAAAACGTTGCTCACGTAACTACAGTCAAGATATTCGAGCAAGGTCTTATATCCGGCACTGAGAACGCAGGAATCTGGGCGGGTGATGCCATCCTTGACACTCTATATGCCACGGTCACCATTCCAGCCACACTCGCAGCGGGTAACTACCTGATCCGACATGAGCTCATCGCCGTCCATCAGGCGAACAATCCACAGTGTAAGCTTCTTATTCGATGCACTTGCATCACAACATCAGCTGACACCCGCTAGTCTATCCTGAATGCGCTCAGTTCACCGTGACAGGTTCTGGCACAGCCTCCCCTCCGTCATCTGCGCTCGTGTCTTTCCCTGGTGCATACACCGGAACAGAACCCGGAATCGCTTTCAACATCGACTCTCCCGAAGCTATGAAGGCAACCACATACCCTATTCCAGGCCCCGCTGTCTGGGATGGTACGGGGAATGCTCCTGCTCCAGCGTCTTCTGCTGCACCAACAGCTCAACCAGCAACCCCTACTACTTTGATAACTAGTACAGCTGCTGCACCGACTGCATCGGCTGCCCCTATATGCGAAGTAGCAAAGTATGCGCAGTGTGGCGGTATGACGTACAGTGGATGCACGAACTGTGCGAGTGGATCAACATGCAAGGCGAACGGTGACTACTACAGTCAGTGTGTTTAGGCCTGACAGCTCGTATGATGAATTCCCGTTATTACTAGCATAAGTTGCAGCGCGCTTGCATTATTTAGATACCAGGACGCCTAATCGGAAGCGGGATGATAGGTAGCGTCTTGGCAGGGGCTTGTCGTTCTTCCAAATCCACGGGTTTGCCACCGTTACTCATGTCACCACGCTGTTGTCCCAGCTGCGGGTGTGCCCGCTGTCCATTTTAATACATTCAAATTTGCTTTCGAATTCATCAACTTCCTAACTACCTAGAGCCATAACCTTTGCGAGTACGGCGTCGTCACTCGGTCCATCTCCTTTGATGGTTGCATACGCTGGCGCGAGCACGGATTTCTCGATTTCTGTGTATTTACCATCGCAGACAAAGATGAGATCCCCGCGGCGAGACTTGTCCGCCATCAAATATGCGGCAGCCCGGGCAACCACTGCGGTAGACTGGCAGTTCTCTGAGACAGCATCTAGAAGGCCCTTCAAATTGGGCAAGACTTGAGTTGCTGTCCATGAAGGGGCGAGTGTGTTGACACGGATAGGCAGACCAGCAGCTTCCACCAAAAGGGCGAAACTCCTACCGAAGCCTAGAACACCCGCTTTAGCCGTCGCTGAGTCGCGTTGTCAGTTAAAGATCTACATATGATCGGCGAACCTGTTACTCACAATAATCAACTGCTCGGACGGGATGCAAGCCGGTGCTGGACCCCATGATGACAATAGATCCACCCTCGGCCTGGTCCTTCATGTAATGAGTAGCAAGCGTAACGGTCTTGACCACGCTGTCCAGGTTGATATCTAGAGTGTCCTCATTTGGTTCCTTTGGATCGCCGTTTTCGTCGATGTCAAGAGCCAGATAGTTCGCCCTTGGTCCAATGCCGGCATTGGCGAATACAAAGTCAACTCGACCATGCTTTTCTTTCGCGGATTTGAAAAGTTTCGTAAGATCGTTCCAGCGCCTGACATCGATTTGGACGAAGTGACAATCAGCCACAGACGCCGGTGGTGCTTGAATATCGCCAACGACAACTAGTGCGCCTAGAGAGACCAATAGCTCAGCTGTGGCGAGGCCGATGCCTGATGACCCACCTACGACGATGTCAGTACTTTGGTTCTCGAAGCTTATTTGACGGGGTCGTAATACCGGTCACGACGGCAACTTTGCCCTGGAAGCCTGTTAGGTCAGAGTCTTGGATCTGGAAGGATGTCATGGCGAAATTAGGTATGATGAAAGTAGACGAATGGAAGTTCAAACGAAAACCAGAAAGGGAGAGGGTAATATGCAGACATATCGGGCCCCCTGCACATCAGAGCGTATCGGCTCAAGCTCATGCAAGAGTGCACTGATTTGGAACAGTCAACGACTGAATGTGAGGCTGCCGGGATTCTAGGCCTAGAAACATCACCTCAAACAAGATCTGGGAAGCCTCCGGAGATTTACAGGGAAGACAACAAACCCGGAAAGGTCTTTCAGACGGGGCCCGTTTTTTTATCGCAGGGAAGGATGCGGCTCGTGGTAAGCGAGCCGCGGCCCAGGAGCCATAAAATCGGTGTCAAGCCAAGCGTCTTTGCCTGCCCAGCAATTAGTCAGAGGCTGCACTTCAACGGCAGCAGACCAGCCCGAACAATTGTCCAACTTTTCCCGGCGTCTTGGCTGAGAACGAACGTATCCTACTCACGTAATCTGTGTAAGGCCGATGCTGGAACAAAGCTCAGGGTTGTAGAAGCTGCAAGACCCACTTTAACTGGCAACGGCCCGACAGGAAAAGAAAATCACGCGACCCATGTATCGTGTACGTACATAGAGCATGGTAAGGGGTCAACCACGCTTCAACGGCTTTTCTGTCTTTGAAGCCAATCGCAGGATAGCACAAGAAGGCTCCTTCCATGCAAGCAGCTCCTGTCACGTCGCGGCCCGTGATGGACCATGCGTGAAGAAAGCTAGACTTCCGCACAGCAGGGTCTCGAAGAGAATGTCGGACCATCCGGCATTGATAGACCAAACACTACCACGTTGGTAGGTTCCGCGGCTAAGTGACACATTAGATCCCATCCAGACGAAGCTCCTTCCGTCTAGCGCCCGCGGCCTAACATTTCGACACGAGGCCCTGTTCGCACGGCTCACAGTTCAGGACATGAATCGACCGAAAAGCGGCAACCTCCTATGGCACAACATGGTAGAGATGAAACGTCCAATATATGTCGTCCGGCGAGCTGCCCCAAGCTGCCCCAGGATCTCTTGTTCTTCACCTGCTTGCTTCGTTTCGAGTCTTTAATCTGTTTATCATTATTGCGTGGGGAGTATGACGACTGTCGAGGTAGCTAGAGATGGAGTGGCATTGTTGTATTGCGCGATCATATTGCTCGTGTTGAGTTGGGTCGTTTTCTCCATGCGAGTCGGAGTTCGGGTATGGAGAAAAGCGTGGGGTATGGATGACTACCTTATGTTTGTTGGAGTTGTAAGAATTGGACACCACCAGTATGTGATACGCAGGCTGATAGCTTATTACAGATTCTATTCTCAGTCACGGCCTCTCTTTGCATAGTCTGCTGTTTCTATGGCTCCGGGCAGTTTGCACGGGAGCTGCCACCCGTAACAATATCCAAGGGGACAAAGGTAGATACATCCTTTACACAAAGTTCTACTGGGACCCAAACTGACGTCTACCAGCTCTTCTATATCGCGGAGTATTTCTATGCTGTCAGCGCCATGTTCGTTAAGATCAGTGTTGCAGTGGCGCTTCTCCGTATCGCCGCCAATCGTCAATTCTTCACATGGGGTCTGCGGGCTCTTATTGGGGCTACTATCGTTGCAGCTCTTGTTTTCTGTATAGGTATCGCAAATATCTGTGGGTCAACTTGCTCTATATGGGGTACATACCGTTGCTAACGACCCGACTAGGTCATCCTATCAACACTCTCTGGGGCGAGTCAAACGGCACCTGCAATCTGCAGCTCAACACGAACGTCAGTCTGTTCTATTCAGCCATCGAAATTGCAGCAGACTTCAGTCTCTCAATCATGCCTGCGATCCTGCTTTGGAATGTTCAGATGAAGGGGGCTGTCAAGGCTTCAGTGGCTGTGATGCTAGCGCTCGCTTCTTTGTAGGGCATCCACCACCCCTCACACTACGTGGCCAACAACTAACTTGACTCAGTGCATCGTGCGCCACCATCGTGCGTCTCAAGTACCTCACGCTTTACAGTGACCCTGGCGAGTTCATGTACAGTACGGGCAAAATCGGCTTCTGGTCTCTGACCGAAGTAGGCATCGGCCTCATCGCCGGCTCACTGCCTCCTCTTCGCCCTCTCCTCTCCCTTCGCATCAGGGTATCCGCAGGCTCTAATACACCTGCCGCATCCAGTGGAAGAGCATACCAATCGGGGACGAATGGCAGGCAGCCCACCTTGCGCTCGCGTGGGATAGCTATGGACACATTCCAGACTTTGGGTGACAATGATGACGCTGATCATAGCGACGGCGACTCGCAGAAGAACATTATCAAGGAGACTAAATTCACTGTAACATCAACAATTGCCGGAGGCCATGGAAACCCTGGGTCAATGTCTTGGGACCGTAAGGAGGGAAGCCATGTCTGAGACTATGTGCCTACAATCAGAGGAAAACCGAGCGAAGTCGAAGAACCAAAGGCTTTGAACAGTTTAACGAACATGCGCCACCCAATGTTCTCTATATTCTGAACGTAATCGTGGAAGGCTCCCATCATGCTGTATTCTCCGTAGACCTACAGTCCATTGACGTTCTAGGAGGCTGCGGAGAAGTACTGCACTACCCGAGAATAGGCCGAAGAAGGCAGTTTAAGCTCATCGTTTATCTCCCGATATACCCCATGCTTGTAAGATAGTCATAGACGTTGAAGCTACCGTCCAATCAGTATACTTCGGTTCAGTTGCTTGTAAGGTGGTCTGTTGGGCCGCCGAGTCAAGAGCGGCATACGAGTAGTCATAGTTGAAACAAAATCTGCCCAAGCAACAGCTGCTGGTCATTCTACAGAGATCGGGCGCGTGGGGCGTGTAGACAATCTGTTACTGGGCAAAACATACACACAGTCTTGGCGATAAATTCTCTTGAATTGCCCAAAGGGGTTAGCAGGCATGTTATAGTTGAGTTGTTGACTACCGTGAATTGTCGCGAAGGTCACATGAACGCGTGTAAGGCGTCTATTTTCGGAGATAAACGACGAGCGGTGCGTACTAGCTACGTCAGGCCGTTTCAAGCCGAACCCCTCCGCATTATACTCCACGGCGCTCGAGCGTAGCACTACCATCACAACGATACATAATGAAGACAACTACCTTTCTTAGAGCCGGCGTGCCAGCTTCCCGCAGCCTTGCATCCTCTTTCCCACGACCCGTCCGAACGAATCTACGAACGTTTACTACTACACGACGAGCGTCCTCCGACATGGATACAGCGGCATTCGGCGAACAACACATTGCAAAGGGCATTGGCCGCCTCACAAAGCATGTCTTCGAAGATGGCAAGGGTACCTTCATCACCACGGATAAGGGCGTTAAGCTGCTGGACATGACTGCTGGCATCGGTGTCGTGAACCTTGGCCATTGTCACCCCAAGGTTAGTGCCGCTGCAGCGGCACAATGCAACAAGATTACCCACGCCCAAGTCAACATTGGCTTCAGCTCCGCACAGATCGCTCTTCTCAAAGAGCTAATTCCAATCCTCCCGCACGAATCACTCGATACCGTCTTCTTCTGGAATTCGGGTGCTGAGGCGGTTGAAGCCGCCGTTAAATTGGCTCGCGCCGCGACGAAGAAGCCCAACATCATCGTCATGCAAGGCTCCTACCATGGCCGCACAAACGCCACTGCATCGATGACGAGATCAAAGACTATCTATGGTGAGGGTCATGGCCCGCTGATGGGCGGCGTCTTCGCGTCTGCGTTCCCATACTACAGCCAGTTTGGCCTCCCACCAGACACACCAAAGGACCAGCTCGTGAGCCAGGCACTGCTTCAGTTGAGGCTTACTCTGCAGCAGCAAACGTCTCCGGCAGACACCGCTGCTGTAATCCTGGAGCCTGTTCTGGGTGAGGGAGGCTACGTCCCAGCCCCTCCAGAGTTCCTACATGGTGTCAGGCAAATATGCGACGAGCACAATGTCCTTTTCATCGCCGACGAAGTCCAATCTGGTATGGGTCGTACAGGACACCAGTGGTTTGTCCAAGAGTCGGGCGTACGGCCAGACATTCTTGTCTTCGCAAAGGGCATTGCCAATGGGTTCCCTCTATCTGGTATCGCCAGCAGCAAGAAGCTCATGGATCTCCAGAAACCCGGATCGATGGGTGGAACATATGCGGGCAACGCAGTCGCATGCGCCGCCGCGACAGCAACGATCAAAGCCTTCCACGAGGAAAAGATTCTAGATAACGTCGCTGCACGCTCCAAGCAAATATTCTCATTCCTCAATGATCTTAAGTCTTCTGGGACTAAGGCCGGCAATTTGATCGAAGATGTTCGCGGATCAGGTCTCATGGTCGGTGTGCAGTTCGCGAACCCGGAGCTACAACGCGACTCGTCAAACACCGCCGCGCGTAATGGTCAGAGTCAGCCGCAGATAGCACCCAAGATTGTACAGGAGTGTGTCAAGCGAGACATGCTTCTTCTCAGTACCTCCGTGTTCGACGTACTGAGATTCATCCCACCACTCACAATCAGCGAGGAGGAATTGAGCCAGGCTTGCAACATCTTCAAGGAGTCTCTAGAGGCTGTTGCGAAGGAGATGTAACTTTCATTGGCTAAGTAACGCGATACATGTCATTTCGGAATATTAGGAACTGTAAAGTTAGCATATACATATACCCTTTTTTGCGCTCTAATGCGCTACTTGTCAACGAGCATCCGCATGGTTACCTTATGTTGTTAGCTTAGATAATGTGATGGAGCTGTGACCGGGAGGATCGCTCTGTCATGCCGCCTCGCGTTCGTTGTTCGGAAGGCCGAGCACCAATCAGCGTCATTTATGTCAGCCACTGCCAAAAGCGGACGAACAATGTGCCGGCTCGCGCGCTCGCTGCGTGCAACACCATGCGAACTTGCAATGCTTTGATAATGCCTTAACATTATACGTCACATAATTGGCCCTTATAAGACATGCAGAAGTTACCCAATTTCCAATATCGACAACAGTCAAAGTCACGCTTTCTTCGCCTCAACCTCATCATATAATACTTTATCAACCGTCCATGGCTCTCAGAACAGTTCTTGTCACGGGTGCAACTGGCAAGCAAGGTGGCTCGGTCGTAGATGCCTTACTAAAAGCGAACGCACCCTATGAGATCCTAGCCCTTACGCGGGATGCTCAATCTTCATCATCCAAGAAGCTTCAGCAAAAGTCTCCGAACATCAAGCTAGTCACTGGAAACCTTGATGCAGTCGATGAGATATTCGAGACAGCCAGAAAATCGACGCAGGCCCCAATCTGGGGGGTCTACAGCGTTCAGGTGAGCGCGCTTCAAAGATTGACCATTGGGCTTTGCTAAATAGTCCCACAGGCCCTCGGCAAGAACGAAGAGAAACAAGGCAAAGACCTTGTGGATGCTTCCATCAAGAATGGTGTATCCCACTTCATCTTCTCCTCTGCGGACCGTGGAGGTGCAAACTCGGACACAGATCCGACAGTAGTCCCACACTTCATCACGAAGCACAACATCGAGCAGCACCTCTTCTTTAAGGCCAAGAAAAGTGGCATGACGTACACGGTCCTGCGTCCTGTAGCTTTCTTCGAAAACTTGACACCGAATTTCTTTGGCAAGGTCTTCACCACGAGTTGGGCGATCAAGATGCCTAGGGAAAAGAAGTTGCAATTAATTGGCACCAGTGACATTGGGTTCTTCGCCGCTCAAGCGTTTCTCAAAAATGACGATCCGGTATATAAGGACAAGAGCATATCGCTAGCAAGCGAGGCATTGTCTTTTCAGCAATTCAAAGAAACGTTCGAGAAGAAGACGGGAGAGAAGCTTCCGATGACTTATCGATTTGTTGCCGGCGCGTTGTGCTGGATGTCAAAAGAGCTTGGATATATGTTCAATTGGTTCCGTGACGTGGGATTTGGCGCAGATGTTGAGGGATGCAAGAAGGTGAATCCGGGGATGAAGGATTTTGCGACTTGGCTTGAGACGGAAAGCGCGTGGAAGAAGGGCTGAGAGGGGCCAGCTGATGAGAGGAAGTGAAAACTGGATTGCGCAGCGACTTGTAATCATAGACTTCCGTGAGCAATCTACATCATCGGGCATTTCCAAACTTCGGAGCAGAGCGAAGAACATACTGTATAATCGATCTTCCATCCGGTTCAAAGTCTTGACGCCTCTCGTCCAGCTGCCCTTAATCCTTCCTCTCCATCAACAAGTACACACCATCCTTCTCCTCCCCTTCCGCCATTCCCACCAATCGCCGCCTTAAAGTTAGCTTGCGCATACTCCAGAACCTCTGCATCGAAGCTCCCAGGCTGCAGCCATACGGCGGGAATGCCTGCCTCTTTCGCCTCTTTGAGCAACTGCCTTGTAACGGCAGGTGGCGTGATGACCGATAGAGAATAATCTGATGCTGGTGGATCTTGGAGAGCGAGTGGTGAAGGCACAGTGGTATGAGCACGGTTTAATATCGTGACAGTCGGGCTCTTTGGGTTTAGTGGCGTCGCAGGGAGAGAGTGCTGGAGATACCACGCGAAGACTATAACATATCATCAGATATGGTGTACGGAAGGTACGACTGGAAGAACCGATGTTACCATACTTTTGTGCCCGTATTTATATGGATCGGAAGAAGCGCCGGCTACTGCGAAGCGTGGGCTTGAGAAAAAGAGTTTTAGTGCTGCCTCCATCTCCGCGTCGCGCTTTTGGCCTCGTGTTGTTGGCATGTGAAGCTCTTATCTTTCAATAGTGTTTGTTATTTCGCAGTGGTTTTGAGGGCTGGTTTGTAATAGTGCAGCATGCCTAGGCGTTTTATCGATAACGTCCTAAGTAACCGAGGCACGCGTCATGTCGTCATCCGCACGCGATCCCCGGTGTCGTGCCTTTGCTTTCCAGAATCATCATCAACATGGGTAGGCTAAGTATATCGTCCATGAATTTGTTGAGACTTTTCTCTCATTCGTACGAGCTGTCCTAGAAAATCAAGTATCTATGCGCAAACTAACATACTCCAGCTGCGAAATGATGCGATAGCTCCAAGGAAATGCGTGGGAGCTCTACACTTAATAGGGACTCCTGGGCCGAGTCGTTCCTTTGCTCTTCTGACACCCTCTTCTCATCTCCTTGACAATCTGCGTGCTTCACCTCTTTTGGAACTCTGGTCTCTCCAGGAGCTCGGAGTATTGGATGCTGCCGGCCAGAGATGTCGATTACAGCCAGAAGATCGCCTTTTCGTGTTCGCGGATAGTCGTCGCATGCGCCCTCCCACTGCCCAGCGCCAATGGCCTCATGTGCAAGCCGCTGGAGCTGCAACGTATCGCTTGTAACCCATTCGATACTGGCAAACGGGCTTTTGTACCTTTGCACACGCGCAGTAACGGTTGGTAGGCAAGCCGAGATGAGCATTATAAGGCTACCAAGGGAGAATATCAAGATAAGGCCGAGCACATTGAAGGAAGTATAGGAATCGCTCCGAATCTTCTGGTTGCTACAGATTGCTCGCGCTTCGGGAGACGTAGGCGGTGAGTGGAATGATTGAGCCTCTGGTACGACTGGACCAGTCGCTTGATCAACTATCGCCCGTTGTAGATCGGCCATGGTGAACTTGAACCAATGTTCAAGTTCAAGTTCCCACTGATTATCAGGTAGGCCATCTTGTCCGAATTGAGACACGTAGTCACTTGCTAGGAGAGATCCGCCTCTTAAGACCATGCTGATTTCAGTGAAACCTCCAGCCATGTTTTGGATGGCACTTAGAGACCAGAGAAATCGATCGATGTCTTTGGATTGTGAGAACACTGTTGCAGGAGCTGATCTTGCTGCTTCGAATATACCCATCAATGGCGTGCAGCTTTCATTGTGGTTTAAAGAAGGGTTACAAAATTGGTACTGCTGTACGCACGCTAGCGCTTTCACCGGCAGATTACTTTGGTAGTAGGTGATATTCCCGTAACTCGTGGAACGGCTGAAGGGACCCTCTTCGGCGGCAAACCACGGATCGACGACAGGCGTCGAGTAAACGATATCGTTCGTCTCAAGGAAGAAGACGCTTACATCAGCATCAGAGACTGAAAGTTCAGGGATAGGTTGCCATGAGTCATGGGATTGAAGGTTGTCTTCAACGCGTACGTCATAACGTGTGGTTAAACTTGACCAAGGTGTTAGTGACGAGACATGTCTTTCCATTAGCTATACTCACGAGATACCGTACTCACTGCGAGCTGTTCTTGGTCCTCCCTCCCCAAAACGCACAACATCGAACTGCCTAGTACACCCGGATTGGTCCTCTCCACATATCACCGGATCGTTTCCGTACAGAAACTGGACATTCCGTGGTCTCGCTGATGTGTTCCACTTCATATAACCTTCGTCTTTTATCGGAGCACATTCGTTCACAGTTCGATAGAGAAATCTTGAGGATGGCTGCGAATTGATACCTAGGTCGCGGTGACTATCCAAGAATCCGGAATCCAGACGGAGGGCAGATGCCGGCGAACGACATATCCTATCATTTCCTGGGAAAGGACAGGTATTGCCCTTTGTGATCGTTATCGGAAGGGTATCCCGGACAAAAGTGCGACAGTTCTCTGCCGACCTGGACTTCCCATAGCAACTTGCTTCATAGTTGGCGCTCGATCTGATTCGACTAGCAAGATATGATTGTGACGAGCGGATGTTTTGTGTTGTGAAAAGCGACCCGTTTAGCGTAGCGCATTTATCGCCTACGACAAGAACCTCACTGCCTCTCGATGTAGCAACTCGCGAAGAAAACACTCCAGCGGTAGTGAAGGCGCAGAAAGTTGCTAAGCTCATGACTAGTGGCAGCGAGACAGATTTGAGCATGGCCAATGGCACAACTCCGCGCCAGGTCCAAGACATCCTTGACAGCCTCCATAGCGCTGCTGTGCTTGTGTCTGAGTTTCGAAGTATCGCTTGTTGTTGGTGGTACAATGCACTCTGGGGTGCCTTCCTACTCATCTTTTGGTGGATAGAAAACGAAACGATTGCCCAGAAACATGTTCCAGTAAAGGTCACCTGAATTTAGTGAACCAAGTTAGCACATGTAAGAACATGGCTCATACAAGGAATTTACTTACGAAAAGCGCGAGGAAAGCAATAAGCAAGCCGCCATTTTGCAGGGTGGTTGTGAGTGTGAGTCCGGCAACAGAGCCATGAGACCAATTCGTCCAGATTCCAAGATACACCGACTCATGCTCAGACTCCATGGCAACGATCTTGACGTGTTTTCTAGGGGCACTAACGGCTTTCTATATGATGGCTAATGAAACCGAAATTTCTCTGGGGCTGGACCTGAGGCGTTTCATATATCCATGTAGAATGCACGTACAAACAAGATTGTCATATTGATAGATAAAGAAGCATACCGTAGAACCCAAGAAAGGAAGGGCCGAAGGTGACGAGGCGCAGCATAGTGTGATTTTCCAATGAGCCTATCACGACAATCCGTGACGGCGGAAACGATAGACTTATGCATTTAGGTGGTGGGGGCGGAAAAGACCACGAGATACCTAAGAAGGTAAGTCAACACACAAGGCTGAGTGGCGAAAGTATTGCAATTACACTCGTGTCGAGCTACAGTGTTACGCGATGCAATATCTATATCGGATGCAATTCTGTTATGCGGCAGAAGGCTCTACATCCATCACAGAAGTTGTTGAAGAGGAATTTGAAGAACTTTGGAAGAGCAATAATCGAAAGTAATTGCGAGGCGGGTCAGCCTTATCATAATATGCAGTGTAATGCACGATCTTTCGAGCTATGCCCCAATAGATTGCTACTGGTAGAGTCAAGTATACATTGGAGGATGAACTTAACATAGTCAGGTATCAGTAAAATAGCTGCAGAGTAAGGACATTGGCATAGCAGACTTGGGCTGCTTGGATCACAAATCAACAGTGCGAGACGGACATGAGTAGATATTATTAGACACCACTAAGGTTGTGTGACCTGCGGTGGCCAATCATGTTGTAGGTGTCAGATCTACCAAGACTGCACGCCATCCTTGTTAATGACTTTTCCGCTATCATCGTCTCTCTGTCCTTCGACAACATCCTTGATAAAGCCACCACCGATGCTTGGATCGCCAGCACCCCATCTTTTCATCATTTCCGGCCCCGCACCCCCCAGTCCTGTAGCCAAAAACCCGGGGCTGATACCGAATACCTTGACACCATCCACGCCAAGAGTTTTCGCCCAGTGCAGCATCAGCATATTCAGAGCAGTCTTGCTAGAGCGATATGCTGTTTGAGCCATGGATGGTGGCTTAGGCCAGCCCTTTGGCGGTGGCGTGTTGAGGAGCTTGGAGTCAAAACTGCCGGAGCAATTCTCTAAAGAGGACAGACCGGAGGTAATGAAGATAAGCCTAGAATTAGAGGAGGCGATCAAGAGGGGCGCAAAGACATGTGTTATCACATGGGTGGAGGTTGTGTTAAGAGAGTAGGCTTTATTCCAAGCTGCGCGGATGCCCTTGGGGCTAGGATCTTCGCGCATGATGCCGTCGAATGATCCACCTACCATGAATCAGATTATCATATCGACGGAGAAAAGGAAGACATTTACCGGCATTATTGACCAAAGTATCAAGCCTTCCATACTTGCTCTCGACCTCTCTAAACGCTTTCTCAATAGATGCATCGTCTTCAATGTCGATCTGTATCGGTACGACCTCCGATTCGGACTCCAAGACCTCGGCTTTGAGCTTGGAGATTGAATTTTCCGCCTTCTCGAGGGAGCGACTACCCATTAGGATGGTGTGCGGTTGTGGCGAAGCATACAAAGCCTTGACGCTTTCGTAGCCGATGCCAGTATTGCCACCGGTGATAAGAACAATTCGTGGGTCGGTCATTTTGGTCGAGAGGCTGCAAGCTTGTGTAATGAGTTCTGAAGGTGTCACCTGAGCAAGCTTCGTAGAGAGTATATCATTATAACCCCGAGGTCTTATCGTGCTGTTGACGATTTTCCCCACCCGGAGCTAAGTCCCCCGCATTACCGACGACCATAGCAGATAACAACAACACATTGCTCTGAGAGTTGTGTAGTACTTGAAGAACTATTGTTATTAAGGAGATCAACATGTTTCCGTAACTTACCTCATACATGAAAAGGTGTTCGTGCCAGTGCCGGGCACCGACGTCAATAGAATGGCGATCTCTGACCCTGGATCTAGCCTACTACTGGTACGCCCCTACAGATTTGCTCCCAGGGCTCGAGGTTATACCACGGTCATCAGGGGACCGGCATTGGGGACCACCCAGATACGAGGAAACCTGAATACATTGATCTTATGTTCTACATGGTCCGTGATTGGAAATACCAGCTTCAAAAGGAACTCTGAAACTATCATACCTATAGGATGGTCTACATTACAAGCACATAACCAGCGGCCAGATGAAGAAAAGGACAAGTAACGAGGAATTGCACAACAAAAAAAGACCAAGAGAGATGCTACCGCTTGTACCGCACGTTATTGAATTCGGTTCGATCCTATCAGCGACTCGAATCGTTATTGAAGTTGCTGATGAACACTACCAGCACTGCGCAGTACGCTGCACTTGCAGCAAAGAGTTCGTGGCGTTTGGCTTTGGTCAAAAGGCTCATAGCAGCCGAAAACAGCAATGTGAACACCACCAAGAGGCCGACGGCGTCAAAGGTGGAGTTGCGGTCTCCTACAGAGGTCAACTTGTACATGGCGACGACTGGAAGTACAAGTAGTATGAAGATTATGAGCGTAATAAATAAACCGACGAGTTTCTCAATACGAGACTGTGAATAGTAGTGCACATGCTCGTCGTTGGTCTTCTCACGAAGCTCTTTGGTTGCGAAGATCCTCTATGTATTGTTTAGTGTAAATCTTGAAGTGGATGCGAAAGATCATACCTGGACGATGCGACAATGCACTCTCTGGATGCACGACTCGATGAAGCCATCAAAACCAGACCATTCGCGACCATGTCGGAGTGAAACGAGGTCTTCTTTGCGCTTTATGAACTGCTCTTCTAGTTCGTAGCTGAGCGGTTTCTTGTTCCAAAACCATGTGCGAAAGCTGCGATAATCGCGCTTCGACGGTCGTTGGAAAGCGTTGAGTTCTCTGGCTTTGAGAAGTACTTCATCTAATCAAAGAGTCAGCTAAACGCTGCGAAATCGCGAAAGGATCAACTACCGACCGTAGCTAATGAGCTTGCTCCTTATGTTGTCCAGTATGCATGCACGCGGGCTCACTACACCTTTCTCCTTTGCGTACTTGAGGTCATCTTTACGGGAGCGCAGCCGGTTCTCCCCCTCGTTCTCGAGATCTATCTCTTCAAGGTCTTCTTCCAGACAGCGTAACTCGTCTTGCAAGTCAAGTATGACACGAGCGTGAAGATAGCTGAAGCCACGGTAAATGGACCAGCTTGACTCACTCGACTGGAAGGCTGCTTGTAGGGGGTAGCCTGTCGAATAATCCTGCACTGATAAGAACGTTAGTGATATGCCATAAGGCTGATTCGATGGGCGAATCTCACAAGGTATGGTCTTAGTTGTGTTAATCTCTTTATCTATCTGAGCACGAGATAGTTTTGGGCCTGGAAGATTGTTTCAGTACGACTCAGGAGGCATTGCTAGGGGGCGGAGCACGAACGGGGTATGTCCTTATTCACTAGCGTGACTGCACGACTGCCGATATCGATGTCGATGTCGATGACAGCATCTCCAGAGCCTTGCGAGCTATTTGACCCACGTTTCTCGACGTCGGCGAATGGAGCGGAGGATTGCATGTTGTAGAGAAAACCATGAGATCTGTTATCAGATTGAAAAGATGCTTTACGAAAGAAGTGGAAAAGTAAAGGCTTCTTAAGACAAAGCAGTCGTCACATAAGGCTGAGATACGACAGGTGGTGGCTATGCCGTGAAGGTTGTTGATTGATTAGCGCAAGGCTAGCTTTCCGGTGGAGATGAGTTTCAAGCGGCCTTCAGTTCTGTTTCGGGGAACCGGGCGCCATCTTCGTGCAACGAGCCCTCAGAGTTGCTAAGCTGGTAAACCCATCGAAGACCATTGTCGTGCGCAGTAGAAATTGTGAACGTTCTGAAGCTAGTTCGTGTACTACCATCTTCCAGAGATTCTATGACTTTCATTTTGACTTTATCCCCAACCTTGAAACCTGCTACGCGCTTTAGAGGGCCGGTCAGTTTGTCTCTGATCCTAGGAGCGTATCGCTTGAACTCACCTCAGCGGCGTTCGCGTCTCGTGCCACGTTGGCTTTCTTTCGCTCACCTTCGGGTATAGTCGCCTATAGAAATGACAGAGCTCCGGTCAGCGTGAACCTAATAAAAGGTCGCACGTGAAAATGGGGTCCGTGTGACATTACCTGAGAGGACATGGCAGGCAACCAATGCCCGCTTTCAAAAGATTGATCGCCTTGAGTACAGGTCCTCTAGACCAGAAATATTAAGGTGTCAAGGCAGCAAGGCAGACCTGTGCGCAGCAGTGATTCTTATAGTCATAGCCTCGCGAGAGGGCCATAGTGTAGCCAGTCCTACAGGCAATCAAAGTACCCCATGAGCGATCGGACCGGCCCTCATTTGGAGTTTGAGCCTCATATCCCCCGTTCGTCCAATGAAAGATTGAGCACGGCTTTGTAAGGTAGGACCGGTTCGCGCTATGGTTGGCGGATAAAGTGGTGGCGTTGGAGGACGATAGCGGGGTTGTATCGAGATCCCGCAAGCCAATAGATACCAAGGCGGACCCGTAGGCAAACTAGGCGAACAGGTGTTCTCGCGACTGATGAACGTGACGAACAAGGTATTGGGCTGAGTAGTGAGTACACAGCCGCTTGAGGTCCTTCATGATGGCTGTGTTACCGCGACGAACGACGCGATAGGGTTACATAAGGCAAATGCTTTCTGTCGTGTTGCGCAGCGAGTTCAACCCAGGAATTCATCCCACTATGACAGCCTCACGTCATTCCACCGTACGACATGGTAATGCCACGTATGTCAATGCCGGTCAAAATTCTACACCGAAGAACCTGTCCCGTCAGAACTCCCCAATTGTGATCGAAACTACCACCTCATTGCGCCCTAGTGATGACGCAGAAGAACTGAAACGTGAAGCGGCAAGGCGAACCCTGTTCCAGAAGATATCCAATAACCAGTTCGACATACCCAACGGATACCGCAAAGTCGAAGTTCTCATACTCCGTTGGGATGAAAGCATCGATGATTTTGGAAAGGGCCACAATCAGGAGGTGAAGCTTCGATCCATGGAAGTAGAATGCCAATACTGATACAATTCCCAGGTCCAAAGATTGGAGGGCATTTTCTCCGATCTTGGCTATGGGGTCACGGTCGCAAGCATCAAAGATGACCATCCGCAAGTAGATTTCAACCTCAAGATCCTCCAGCATATACGCCAACATGACGGAGATGACAATCTGCTCATTGTGTATTACACAGGCCATGGAAGTCAGGTTCGAAATGGTCAGGTTCGAAATCTTGAGCTGTCTGCGTAAGGCATAAATCTTTTGTGTGATGATGTGATGCTAACGTTACTCAGAACAGAAGACTCGAGCGGACATGGTGACATTGCACCGGTCGCATTTTGGGGCCTAGCAGAGGAACCTTTGCGTACTCTCGCCAGAGCTGATGTGTTTTCCATCCTAGACTGTTGCTGCGCTAGCACTGCAGCAGTGAAGGGTAGAAGCATAGAGTTGAGAGCATATCAATTGTTGGCAGCATCGACGTTCGAAGGTAATACGAATGGTCCAGGAGAAAAATCGTTCACCACGGCGTTTTGTGATTCACTCGAAGAATTGATTCGAGACTCCAAGGGAGAAAGCTTCTCCGTATACCGGCTCTGGGAGACGATTAACAAAAAACGAACGTCTGATACTGCACTTATATGGAACCGCCTCCAGCGTGAAACCCGGAATATCGATCTTCACCACCTCAATTACAGCGCCCAAAGAGACGCTTCATTCCAGAGACAAAATCCTGAACGATCTTTTCTAGTGTTGAGGTTGTCTCTGATGGAGAACGACTTGAAAGATAATCAGATTGATAAACTGGCCCGGAATTTGCACACGGCTTGCAAGAAGTCAGGAATCCCTGGGCGTCAAATGGAATGGGTGAAGATGGAGCAGTCGCATCCTATAAAGTCCTTCTACAAATTGGTGAAGAGGGTGCAGCGCGATCAGAGACGTCAGAGCACTCCTGGAAAGCCGCAAGAGGAACAGCAAGAGCCACACCGAGGACAGCAAGAACAGCAGTCATTGTTCGAGTGTAGAGCGTCTAGTGGATCAAACGTCATATCCTTAGAGGCTCGAACCAAGGTAGAAAGCGTCCGGATTCCGGACAACGAATTTTTTACGGTATCCAGAAGCAATCGATTTTGTGTTTTGCGGGCCTGAGAGAAACCAATGGGCTCTATTACGAGAGCTTGGTCGTTCCGTCTAATTAGGTATTGTTATGGGCATCCACTGGCGGACGATTGCCACGGGCGTGCTCAGATTGGGACTGGCTGTAACCAAGCATAGTGAAGGCTCGGAGCATCGTCAGAGAGTTTCTCAATGGGCAAGTGTCATGTGGACGCCTGATAAACCGTGGCAGATATCAGATGCGTGAGAAAGCATTGTCAGCGTGTGTAGACCAGGCGAAAGGATTGATACCATAGACATATATTCTGTTTATCATAGAAGACATGGATCAGAATGCAATGCAGAGTCGTGTTATTTGAGAACGTGTATGGTCTTGAAGTATGTATGTGTGTGTGACGCGAGCGAAAAACAGCCTCAAGGGTTGCCGTGAAGGAACCTCGGAACAGATGACGCGTGACGTCGCGACAACACGCTAACCTGATTACGACAGCTCCACCGCTATCTCCGCATCACCGCGTCAACCACCGATAGGTCTCCAGGCTGCACCTTATCATAGCTCTCACTACCATCTTCGTTCTCAGCAAACATGAAGTCAACTACGCTATTGCTACCACTCTACACTGCAGCCTTTGCTGCTACGGTTTCACATCCCAAGGACCCCCAAGTCGTCTTGCAAGAGCCGCAGCTTACTATCGTCGAGCCGGATGAGTATCTCATCGAGCTATCACCTGGCGAGACAAGATGGGTCACCGAAGACGAGAAGTGGGAGCTGCGTAAGGTATGGAGAACCACCCAACGTCGAGAGCTATCCGCGTGATGTACGTTCAGAGGCTTGTCGCTGACATGGCCTAGCAAAACATCAACTTCTTCGACATTACGCACAACGAAGAGCTCGGTACGCTCAACCGCCAGTTCAAGACTGAGAGCGTAAAGTTCCCCGAAAAGCCCATTTACAATGAAACCATCGCTCCGCTACTCAAGAAGCTGGAAAAGAACAACATGCGCGAGCATCTCGAGACCTTTACCTCATTCCACACCCGATACTACAAGTCGAAATACGGTGCAGAGAGCTCGGCATGGCTTCTTGAGCAGGTCGACAAGACTCTCGCCGATGCAGGCGCTCTCAACGCCTCCGTGAAGGCGTTTCCCCACCCCTGGGGCCAATCCTCCATCATTGCCACAATCCCTGGCAAGAGTGATAATACGATTGTCATTGGTGCCCATCAAGACAGCATAAACCTCTTCTTCCCATCTCTCTTGGCTGCCCCAGGAGCCGACGACGACGGCAGTGGTACCGTTACCATCCTCGAAGCATTACGCGTACTGCTCAAGTCGGAGGAGATCCTCAAGGGCGAGGCAGACAACACAATTGAGTTTCACTGGTATTCTGCCGAAGAGGGAGGTCTCTTAGGATCGCAGGCCATCTTCCAGTCTTACGAGAAGGAGGCTCGCAAAGTCAAGGCTATGCTTCAGCAGGACATGACTGGTTACGTTCAGAAGACGCTCGATGCAGGCGAGCCAGAGTCTGTTGGTGTCATTACCGACTTTGTTGATCCTGGCCTCACCGAGTTCATCAAGCAGATCATCACTGTCTACTGCGGCATTCCGTATGTCCTGACCAAGTGTGGTTACGCCTGTTCCGATCATGCCAGCGCATCCAAGGCCGGCTACCCGTCAGCTTTCGTCATTGAGTCAGACTTCAAGTACAGCGACAACAAGATTCACACAACCGAGGACAAGATTGAGTTTCTAAGCTTCGACCACATGCTTCAGCATGCGCGGATGACACTTGCTCTGGCATACGAACTTGCTTTTGCAAAGTTCGAGTAGCGTCGGATAGGATGTAATGAGATCTAAGTTGTACAGTCGACTTGAATGGTTTATTGTCATTGCACGAACAGCCAACGATGTTATATTTATGAATCAACCTCATGAACGATGCTCAAGAATCATCGAGCTCTCTAAATATATGTGACATATGCATACCTTCAGCACTGTATGTTACAGGATTTGCGGAAAGGAATTATGTACTAGCACAATGCCCTATTGATAGCCGCATGTTCCTTCTATAGCTTCCGTCTCAGTCATCTCTACCCTCTACGTCATCTAAGTCGTTACCGTCAGAGCACTCGTCATCGTCGCAATATTCTAAGTGATTAAAGTTACCATGTCTCCACACAGATCTTGGGCTTCACTCTGGACACCGACACACCCCTTCTCATGCTGCAAAGCCCTGGTTTGTAGGTATCCACGTACATAATTATGGGGTGGTGGTACGTTATCCTGTGCATCATAAACCACAAGATATTCTCATCACGGTACAAACGGCGAATGCTCTGGATGACGAGTTGCTGGTGCGTGCGGCATAGCAAAAGCAGCACGATTAGCTGTTGAGCAAGACTGTCAACAAAAGCGGCATATATAATTCAATGGTAACAACCCATCCGTCTATATGCAGATGCAGTGCGAGTATAAACTCGTGTCAGGCCGTATACATGAGTAAAGCAGACTGAACAAGCGAATGTAGAGGATGCGAGGGGTCTCGAGACGAGCTCGAGGCCACGGAGAACTAGACCAAGCCATAGAGTGGTCGCGGCAAAGAGCTGCAGACCTGGCTGTCGTTGTTTCCTGCCTTGAGCTTCGCGCCCTTCAAGCCAACGTATGCTTCGCGCCTGGCTGGGTTGCCAACAGTGACACTCCACGTCTTCAAGCCATAGTAGACACCGATATGATGTACGAGCCAGCGTCCAAAGCTGCCACCAACGTCTTCCTCAGGTGTCTCGAAGAGCATGAGCTCTTTCTTGATAGCCTCAGCCTCTGTGGGTGAGCGTAGATCGTTCATCTGTCCGTTCCTTCCAACAAAGACGATCTCGTCGTCTTCGCTGTCTGGATCAGCAGGTAAGCCATCTTGCTCTGCCTTGCGCTCCTTCTCCTCCCAGTCGGCGACGAACTTGCGGACCTCGCCCTCGAGGTCCATGAGAAGACCCTTGGCGCCGCGCGATCGCTTGAGCTTCTCGCGCAGTTCCTTGGGCACGACACCGGGAGTTGTGGGCTTGTTGGCTACGGTCTTGGTCGCAGCCTTTTGAGCGACTGCAGCGGTCTTGCGTTCGTTGGACTGGCGCTTAAGGCCGGCATCCCAGAGGGGAGCAAGATAGTAGGGCACGTTTTTAGCCGTGTAGGTAGGATGAACTTCCCAGTCTTTTGGCAGTGGAGGCTCGGCGTAGGGGTTGTTCAGGAGACGGTCTGTCTAGAAATCAATGGACGCGTACTTTGAAGAATGAATTGCTTAAATTGCAAGTGGTGATGACAGAGCCGTGTTGTAGTGCGCAAAGTGTCATTGAGAGAGGGGGAGGGGACACCCTCAACGTACCATTCTCCCAACGCTGCCTGCGCCTAGACCCCTCTTTGCCCTTTAGCAGAGCTTCACGCCTCTTCAAGCTGTCGCGGCGGAGTGGTTCTTTGCGACGGTAGTAGCCGCCCTCCTTTGCAGCTGCTGAAGCACCTACGGGCTGTCTGGCAGCTGCAGGCGCATCGTGTTCATCGAGCGGGATCGCAAGCGTAACCGAGGTACCCTGAAGCGCATCTCCAGGGGCAGATATGGCCACAGAACTGAGCGCAACGGTCGCCTGCTCGGTCCACGCTTCAATATCGATGGGTTGAGGTGGGGCAGTTGCCTGCTGGGGGCTTGAGGGAATATCGCCGACGGCCATTGTGGTGGCGTTGAGGGTGTGAACTACGAGAAGAGGAGTATAGATGAAGTCCAAGAGAGAGGAAGTGCTAGTACACCCAGCAAGAAGATGTCTGAATAGAGGACAAGGAGACAGAAGCTCTATTACACACCGAAGATGTGTTCAGGGACAGATGGCGATAAAGGCCGCGGCGCGATAGGAGAGTCATTAGGTCATGGTCGTAGTTCGCGTCGTGCTCGCAAGCCAATCAAGCGGCAAACGTGGGGCAAGCCGCGCATCATGGAGTGAGACAGCAAGAGTCACACGTCTGTGACTGTACATGCACTCAACGTTATGTTCGTTCAAGGCCAGAAAGGTGATGATGTAGTTATTGACGGTCGTGGTTCTTTTGTGTGCTGTACGAGCTAAATACGAAGCGTACGCAGCCCGTCTATCACATGTCATCCGTCGCCTTCCGCTTCTGCAGCTTCTCTATGAAAGTAACATGAGCAGCTCAACACAAAAACATCATAACCAAATAGCATTACCCGTCAGCCGCATAGAGATCCTCAATATCAGCTGGAGTAGTGATTTCGTTGCGCTCGGCAAACTCCTTCCAGTTCAGTGTAGGTTGATGCCACTTGCGAGCCGACACCAAATACTTCTTCCACTGCGTGCTGTTCCCCTTCGCGCGGCGCCTGAATTCCACAAGCGGCCAATCTATCTTCTCGACGCCTCCGCCTCTACCTTGGATTGATAACTGTAGACACTTCGTATACCACTCTGGTAGCCCAGTAATCTCTACGTCCTTGATGCCGCGAAGGTATGCAAGGCTTTCAAGACCGAACATGAACTTTTCTGTGTCCTTGGGAACACAGGAATATACGATGCCCCGAACAGTGTTCCCGCAAGCAGATTGAGCTGGCTTTTGTGAAGTAAGCTGGAAATCGACCTTCAGGTCTTCCAATAGAGATTTCTGGTCGCTATCATCTGCATACTCTTTTAGGATTTCGACAAGGTACTCTAGTCGTGACCGCTGACGCTTGACGGCCCAGTGGCTGTTGATATCAGGAACTACCTCGATATGAATGCGCCGCAGATTGCGTAACAATGGGAGTCGATCGGGATGACCAAGAGGTCCGAAGACGAATGGACTCCGTAGTGACTTTGGCCACATGGTTTGTCCATGGACAGTGAAATTATAGGTATTCAGTCCATACAGAACCGCTGAAACAGTTAACAAAAGTGAATGCAAATATGGTGACAACTTACATAGCGCCTCGTTGGAAACGAACTTGCTCACCCGAAATAGCTGCGTCTCGACTGTGATATGGTTCCAGCGACGCACCAATGTGTTTTTGTAGAAGGGATTTCCACCTATCCTGCTAGGAACGTCTTCACCCTTTCGAATGCCATATGTGGTCCAGTCAGGCTCGCCGCTCCTCAACCAACCACAGTTTTCAAATGTGATGACCATATCATTTGGAATCAAGAAAGAGTACACATGGTATCGGAGCTCCGCTGGAAGATCAAGAAGGCGGAAGTTTGTCATGGTTTCGCAGGCAAGGAGGCTTAGTCGATGTTGAACTTGTAAGAGGTGTCGGTAGGGATCAAAAGTCGAGTGGGTGAACGCAATCAACTCAGCAGGCGAGATGAGCAGGGACAAATAGCAAAGCCCACGTGCGCCAAGATCACTTGTTCTACGTAGGCAGCAACGAACTCGAAATGGTGTATTGAGGTGAGCTGGGACGACCAGTGTAGTAGTGGGAGAACATGTATTTGGGCGGCGCGAGTGCCAAAGAGAGCAGTTCAAGTAGGGCAGCAGCAGAGACGTGAGATCCAGAAGACGGCGTGGTGTTGGGGCACAGTTGCAGGCTGCATCGCCAAGCGAGCCTTCCCACTGTTTCCGAAAGTAGTGTTCTGCTCGACGTCAGGCAAGTGTGAAAGGTACGATAGCACATGGGCGAAATGGGGTCAACTACAGAGGAAGGACCTCAAAACCTATCTGTATAATGTCTAAGACAGGCACAAGTTTGTAGAAGAGACAGAGGTCCATCCGTAGTGACGCGAAGCTCAGGCTCGAACGCGGAGGAGGTCATAGCTGGTGACCAGGCATTGAGCGCAGATGCAGTTTGGACAAAGGCTTTCATACAACGCTCTGTTCGTCTCTTCCGTCCCTCGCCATCTCCTCTGCCAGCCACTCGGCTTCTTCCTGCATCTCTTGGTCGGTCCGGGGCTTGCGGCTATCATTGTCCACAGCAGGGAAGCGCCCCTTCTTTTCTTCTCCCGCGAGATGTGCTTTAGCTGCCCTCTCCCTGTCGGCAAGCTGCTTGCTCAGGTCCGCATCTTCGCTCTCCATCATGCCGTATATAGCATCGGTGCCACCCTTCTCTTCCAAGTCGTCCTTCTTGCGAGGGATGATGTGTGCATGAACATGGGGCACGCTCTGGCCTGCGTCTACGCCGTCTTGTATGGCGATGTTCAGGGACGAGGCACTGAAGACTCGCTCCACCATGCGGGACACCCGCTGCACGGTCAAAAATAGGTCCTGCACTTCGGCGGCGGACAGATCGTTGAAACGCGGCACGATACGGCGCGGCGACACCAAGACATGACCAGGCAGAAGGGGCTTGAGGTTGACTATGGCAAAGGATAGGCGCGTTACGTGGAAGACCTATGTGCGCATGATTAGCCTGTGTCGTGTGTGGTCTGAATTTGTGGCTGCACCTGGTTCGTCACCACAAAGGTGCCGAACTTGATGACATCCTTTGTGAGCGGCATTCTCCCCGGTTCGTCGCCTCAAGTCGTGTCTAACAGGCGTCGCAAGTACTGAGGCGCCAAGCAGTCTCAACGCAAGGGCGCGCGCGGGCGGCGGCGGCGCGCCGAAGATTGAAACCACACGGAACTTTCCTCGCACCTTCTACTGCGTGCTGCGGTATGCACGCCATACCTCCTTCACCCCACTGCCCTTTAGCGCCGACGCTACACCGGAAACTCGAGGCGAGCAGAGGACCCCGTTCTCGGCCCAATCTCAGCTCCTGTCACATGAGTTGCAGCGGCGCAATCAGAGTCCAAACAGCTGCGACGCGTGGTGAGCTGCTGCAAATCCATTCGCACAACCAGATCCACGTCCACCACCGTGGGGACGCATCGTGGGGTTTGCCCTGTGCTTTTGGCTGCCCGCTCTGTGTGCGTGCTGACGCGCCATGACGACGCCGCCGCCCTCCTGCTCTGTCTTTTTACTCATCCACCGCCGGCCACCTATTACACTATAAATCTTACCTCCTCAACATAGCCTCTGTGTGACTCCAATACGTCCTGTTTGCTCTTATCAATACCCGTTACTACTGTGGAGCCACCTGGTGGACCCTTTACTCAGACCTTTTTGCTAGCACACACCTCTGACTCCCAGCTTAGCCTACTTGGACAGCCGCAACTCCACCAGCAAGACACGCCAAGAGGGTCTCACAAGTGAGCTTGGCTGGAGTATTGGGTTTCGAGCCCGGACCGTCTTTCAAACAAATCACCCTCCAGCACAAACACGATTCCGCCTCACCCGCCTTTGTGCAGACGAGCGACAAGCTACTATTGATTGACTTGGCACTCTGCGCTGCGGCGATCCTACATCCTGACGACGAGACAGGAAGGATCCCCACAGTCCCACCACGTACGCTTGTTCCCTAAGCGTAAGAACCAGCATCAGGGTTCGTTTACAGATTCCTTCGGTCCAAGTATAAGAGGGTCGGACCTCCGATTTTCTGCTCTTCTGGCCCCCAAGTCGGATATACCATATTCCACAACGTTCCACTCCGATTACATAGCGCGAATACCACACACGCTCCAGCCCACCTTCTCGCTGTCCTCATCGTACCACGGTTTCCGTTGATCGGTACCGCGCATCGCTCCTAGCCGACTATATATAAAAGTCTCTCGGCATCTCCTCTTACGGTTCACAAGCATTAAATCTCCGATACAACAACCATCCAACTACTCACTCACACATCTACAACTTCCATAATGGATATCGCCACTACTTCCCGCGCTTACTTTGCCATGCCCTCTCCCACTCCCGAGGAGAAGATCTCCCTCCAGGCCAGCAACACAGTCTACACCTATCACTGCCTGTGCAACCACCTCCTACTGGCAACCACCACACCGCTCCCTTCTCTACCCAAACGCCAACATACACGCGATGCCGCACATATCATGCCGCTTCCGCCAGCACCCACTTCGGGCCGCAACAAGAACGCGCCGTCGCAGGATCACTATGGACTCCTCCTCTCTACCCGACAAGACCGCCAAGCTGAGATAATAACCAGCGACGAGGGCTTTGAGAAGCGTTACCTACAGCGTTGTGGACGGTGCAATCTGGTTGTAGGATACCAGTTGGACTGGCAACAGTTCTCCGTCGACCGGTCTGGTAGGCGCGAGGATTACGTCTTCCTTCTCCCAGGCGGTTTCGTCAAGACGAGCGACATGATCATGGGAAAAGCAGCTACCGCATCGACATCCGCCTCAGCAGTCGGCGGCGCGGGCATGGGCACGGTCAGTGTCACCCAAGTCAAAGCGTAGGCGGATCCGTCCGACCTGCGTCAGCCGTTGAACTCTGGGGCTCCCCGCCTTCCGCAGCTTACTCCACGGGGAAGCATGCGCAGGTTTCCTCAACAGAACGTTCTTATGGAATCATGATTACGATTGCCCTGACGAGTCTTGCTTTCGGCGCTTATTGATTTCAGTTGCTTTTTCGGAGTTCGGGACGTGTAGATCAGCGGGACGTTTTCCTTTCATCATCATCATTATCAGTACATTTAGATACCCCATTGGTGAACGCGCAAGGCTTCTCATGCTACAGGAGGAAAGAAGCCTATATGTTTACAAACAGACAGCGTCCCTTATGGATCCAAAAACAGTGTTGTATTCCCTGTTTACATCAAGATATCACTGGTGTGCATTTGTGTGCGTGTGTGAGTGTGAGACTTCACTAATGCAATCTTGTCTTAGCATCATATTCGCTGCTCTCGAGCTGTCCGACTCCCATGCCCTGCTGCCCTACAATGTGCAGATATCAAAGAAGTGTATATATGTATCATGTTAAGACAATTCCAACGCCGACGTAATCCGCATGCAAAAAACCGTGACCCGTTTCAGACATGCTCGCATAAAATCTCAATGGAGAAGGAGAAGAAGGGACGAACAAGAATTGCAAGAACCAACGTTTAGTTCTCCGCAATAGTCTTGACGAACTCTGCAATCACCAGTCAGTCAAAGTCTCCTGATGCTCTGTTCAAAGGTGTAGAAACTTACCCCTGTAGTCCACCTCGTTATTGCTTGCATCGATGGTGCTCTTGAACAGCTCATCGACCTCCTCCTCGCTCATCTTCTCTCCCAGGTTGGTCAGAATGTACTTGATCTGACCCTTGCCGACAAACCCGCTCCGGTCCTTATCGAAGACCTGGAAGCCGCGGATGTATTCCTCGATGTCAAAGGGTTCGCGGAAGCCGCCGGGGCGGTTGAGGATCTTGGAGAAGGTGTCGAAGTCGACTGTGAGCCACCTGTTAGCCCCGGCACCCATGTGCAGCAGGCGCAAAACGCTTGGAAAGCGAATGCGTGCATGGCGGATACATACAGTCTGCGCCAACACCGCGCTCGAGATCGGCAATCTCAGCCAGTGTAGGGTTCTGTCCACATGCGCGGAGGAGGTCACCCAGCGCACCGCGGTCGACACGGCCGTTGCCACGCTTGTCGAAGAGCTGGAAAGCTTCGCGGTAGTTGGTGGAGGCCTGATGACTGTTATCCATGGCTGTTCTTCTCTCGTCTTGTTCAAATCGCTAATGGTGGGGTTGTTGGGCTGTTGGGCGTGGGTTTGCGATGCTGCCGTTGGAAAAGTCAAGTTGCAGTGTTGACACCATGTGCAACAGAGTGAAGCACGCGCGTTGTTTTGCTGCGGCCACTCGCCGCTGCCCGTTGCCCGCACGCCAGGGCAGGGACGACCTGGCCCGCGGCCAACCAACGATTGCCCAGAGGCCACGAGCGATGCGGGGTCCGAGTTCCGAAGAAGAAAAGACTCGACTTACCATTGTGTATAATGTGTACTGCGAGAGTTGCTTGGTGACAAGAAATATATTCAGCAATTCCGAAAACGGTGGTATAGGCGGTGTGAGGGTTTAATCTGGTGTTGAAGGGGCTGTTAGATGTATCCTGAGCGTGGGCCGCCGAGTGCGTCGAGCGCAAAATACTGCCCGCCGCCAAGGGCGATGCGCCGTCGTCTAAGCAACCAGCGGTGTACTAGCTGTGTCCATCAACGTTCATGTTAGGCACAACAACAAGCTATCGATTTCCAAGAAATGCTCAGAATCCTCTAGCTAGTGCATATACAACACGAGCGGCCGTATCCTTTGTTCGATCAAGACAATCCCGCACTTTGCACCTGCAACTATGAGACCATATGCTCAGTACGGAGAGACGGAGATATTGCGATCTTGCAAATCCATTCTATTCACACCCTCGCATCTAGTGAAAAATATCTAGAACTTCTCCATCAGGTTCTTTCTCACGGTCCACATCCGTGCTCTCTTGCCATAAATGTACATGGGAATACTGAAAAGCATGCATCCCAATTGGATGCCTCCGATCGCTAAGAATGTATCCTTGCTACCGCTCGACTCTAGCCAATGCGGGAAGAAGAGAGAAAAGATGAAGCCGTGTAAAACGTCTGTCAGAATGTGTTAGTTTCCATGTAAATGTAGGTAACATCAGGCTGGACGTACTCTTTGAGAAATTAAGCGTGACAAGCGCCTCACCCGCATACATGCGATAACTGTCAACCACGAAAGTAATGGCTGTGGTACTAGCCAGCGAACAGCCGAAGCTGATGACGCCGAAGAAAACGGTCGGAACAATCCAGCTGTCCCTCTCTTCAGCACTCCAACCAAAGCCCATGAGTCCAATGACAGTGCTAATGGAGATCGGTACCGCCATGAGGAGACGGAATTCTGGCTCGTATACGCCATCATTCTTGCGTGCCATGAATCGTACCACAAGGTCGGAGACTCGGCCTGCTACTGCAGTACCCAGAACACCACCTACAAAAGGGGAGATGTAGACAAGACCCACTTGAAGTGGGGTGAAGTTGTACGACGTGTCGTGGTAGATGTGGGCAACCGATTCAGAAAGCACAATCAGCCAACCAACAGCAAGAGCGTAGACGAGCGATGACCAAAGGACAGCGGGATAGGCAAACAGGATGAATGGGCGGATGGCTACGCGAAGCCACTTGTCTTTGACAAGACGCCCGTTCCACGGCTTGAGCGACTGGCGATACGACTTTGCCGGGGCGTCACGGTAGTAGTCGGTGTAATGAATCGAAAACTGTTCTGACACATGGTCATTTTCGGCAGGATCCGTCGATACATGTTCGCTGCCAGGACGACTATCTTGTTTCTCTGGATCAGCTACGAAGGTTTCCGGAAGTTGCCCGAAATAGTCATGACGCGGGTTCTCGCCAGGCGTGGAGTGGATGCTCATCGGAGAGCGTGGAGTCGGCGGCACACTTGCGTGTCGCCCAGTACCATCAGCAATATCTGCATGATCAGTCTTCTCGTCAGGGTCTGGCTCAGCGAATCCAACATGTGTGTTCTTGTGACGTTTGGCGGGCACCTCGTTGGCCGCTGCCAGAGGCGATGTGGGCAAGGGTGTTGCTGGTACTGATGCATTCTGTGCATGCGATGCATCGACAGCCTTCTTGTGGTGCATATTTGGCAGATGAAAGTGTCCATGGTGTTGTCCTGGACTCTTGCTACGGGCGCGATTGTGTCGCTTGGCTGGCCTGGGTGCTCGGTCCCAAAAGGTTTCGGGCACGAAGAAGAAGATAAGGAAGAAACAGAAACCGACGACAATGGCGGTAATCCAGAAGACCCATCGCCAGCCCAAAGACTGCACAATAACGGCACTGACCAAAGGAATCAAGTTCTTTCCGCCAAGCAGAAGTAGCGTGTAGATTCCCAGGCGGTACGCTCTCTCGTGGAGGAAGAAAATCTCGGCAATAGTAGCGCTAGGCAGACATTCGACTGGAGAAACGGCAAAGCCCTGGACAATGCGCGCCACTACGAGGGAGGCGTAGTTGGGTGATACCGCGCACCATATTGAGGAGACGGTGAAGAGTATAATAGCACCGAGATATACGGGCCGCTTGCCAAACAGGATAGCAGTAGGCGACGCAACCACGCTACCCAGACCAAGCCCCAGCATGTATAGGCCTGTAGTCAAGGCCACTTGGGGAATCGTCACGTCGTATGTCTGAGCCACGTCGTTGAAACCAGCGGCCAACAGCGGCGTCATTCCTCCTCCGACCATACAGTAGAATCCAAGCGACAAGAGAGCGAGATCTCGTCGCACTTGGGCCCAGTTGAGCGGATCGTTCGCCGACTCTTCGGGCTGGGGGTCCAGAATGAAACGACCATCTTTTGTCCGCTTCTTCTCGGGCGGCCGAGAACGGGACGACTGGCGGGAGCCCGGTTGCGAGGCAGTTCGCTGGGGCCTGGGTCGGTACGAGGTAGGGAGCGACGAGGCCGATGTGCGTGCGTGGGCATGTTGGAGTCCCAGCGGTTCGTTGCGGTTGTGCGTTTTCGACAGGAGAATAACGGAGCCTGTGAGGAGAGGATTAGTTTGCCATTCGCCTAGAACAATCAATAAAAAAAGTCCTTACCAGGCACTTCGTCAGTCTGTGGGTCGCTCAGAATCCCCAGATTCCACCTCCGTCGTGGGGCGTCCTTCTCTTGTGTGGATGTGGCAGTCGAAGCCACGGGACTCTCGTCGGCTGACTGCGACTTCCGCCAGGGGGTGAAGTTGACCATGGCGTCTGTCCGAGAGTGTAATACTTCCAACCGGAGAAAGAGCAATGTAAGAGACGGTAAGGTCTATATCATACGGCGTACCCTGTAATCGATACCAAGGCTCTGATGACTAGTTCCTTGAGCAAGACTCACGAGGACCCTTTCTCCACCCCAACGGCCCAAGTCTCCACGCCGCTGCAGATGCACGATAAGGACAGGTGACGGGATGTGGAGTCTCCATATCCACGTTGGGGAGGCAGCACAAACATGTGGTTACTACAGACAATGCGCGTGCTCAAGAAAGAGTGTTATCGCTGGTCCGCGTTGGTGCATATCGCGGCTACCATTGCTAGCGCCAGTGCCATGACGTACTGCCAAGGTCCATGTGACTTGGTATGGCTGAGACAGCCCGCCTCATTGGCTGCCTCGACCTTCACCGCCAACACTCTTAGTCGTGCTCAGACATGCGCAGACATGGTCCTCGTTGCAACACCTCTCCAGCCACAGCAATAACGCACGCGATACTTGCCCTATCCGCCCTTTCCGCAACACTGCCTGTGCGATTACTCGCCTGTAACACGTGCTTGTCAGAATGTGCAGCCGCTATTCGTAAGAAATAGCCCATAAGCCCGAACGCTGCTGCCCGACAACCCTGTTGGAACGGAGCAATATTGGCGAACACGAGGCGATCGCGTCTGTGCCAACGAACATCATGTCGGCCAAACCGCGGCTCCACAGCTTTCGGTCAATTGAAACGGGTCGATCAACCGCATGCTTGCTCTCACCACCACAATATCGCAATATTTTCCATACACTGATACGATCACGACGATTCATGGAATGACACGTACGCCATCGTCCGATACAAGCATCGCACCGCACATCGCGGTTAACCTTAGCAAGAGATGCGTCGATCCTGATTATCTTAATATTTCCTGCAATCAAGATCGAAACAATGTACCGCAATCGTCTTCCGTGTTCTCAATCTCCACAACCTCACTTCAGAGGTAAGAGTAATGCCCGCATCCAGCGGTAGCAAGTATTCACCACGCAAATTCGTGTCCTTGAGCTCAGATATGGTATAGTGTAAGCGGTCAATCCTACATGCTATCTTCCCTCCATCTGCTTCGAACCTTCTGCCACCCCTCCATCTCTCCCTTTCCGCCTCTTTTCTCCAATCCCAACCCGCGCTCAACCCACTCTTGACTTCCCATTTCACTCAATCTCGACAAGGCTCTAGCAAACGCAAATCGTTCTTCGTCACCAGAGAAAATACTGCTGTTCTTCAACATGTCCATATTCATGCCAAGATCATCCATGAGATTACGCATAACATCCGAGATAGCTTCATGGTTGTCTGCTTCGGCAGATTTGGCAGGTGGCTTGGGCGAAGGAGAGGTCGTAGTGGGAAGTTTTCCAGCTTTCTGTGTAGCGGTTACAGCGTCGTTTAGTTCGGACTGGTCGAGGAAAAGGGCTGTTAGGGGAACAGCTGTTGTCATTACTAGCTTGGCCTGGTCTTCCGTTAGTACTGTATACTTCCAACCACGTGCCCCCGTGTATGAGCTCCCGCACTACCAGTATCTCGCTTACCCTTGATTCGTACACGGCATCTATAAAAGTGATGAATCTCCGCGCCAAGTCTCTTGACCTGTAGTTCATCCCAGGCACCCCTGTAATGACAAACGCCTCATACTGCCTCGTAAGTTCCAGATAGTCGGCTGCTCCCGTAGCGCGTCCAATGATGTCGTCGAAGCTAAATACGGCACACTTCCCGCTAGCCTTCGGTACGCGAACTTCCCTTCCCCAGACCTCGTGAACAGCCGGGTGTGGTGGGTCGTTATCAAAGTCGCCGAGGAAGCGGAACCATCTCTCTACATGCGTTTGCGCGGAGGCGTCTAGCGGGTGGTGATAGACACCACTTGGCGGCCGTGGGATCTTTCTGTAATCTGTCGATGAATCCAGGTTCAGGACCGTAAGTCTTGATTTTAGAAGATTGATACAAGGTATGAAGCTTTCTCTTTGTATCCCGTTCTTGTATAGGTCGTCTGGGTGTCTGTTACTCGTCGTGACGATGACTGTTCCATGTGCCATCAAGCTCTCCATTAATCTCCTGAGGATCATGGCATCGGCGACATCCGTGCATTGGAATTCGTCGAAGCAAAGAACCGAGGACCGCTCTGCTATACCCGCTGCGACGAAGGGTATACTGTCAATGTCATTCCCATGCTGCATCTTCATCTTGTGCAAGTCCTTGTGTACGCTTTGCATGAAGGCGTGGAAATGGATCCTCGTCTTTCTCTTAATGTTTGGCGGAAGTGTGTCGTAGAACAAATCCATCATCATTGTCTTCCCACTGCCTACATCTCCAAACATATACATGCCCTTTGGTAGTGATTCTGGTATGGGTGGCAGGGCCGATCCTGCGGGGCTGGACGATGAGAGGAAAGAGAAGAAGGACTTTTTAGGTGGCTGAAGGGACTCGATGGTAGGTTGCTGGACGGGCGGTTGTTCATAGGATTGCAGCATATCGTGGAGGTCTTGAAGATTCCTGATGATGTTGCGTTGGTGCTCGTCGTCTCGTAATCGCCCGGATTCGACGCGCGCATCGTACTCGGCCATGGGGCCATGGGTTCGCTCAGGGTCTTCAGTTGCATCTGTTAAGATCAGCACTCATGTTGAAAAGCAGTCTTTTCAGTTACGAAACGTACATTCACGCGCAGCCTGCGCGTACCCTCTGCAACCTACCGGCGCAAAGGAAACTCTGTTCGGCACATGGGCAACGTTGCTCGGGCGCGCAGGAGCGTGCCCTGGCGCATGCCTCGCCTGTCTTGAACTTCTCGTGCAGTTGGTGCATATCACCCTCTTGCCATCGACTGTCAGGTTGCGTCCCACCGCAATTCTCTTCGGCGTCGGGCCAGCGCATCGCGAAAGGGTCCTCAACCCTCTCAGGGCCTCGGATGATGTCATTTTCGACATTCGGCGCACAGCCTAAAAGCTTGCGACGATAACAACAAGGAAAAGAAGTAAATTAGACTTAGGGCATAGTGGAAAAGAAAGCTCAGCAAAAGCCAGGCGACCAGGTTGAACAGGGTAGTGGAGCGTCAAGCATGTGCGCGACCCACGACGGGTTGTTTAGGGTGGCGCGGGGAGTTTCTTCGCTGCAGCCTCGGCTTTTGACTTCCGGTCTGGTACAACTGCAGGGATTTCGGCCACATTTCAGTAGCCGACGTGAGAACAGCATAGTTCACGACAAAGTATTTGTATGGTCCTGGGAACCACTAGCGTTCCATACTCTTCATCATCATTACCATTATCGCTACCTGCGTCGTGATCATGACTCCTCTTCCGCAGCCACACTCTCATACCTCCCTCCTTCACCTCCACCACCTCTCTGATACCTCATCTTGGGCACCTCATACAACCTTGTATAGTCCACTCTCTCACCACCCAGCCTTGCATACCCACTCTCTTTTGAACCAAACATTGGACTGGCGTCGCACCAGAAATCCTTGCAATTCGTAACGATACCTCGTGAAAAGGGGTTGCCCCGTCTTTGTCGCATTATTTGTTCTCCTTGGCTTCCGTGAAGGGCGATTGTAAGGAAGGTGTCGATTCCAAGGAGACGCTTCCATTGATCCCAAATAGAAGCTTTAGGTTGAGGACGACGTGGAATGTCGCCTGTATCTTGACCAGAGCCGAAACCGTTCGTGGGCGCGTTCCCGGCACCGCCGGACACGTCTTGGCTCGTATCGCCGGTGGTCACAAATGAGTTGAGCGCATCCGCAGGTGTGCCGCCATGAAGGTGTCCGCGCATGCTTTCGTAGGTCGTGAGATTGCGCGCGATCTGAAGAAGCTGAACACAGAGAAGCATGGTCACCCATGTTAGTTGAAAGGCAGCCCATATTGACAGTACAATCGTAAATGGGTCTTTGTTGAGGACTTTGCAAAGATCCGGCGAGATGACTGCGCACTTGGGAAAATCTTTGGGCGCGTCACGTATTTCCAGATCTACTAACATTAGCCTTATGACACCAGCATACCAGGTTTTGACTTACAAGCAAGGGCCAGCCTTATGAACATAACAATACCGAGTTCCAGAGATAGTACATACAGCACGAAATGTCTGTGGTTGTTGTTCGCCACACAGTTGTTCACCCATGGACAATGACTGTCACGGTTAGCGCCATCCTATGCTGTCAACGTGAACTACTCACTGATCACTCTTTGCAACGCAGCGCTCACATCTCTTACAATGCTTGCTACGCAAAGGCTTCCGCACCATGCAGTTTACACAAAAGTGGCGTTCATCAAATTGTCGTAGCTCCATAAGCTCGTCAATGACTGCCTTGGAAGCACTCCTGCTCGCCGACTTGGGTACAAAGCCGGGATCAATAGTCATGGTGAAGAAATAAAAATAGGCCGTGAGTCCGTAGAATGCTGCGAAGAGAAAGTTTATAAAGAAGTTGGTTCGAATTGTCCAGGGTAAGACTGTTGTTGCCCAACGGAGACCGACCCAGAACAGTGTGCCGGCGAAGATGCCGGCCAAAAAAGGCTGGGATTTGGTTAGCGACAAGGCACAAGTAAGCCAGCAGTCGACGTACAGTATGATGTATGCTTCGCATGTTGGAGGGACCCCATCGCAAAAGCCACTGTGCTCCCCATTGCATGAGATAGGCGACAATCAACGACAAGGGTATACCAACAAACGCCGGGTAGTGGCTGACGAGGAAAAGGGCAGTGAAAAGTATAGCAAACGGCCAGAAGAATATGAAGCGACTCAGGAACCATCTCGTGTCCTTTATACCTGGGATGGGGAACTGTCTCGGATTTCCATTTCGATCGAAGCCAGCTTCCATGAGGGCGCGACGCCATTGCCGAGTAGTGTTCATCTCCTGCGCCGTGACCTCCGGTGTCTTGCCGTCGTTGTTCTTAGCGAATCGGTCGGCGCCATACTCTAGTAGCTTCTGTATTGATCCCTGACTCCCCTTTACCAGGGCCCAATGGAGTGCAGTGAAGCCCTGGTCGTCGGTCGCGTACACGTTGGCGCCCCATCTGAGGAACAAATCAACACAAGACGGATAGCCCTTGTATGCAGCCCACATGAGCGGGGTATGGCTCTGGGGATCTGGAATATCAACGGGTATGTCCTGGTGGAGCAGCAAGACGATCTGGTACACATTGCCGTCGAGCGTGGCGCTGTGCAGGAGATTGAAGCCTTGGTCGTCGGTGAGGAGAGGGTCGGCGCCGTGGTCGAGCAGGAGGTTGACAATGTAGTAGTTGCAACGCTTCGCAGCCCAGAGGACGGGTGTCGCAACAGCATCGCCGCCCTTTGCGTTGATGGGCGCACCGGCTTGGATAAGGAAGTGGCAGAGAGCATAATGATTGTTGATGGCGGCCCACTGCAGCAAGTTAGCAGTCGGTCATTCTCAAGCCATCTGGTGTGCGCACATGTAGCGGTGTTATGCCCTGCTCATCTTTGAATGTCGCATCCGCCTTGCCGCTGTCGAAGAGTTTCTGGATAGCCGCAATTTCTCCCAGCCGAGCCAACTGCATTATGTCCTCCTCCACTGGGAGGCTGGGCTTGTTGTCCGCCATGACCTCGAGTTCGTGGTCGCCCGGGGAGGCTCCATTGCTGTCTGATGGCGTAGCAGCCATGTCGGGGATCCGCGTGATGCTGCTTGGTTGCGGAGCTTACTACACCTCCGGATTGTGGTAGCGCGCTTGTTGAGATGGCAGAGGGATCGGAATTTGGGCAAGAGATTGGGAAAGCTTGTTCGGGTGTCACAGCATGCTGACGACTAAGGATTTGGCGTTGGACTGCGAGTTGTGAGGCTTTGCAGACGCGGAAGATGCGGCGTTCGCGATTCCCCATTGCGCCCACACATCCTTGTTGCTGCTAACGCAAATCGTGGCGGTGCCACGCAAGCCTCATGCTTAAATCCGGAACCCGGCTTCAGCAGCCACTTATTTTTCCACGCGACAGCAAATTGTCAAAGAATCAACTAATCCATACACAAGTAGTCTATACATCCTTACATGAAACACTTTTTGCTAAAAACAACATCTCAGACCTCGACATCTAGGCCAACATGCCCTGAAATTCGCCGCCTTCTCTAAGCATGTCTTGGGCTTTACCTGCTTTGATCAGCTTGCCTTTCCCAAGCACCACACAATAGTCCGCCTCCTTGACTGCCTCCAATCGATGTGCGATCGTCACCACCGTACTACTCTTCATCTCCTCCCGCAGTACGCTTTGAATCCTCTGTGCCGTCTCGAAATCAATACTAGCCGTCGCTTCATCCATGATCAGTATTGGACTCCTCCGCAACATGGCTCTAGCTAATCCGACAAGCTGTCGTTGGCCCTGCGAAAGGCCCTTGCCGCCGCCCTCAATAGGCGTCGTAAGAGTCCAGTCGTACTGGTCGCCACCGATCTTTTGCAGCACTGATAGACAAGAAGCGTCCGAGTAGACAGACAGAGGGTCCAAGTTCTTGCGCATGGTTCCTGGAAAGAGGACAGGCTCTTGGGCGAGGAACGTAACACGGCTGCGGAGAGCCTGTTTATCCACAGTAGATATGTCGATCCCATCAATCAAGATCTGCCCGTTCTCCGCCGCAATGGTGGCAAGGAGGGAGAGGGCCAGAGTCGACTTCCCAGAACCCGTGCGCCCAATGACGGCTGTGTTGGAACCTGCTGGAATCTTCAGGGTAATGTTTTGAAGCGCAGGTTCAAGGTTCTCTGCGTAACGGATCGTCACATCGTCAAACTCAATGTCGCCACTGTATGTAGGCCAGTGTGCTGGCGGCTTGACAACGCCGGGTGCTTCCGTCTCGATGTCGAGCAGCTCAACCACACGCTCAACACTGGTAAAGTCCATCTCCAGTGTTCCGTAGATCCTACACATCCACTCTGTGTGAACAACGAATTTGCCCGCGGTGATGAGCACAAACGCAGTGAGTCCGGGGGTTATATGTGTATACACGGCGATGAGTGTCATAACGAACGTAGCACTAGCCGACATAACACTGAACCGAAGCGCAAGCCACGCTTGGAGCGACCAGTAGAAATGATCGTTCTTCTGGAAGTTGTCGACGACCTCAATAACACGAGCTTGAAATCTCCGTTGTGCACTGAAAGCTCGAACGGTGGTAAGGCCTTCGAGGAGCGCACCAAAGTTACTCATGAGTGGTGATAGCGATACCATCTGTCTCCGATTAGTAGTCAAAACCTTGTGTGAGTTTGCGTGACTCACCTCAAGTCGTCTCAAACTCTGTGACGTTGGCAGGAAGCGGAAGAAGTAATAGACGAACCCACAACCAAGCAGCAGGCCAAAAGCCAGGAAAGTTGGGGTCGAAGACAAAATGATGACGACGGCGCTCATCCAGCCTATGGCCTGCCATGCAAACACAATAAAGGCGTTGCTTAGTTCGCCATCAATGGTGTTCATGTCACTAGTCAATCGGTTCATCAATCGCCCTACTGGTGTTACGTCGTAGAATCTGAACGTGGCATGGGCAACGCGCTCAACAGTTTCCCTGAATATGGTCTTGGCAGCGTGGTACTAAACGTAGGTGTATCAAGTCAGTGCATGTCTTACATGTAGTTTGTGGAGAGACACTTACGCCCACGCCGAACATGATCAGATTCGTCCACCAAAAGAGTACCGCGGTCGCCGTGATGAACAGGAAAAAAGTCCAAAGCCAAGGAACCACATCTTCCGCTGGTGGTGGTAGGAAGTCAAAGATACCCTTGTGTTTGCCCGGCTCGTAGCTTTCAGCCCAGGACTTGATAAACCAGGTCTGCGCAACGTCAAGCAAACGGAACAACGCCATGACGAATATAGCGACAGACCACCATCGGAGAGTACCTGCTCGGATGTAGCGCCAATAGACACTCCATTTGACACCTCCCTTTGCGCGATGTTCATCTTCGATGAACTTGTCGGGTACAGCCGCTGCTTGTTCTTCCTCTCGCTTCTTTGCGTCCTCCTCTGCCTCGGTTTCGTTCGTCTGAGTGCGCTTCAGTGCGTTCGCATCTTCAACTTGACTTGGTTCGTGGATCGTAGCTCTGCCCTGCTCTAGGTGAACCCATTGCTTCGCAATGCCATGGCATATTTCTGTTCGATGTGTAGCAAGGACGGTTGTTCTACCTTCGAGCAATGGTCCAGCTAACAATTTGGCGACGATGAACTCGGCTGTCTGGTGGTCTAGAGCTGACAACGGATCGTCAAGCAGCAGCACTTTTGCGCGGCTATAGACAGCTCGCGCCAGCGCCACGCGAGCTTTCTGGCCTCCAGACAAGCCAATGCCGTTCTCTCCAATATTTGACAAGTCTCCATGCTTGAGCTCAGTCATGTCGGGTAACAATGCACATGCTTCCAAGGTCTGTTTGTAGCGGCTCTCTTCATAGGGGTACGAGAAGAGTATGTTGTCGCGAATACTCATGCTTTGAAGCCACGGGGTCTGCGCGCAGTACGCAACTACCTGATCAGGGCGCACAAGCTCACCGGCTGTTGTATCAAGCTCGCCCAGAAGAGCTTGCAGCAGCGCTGTCTTACCGGCGGCAACCTCGCCGTATATCACCGTGACCCCAGCAGGGAAAGACAACGTGATGTCTTCGAGGACGTTATGATCTACTCCAGGCCAGGCAAAAGATGCATGATGGAGACCGAGATCAGCAGATCCTTCTGGCACGACATCCGTCTCTTCTTTATCTGGTTCAGCCATGAACTCCTCAATACGGCCCATCGCGACGTATGCATTGAGACAAGTAGTGACGAGTTGCGGCAATGCTCGAAGGTACGATTCCAGCAGGTTAAACAGATCAAACGCAGGAAATATTAGATCAATGCGCAAGTTTTGGCCGGCCAACTTGGTGAAGGCGTAGAAAGCAACCGCAGGAAACAGCCCAGAACCAAATCGTAGAATGAAAGAGAGGGATGTCGAAAAGATGATGTTGATGATGCGAAGATGCAACTCTTTTTGACGAGACTCCAGTATCCCATCCAGCCATGCGCCTTCCCAGCCGTACCAGCGCAAGTGACGAATAGACTCTATAAATTGGCTCGTACGTTGCAATTTCTCGTCCGTTGCCACTCTGCGTTTCTTCTCGAAGTGGACCTGAAAGCGAGCAATGACGATATTGAGTAGCTGTGAAGCTGCTAGTGCCACAACACCGAGCAGGCATGCCCAACCCAGCATGCGCCAAATCAGTATAGTCGCAAAGATGGCACCGGCAGGCTTAGTAACGATATCGGAAAACTCCCAGAAGCGTTGTGCTATCTCGTACGCATCATTGCGCATCAGATTGAGGATCTTTCCCATTGATGCGGCGTCTTTGTCATCTTTGACCTGCGCTTGGACGCTCTTCGTAAAGACTGATCGGACGGACATGTTCAGACGTCCTAACCAACTTTTGGGACTTGCTTTGATCGTTGCGTCAATATCACCACCATTCACGCCGTTCGTTGCGCGTGCCTCATGGTTACTGTGACCATTGGTTTGGTCTTGTTTGACTTCCTGTTTGGCACCCAAGATCTTGCGATGGAGTGTCTTCTCATAAAGCATCGTGATGAGCTCACCTCTACATCTCTCGTACGCTCGTCTCTGGTACCATAGGTTGAAGGTGTTCAACTGAGCAGATATCAGACGCAACCCCAGGATGACACAGGCGTAGGTAATCGTAGCGCTGTTGTTTTTGTCCTCCAAGGAAGCGAGAACTCGCTGCAAGAGTACCGGCGTGAGTAGAGCTGCTTTCGTCAGATCCATACTAAGCAAAGTAGAGGATTTAGATTCTAGACTTACTCGCACACAATCGTATCACGTTCAAGACAGTGGTGCGTACTAAGTCCATACCATTCGCGACAAAGATTCTTTTCGTCACCGAACCTTGGAGCTTTCGGAATGCCTCGTGGAGCCGAGCATGCTTGAACTCCCAACCCAAGTCCCAGATGTCCTCGTCTTCCATTTGGCGTGTCACACCTTTTTTGATCAGCGGTTCCATCCAAGACACCGTCATGTACTGCCAGGGAGTCAAGTTGTCTTCAGGAGTCCGAAGTTGCACTGTTGGGGTGTCAAAGGCAGGGCAGATATCTTCTCTTGGTAATGCAGGATCTCTAAGAGGCATGTTGAGTATCGTAATGATGCCCAATATAGCGGCCGCAGGCGCGACGACCCAGGGAACATCCTTAGCTAGGAATTTAGATGACCTATGGGACAGTGCGACCAGCTGTTCCAGTAAGAGACCCGTGAACAGAAGCAACAGTGGCAAAGAAGCTTTTCTTGGACGCTCTACGAGGATAATCGCCACTGTAATGGCCTAAAACAATTGTTAGTCGACAATCCCAGCTACGCTAGAGCTCACGTACCCATGCGATAGCTGGATATATAGCTGTTGGTTGACGGCTGGGAAAGAAGACATTGAGGATTTGGAATGTCAGGCCGATCGTAGCTAGGGCCAAGAGGGAAAATGTCCCAATCACAGGCCGACGTGTCGAAGGTGTTTCTGCCTCACTCGACTTCTCCTTTGCCTCGTGTACAAAAGGTTTCGTCCATCTTGGCCAATACCCATCGATGACCCGTAGCGAGTACTTGAGCAGTACTAATGCCGCGAGTATAGCTGGTATAGTTGCAACAAAAGGCAGAGCACATGGGGTAAATTGTGCTGCTCTTGTATCCTGGTGAGGTCAGCTGTATTCTAAGAAGCTATCTGAAGCTGTACTGACCCAAATTCGATGGCAATGCGATATTGGTGGTATATCGGGAAATCTTGGAGCCGAAGACAATGGGATCTGGAAGGACGCCATAATGCTTGCCTCTTACGTTTGCGCGTCAAGACCTATTTAGACAACAATTCCTTCCACCTGAGCCCCAGCCGATGAACACTTGGTCGAGCAGTAGTGAGCATGTATACAATGTCTTACGCGGTTTTCCTAGGCATCAATGGAAAAGGTCCCCAGCGAGGCGAATGTCGGTGAAGTCTTCAAAGGCAACCGCAACGGCGCGGCGACTGGCTCCGGCCGCACTAGCGTACCCCACTGATGGCCATTGCAGGTGTTCGGGAGAGAGCAGAACATCATCGCAGTATGAAGTATCTGGTATCCTACACGCACCGGAGCATCACAGCTCGACCTTTCTCCTGCATGAGGTAGCACTAGAGCTAGGTTGCATGCGCGCGCTCGGGATGTTAAACGCATGCCGACGGGATGGCCTTGCCGCTCACAGTAAGACGAAAAGCGGAAACGCGTCATTGACACAAATAATACTAGAGGATGCAGTTTGTTCACCGATCAAACCATGATGGGGGTACAGGTCGATGACATCGTGGTCCTTCTCTGTGTTCCCACGAATACGCGCTAATGCAGCAGGCGCTAAGAAGAGGCGCAATCTTCGGAAGAACCGAAGGATAGACGAAACACCACGCTCCCTCCCAACCACCTTGGCCCTGTTGCACTGCATCTGCCAGTCCTATCTCGCTTTTGAAGGACGAATCCTACTGTTCGATATCGGCGCCTCGACCATGTGAAGAGAGCACAGTATGACGCACCCCACGTCGCTGCCTGCATCTCCTTCGTCAGCGCGCCCAGAACACAGTCTTTACTTCTTCCATGGCATTGCCAGCCACCGCCACTGCAAGCCACTTCATCATCCTAGACAGGTCCAGTGTCTAGACTGCGAATCTAGACGCTCGGTTGTTGGGTTGCGCAAGTATGGCACCGATCCTAGGAAGGCTGCGAGGCTCCTACATTGCAGCCTTGCCTACAGCAAATGCGATGTAGGGACCAAAGCCATCACCAGCCTGACATCCATCAGACATCCGTTCTAGTTGTATCTACGTGTCTTGGACTGGGCACAGCCGTCGGATATGCACGTCTGTTGCACCAGACAAACACGGCGTAGTCTAACTTACTGCAATCAGTACTTGCGAATGATGGTATCGAACGACCACATCGTTCGTCGCTGGCTATCACTCACTACGGCCTTATCCGAATCGTTTACTGATTTAAAATAGACATGGACAGTATCGATTGAGGCTGATGTTGTTGAACGTGCCATTCTTACCCTGTTGTCAATGCGAGGATGCGTTATGAAACATGCGAAACAAATGGTACAGCAGTGACATTCCGCACCGCCACACGTACGCTCATGCGATCTCTGCATTTGCTGGAGAGCAATCCTACAGCGCTTCAATGAACACAACTGATACGTTTAAATGACAACCTTAGCGTATGGACTTCTTTTCTACCACATGGCCAGTTTTCTATATCGTACATCATCTATCATCCATAATTTTCACACTCAAGTATGGTTTCCCGCACCCCTTCAGACACCTCTTGTCTCCGTCAGTTGCATGGATCAAGACCAAGCTCACTATCAGAATCTAAAATTGAACCTAATGATCCAAATCTCACAACCATAAAATATCCTGCGGTGAGACAACGACTCACAGCCACCAACAGCGACCCCACAGTGAGTATCCCGGCACAAATTGGATGTGGGTCGTATATTGACTTCGTACCACCGCATTCAGACTCTAGCCTCTACTGGTTCACCCATCAGCAAGATCGCCACCCGATCGCACAGCCTAGTTGATTCGGCTACCTGCAACACTCGTTTGAATCGGTCTACTCGGTTCGTCTCTGATCCGTTCCAAGATCGAGAACGAATTGCTGCAGAAGCAGTTCGAGTTCCCAGGGAATCTATTCCGCGAAAGCGTCAGCGGTCCGATGGTAGTCCGGATCCGGATGTGGATAATTCATCCACATCAAGGTCTTCGGCTTCTCTATCGACCCCCGATACGAACAAAAGAACGACTCGACAAGTCCGTCAAGACAACAATAGTCATTCACCAGGCATGACCCCGAAGACCGCCAGATCTACCCACGATAGCCTATATAGGGAGCTACGGAGAAAGTTGACTCCTACTGATCAAAAAGGCTTCATGTATGTCTTGTGTGATCCGCACAATAAGAGAGGAGGCTACAAGATTGGATGGACGACTCGAGTATTCAGAGAACGTATCGTCGAACATGAGAAGGGCTGCAACTTCACAGCTGATATAATCCACGTCTCGGATCACGAGATTGAAAACTGTTCTCGCCTGGAAAAGCTTGTGCATACTGATCTGGAAAGCCATTGCGTGCCGCTTCATTGCGACAAACATAAATCGGTACACAAGGAATGGTTTCAGGTTACTGAAGAGATGGCAGTCGGGACCGTGAAGAAATGGGAAAAATTCATGCATCGAGAAAAACCATATGGCTGGAACAGACAGCTGAAGATCGTATGGGAGTACCTCCTCGAGACAAGAGCGCCTACATCTCTCGATGTACGTACATTGGCACATGATGCTCGTCGAGAGCATTGGGAGAGAATAATTGCGCCGCCAACAACGGACGACTACCTTCAGGCTTACCGAGCTCGCATTCAACTGTTGCTGAAAAACCTCTTCTGCAACCTATGCGATACCTGGTTGTACGTACAGAAGTTCTTCTGGCCGATTTCCAGCTTGATCTACGGCATGATCACATTAGTCTTGGCTCGAAACCTCCTGGCATTCTATGCGTTCGTCTTCGTGCTTGTATGCGCCAGTGTACATGTCATGTCTCATGTAACTCTGAGTCCTCCAAAGCGAAAGTCTCGGACGCCTAAGAAGATGAATGCAGTAGCTAGTCCGCTGCAAGGGTAGACAGTGAAGAGGGATGGGACATCCCGCGCTTGATGAATGCCTTTTAGCCGCAATTCAGCAGTCATGATTGCTTTTGAGATAAATGCCGAAAGTAGGATCTTGAACCCGGGGATAATCACCTCTGCAATGTATGCGTTGAATGCACACACTCTCTTTTGGGAAGGTACCAAGTTCCCATGCCGTTCTTCCTTTACTCGACGATAGGCGGTAATCAACATCCAGAGTTCCGACCTTTGTCAAGACTACAAATATCGCAGTCCGGTATTTTCCGCGCAATCATTCGCTTCGCGTTACCTGGGGTCTCTAGCGCTCTCTGAATTCTGCAGTGGATGTGATGCGGGGTACGTATTCTCGCGAAACGGAACCTTCGATGTATGCACCCCACATCACGAGTTGTCATCTCACCCAGGATGATGGTTCGTTGCATCCATGAACACTGAACCGTGCCTCGGCTTCGATTCGCGAGCTTGACCGCAACGCTCGATAGTGTCCTTTCGATCCCGCAGCAAATCCTCGTCCCCGTACCACGCGACCCATCCATCCCACCATCAGCCGTTCATCCATGTCTACTTCATATGCATGCCTAGACACAGATCCCAGGCACAGATTCCTGGGCCGAGGAAGCTCAGATGCGACCAAGATGCTTACTGGTCAGACTATCGACAGTCAACAGTAAACACCAGATCTCGATCTCCCAAAGATGGTATGTGAACGGCTACAGCACTCTTTGGGGACAGCATGTCCGTTCATCAATATCAGAGATGCATTCCAAGATGCTAGGCAGTTTAGATACCGAGGCAGTCGTTGAGGGTGCCAGTGTGAAGACAGTATCTTGTACATGTAAGAAAGAGCATAAAAGGAAGGGGATGCGTTACGATTAGAGACACAGCTCAGCCAAGCAGTCGACTCTCAACTTCCTCAGAATACCCACCTTCCAGAGCCATCAGGCACAGTCTATCGCTATCCCAATCGCCAATATGAAGTATCTTGCGATCCTCTCTTTCTTCACTTCTCTCGCTCTTACTTCGCCCATCGCCGTCGCAGTACCCGTCACTGCGCCCGCTGATGAGCCTCAACTTATTACTCTCGAAGCCCGTCAGTCTAGTGCCACCAGCAATGAGCTCGAGACAGGAAGCAGCGCTGCATGCCCACGCACCATCTTTATCTTTGCAAGGGGAAGCACCGAAGCTGGAAATATGGTGAGCACAAACAGGTCCACCACATACTTCTCTATGTCAGTAATTGACCATCATAGGGCGCACTTGTCGGCCCTTTCACAGCAAACGCTCTTGAAAATGCGTACGGGGCGTCAAACGTCTGGATTCAGGGCGTAGGTGGCCCCTACACTGCCGGTATCGCAGAGAACACTCTTCCAGCCGGTACTTCTCAAGCCGCCATCCGCGAAGCTCAGCGTCTCTTCAACCTTGCCGCGAGCAAATGCCCGAACACGCCCATCACTGCAGGTGGTTACTCTCAAGGTGCTGCGGTCATGTCTAATGCGATCCCCGGTCTCAGTGCGGCTGTGCAAAATCAGATCAAGGGTGTGGTGTTGTTCGGCTACACTAAGAACCTGCAGAATGGAGGGAGGATCCCCAACTTTCCTACCAGCAAGACCAGGATTTACTGCGAGACTGGAGACTTGGTCTGCACCGGTACGCTCATCATTACGCCCGCACATCTTTTGTACTCGGACGAGGCTGCTGTGCAGGCACCCATCTTCTTGAGGGCTCAGATCGCCGCAGCATAGTTGGCTCTGAGGTTTTGGAGGAGCACCGTGTAACATACATGGATAAAACTTTGTGTGCTATCGTTTCGGTTGTCAGTTCAAGCAGGTGCTCGGATGTCTTATTACATGAAGGATGCAGTCTTTACAGCAGTCGCTAGTCTTCGAATTAAGCCAATCGTTAATAAACTTAACCGATGCGTCATGCGAGATGATGCTAACGACGCAGACCAAATTCACCTAGTAGCTACTCGGTACTAAGCTATTTGCCCATTCCTCCACGTCTTTGAATTGTTCTTCGACATCGTCGGGTATGCCATTACCGTTCGCGTCAACCCATTGCTCTCCGCCATCAATAGTTCCTGGTCCGGCCATTGGACTAGCATTCTCATCACTGATCAACTCTCCCGTCTTCCCATAGCTCTTCAACTCTTCAACGAGTCGCGCATCAACCGCATCGCGGACTTTGCTTGCACCAACAGACTTCTCAGCAAGCGTCAACGCATCGTTGGCTGACAAGACTTTCTCAGGTGCCGGAAAAGGAAATTTTGCTGCCTGGATGTTCATGCCGCCATAGTTGCTGGATGCTACACCAAGCTCCGATCCGTCCAATACACCATCGCGATTAGAATCATAGAAGTTTCCTTCAACGTATCCCTTGAAGTTCTCGTTTCCTCGCGTGAAGGCTGTTACGCTGGTACTCGGGCCACTAACAAAATAGTTTCCAACGATATTCGCTTCGCTCGCTGCACTTGAATCTCCAGCAATGTATCCGCCTCCTCCTCCCCAGTTGTAGACAACGTTGTTGGTAAAGTCATTCGTACCCTTGACTTTTGGATTTCTCGTCTTGTTGTCAATGTACAAGTTGCGGAACAGGCTGATACCATTCCCGACATTTGTTTGCATCAAACCGCCACAAGAATGTGTCTGAAGACCCTGCCCAATGATACTGTTCTGGATGGTGATGTTACCGACTTCTGAACCAGATATCGAAAAAGTTTCGTCTCGGCCCCAGGTTACAGAGACGTGGTCGAAGATCATGTTGCTCCCCTCTGCAATCGTGATGCCATCTTTGCCACTACTACCTCCTTTTCCCATTCTGATGCGCAAATACCGTACGACTGCATCGTCAGCATTGCTGAAACTCCAGCCGTTGCCGTATACTGTAATGCCATCACCAGGTGCTGTTTGCCCAAGAATGGATATGCGTTTCGACACGACCATGCGCTCAGTGATCTTAATCAACCCACCGATGGCGAACACAACGATGCGGTCGGGTTTGGAAACGGCATCACGGAGCGAGCCTTCACCGCTGTCGTTGAGGTTGGTGACAACGTAAACGGTACCGCCACGACCACCGGCCGCGTTGCGACCAAAACCTTCTGCACCTGGAAAGGCAAGGGCAGCGGCGGAAGCCACTAGGAAGGGAAGAAGAGCAAATATATGCATGTTTATGGTGATATAATGGACGCGATGAAAAACAGAAACATGGGCAGACAAATGTGTTATTATACGAATCCACTACATGGCATGCCTTGGAATAATGAAAAGAGCTAGCGATATTGCAGCTCGCTGCTCGTGGACAGCATCCTGAGTCGCGGTTAGGTGGACAAAACAGGGTGGATTGTTCCTTTAATTTACCCCAGATGTTCATGATCGACAAGGGAACTAAAACGTTAGTCCGCCAATCACGGCATAGGATGCGCTCAGACAAGTATGGGATAGAGCGATGCAGTGCAGATCCTGCAACATGTGTAGCGTATACAAGCATACACTCGGTTCGTCGGGGTATTGTGTTCCGTAGAGGTGCTCCCACTTGCTGCGCTCATCTCAGTACATACTGGAGCCTGTCTTCACGTCCCCAGAAATGATACCAGCGTCTGCAAGCTCAGCGACCAAGTCCATGAGCATATGATCGCATCCTGCAGCAGCTACCATGCCAATTGTAATAGGCAGCGTCTCATTTCTCTCGGTTACCCTGCTGAAATAAGTCCTTTCACCAATTGGAATAGTGTAGTCAGGCAGTGCAGCCAAAACAGACATCTGATTCCCGCTATATTCAAAGACTCAGAGTTAGTATATGTGCCAAGTGTGATTCATACAGAAGAGCTTACGGTAGCCCCGCAGCAAAGATACCACCCGGTGCAGTGGTGTATATGTCACGATAGTCTTCTGTACCAGCGCCCATGGGATATAACACCAATGTGGATTCACATGTGGGCGTTAGAGTTTCTCGAAACCATGATTGAAACGTCTTTGTGCGCTCGATAGCAGTGGTGTAACTGGAGGTTGGCAAGGTAGCAGCCCGGTTCCATCGCGCTCGTGTTTGTGGATTCCAATACGGTGCTCTGCCGAACTTAGCGATGTACTGCTCCCTGAATGGTAGACCTAGGTCGCGGTATTGATCGACGTTGGTGATATTAGAGTATGTGGAGCCAATGTATGATGCCGGGCCTTCGGAAGTGTTCGTGTATGTATTAAAGCTGGCATTGGCGTTGAAGGTTGTCAAGTTGGCATCAAGGAAGGTAGCGAGCTGGGAGATGAACGAATCGAAGATGTGCATGCTTGTTCCATTCACAGTGGGCCAGAACAGGTCGGGTAAAACGATACGCTTGGGATAAGACGTATATACCTTGGCTGGATACCATCTTCTATGTACGGCTTGTAGCAGCCGAGCCGAGCGAGCCAATACGCCCGGCGTATCGAAAATTGCTGATATGGGTAGAATTCCATCAAGCGGCAGTGAGGCGTTAGTGACACGCATGCCGAAAAGACCATTTGCCATGGCTGGTAGGCGAACAGATCCACCCGTGTCCGACGCAGTTGCAATGTCCATCCAGTTGTATGATGCGAGTCCAGCTCCGGAACCCGCCGACGACCCTTGAGGATGCTGGTAACCATCTCCCCTGGGATTAAAGGGTGCTAACTGATCCACATAGTCAGCGGTTGGCCGCTCTCCAAGCGCAAATTGTGTGGTCTTCGTCTTTCCGATAACGACAGCGCCCAGATCAATCAGCTTTTGTAATGCTGCCGCGCTCTCAGGGGCAGGATTGACGAGGTCTCGATACGCTCTGTTCCCGCCACTAGTGCGAACTCCCTTGAGGTCGTAGATATCTTTGACCCCGAGTCGCTTTCCTGATAATGGTTTGTCTTCTGTGGGGAGTGGATAGTATAGTCGAGACGGCACTGCGATACTAAGAGCTCCATAGGCATCTCTCAAAGCCAAACCTGTGACAGGAACGAAAGTACCATTTGGACCCTCAGTGACAGATTCCACGAAAGCAAAGTTGTGATCCCAATACAGTCGATAAACCCTAGTAACAGCATTTGATGGGTGGAGCAAATATGGACCAGAACTCAAGTCGACATCCACCACGCTATATATTTTAGTGCATCCGAGCGAAGTAACGTACCTGAAAGGTGCGCGTACGAAGTCAGTGTGTGTCTCTTGTGCAGTTCGTACAGGAGCTTTTCTTACGCATGCGCGCCGTCCGACAGGGTACCCAAGCCACCAAGCACCAGCGTCGAGAGAAAAGGTTCTGTGTACACATCATCGTGAGAAAGAAATGAAGTGATGGTCGATTCTAGTAGCTCCGCAGTAAGGGTAGGTTCGGCGAAAGAAAGGTAGGTAATTGGCACCGCTTCAGTTCTCTCGTTCTCAAATGCGAGGGTTGCTGCGACAAGGTCTGGGGAATAGTACGATGTGGAGTTAAGCTGAAAGACGGTAGTTGCTTCCACGATGGTTGCAAAGTGCAAAAAAGATGCGAGCCTCATGATAGGCGACGCGAAAGCTTAATATTAAGGCAAAGTTCAGATGCGCCATGACAGGGCATCTTAGCAAACTTATATAGTCAACACTTCGGTTCGATCTCGCAAGTTATTGTAACGCGGAGTGCAGATATCGTTGCACCTGGTACTTTGCTCTGACAGCTCGTGCAGAAGTGGGAGAGACGGAGGCTAGCGTATCGTTGATAATGCAGGCAAGAGACTTGGCATGACGTCACACAAGAAGAACGAGTTCAGAATCGACATCCCGCAGATAACGATTCAGGAACATGAGTAACATCCATGCGCCAAATGACAAACCGGTCGATCGACTGATTTGTATACTACTAGAAGTTCTCTCTCAGGGGAGGGGAGGTAGAAGTACCTATCATAGATAAATGAATATGACTAAAGTCTGATTTGTCGAAGCCGCGCCCTCATTAACTGCAACCGATCTTTCAGCCCTTTGATGGGAGCGGATCAACAGTCGCATTATGCTTCGAATCGGAACTGCCCTTTCAACAGACAAGTCAACCATGGGCTCCTGCTTCCTCAAAAAGTATCTACTCACCCTAAAAGTCGACAAAGCCAAGATCTGATGATGCACCGATCCCACATTCAACAGTGGATATCTGTCAGTTTGCAGGACAAACGTATGCTGATTCTCCCAAAGAACCATGAAGAACCGATAAGACAATCGCTCCCATGTGAAGGCGATATTGATAGCATGCCGCTATATCTAATAACGGGACATTCCCAAGATGTGTCTCAGATATTTCCCTAAATCAATGCAGGCTCAAGTTGCAAACAGCTGAATGTTTGCGCAGTCTTATCAGTCCTCATATCCAGAACGCCTAAGCTATGCCCGCAAGACCAAAAATGAGCCAATGGTTTGAACCACTTCAAGCCAGAGTCCACAATGCCGTACTCTGCTGATCTTCATCATCAAAGCATAAAACTACTGCGTTTGGTTTTAGACGTAAAACGCGATAGGCTATCTAGAAGGATCCTGGAGTTTTCACTAGAACGCCCGGGGTCTCTTCTGTGTGGGACGACTCGGACCCGGTGATACACTCGGTCTTTTACGTTGAATGAGACCATCTCCATCAGGCTCCTCTTTAGTAACGTGTTGTCCGTAGAAGTTACAGCCAGGATGATCGTCATCTTCGCCACAACAATCCCACATAATTGACCCGTCTACCTGTCGAATCTTACGCCCAGCGTGAGAAACACAGGGTGCATTCACATCCACGAATTGCTCGTGGCATACGATGCAGGTTTTCGTGGAAGGTGCAGGCGCTTTGCTGATACTGGTTGGCTGTGGAGTAACTTTGGTCAACAGCCTTGGGCTTTGGCTGAAAGTAGGTCGGTGCCCGGGCGTAGTCCTTATTGGCGTTCGTAGTGTGGGTAGATGTGGTGTAGTTCGAGGATAGGCTCCAGGAAGATGCAGCTCACTATCCGAATTAGAGGCCGAACGGCCACGTGTCTCACGCTTTACTCGTGGTGTGGACGAAGAGCCATATGTTTCTTGTAGGGCTCGACCTCTGCTTTCTTCACGAGATTGTGCGTGATGATTGCTGTGATTTTGGGCTGGATGTACAGACCTAGCTAGCCTCAGTTTAGCCGCTTTGTAGATGTCGTCACTGTCTTCATCATCTTGCGCCTTAACATTAGGCTGTCGCGATCGTATCCAATGCTGGCTGATTATGCTCTGTGCAGATGTTGAGTGAGGCGCAAGTCCACGCATGAGGGCACCAGAGAAGGCCGGGGATACCTGGCAGAGCTCGAGCAGCACTCTCTGCAGGGCGCGCGGGTCGGCTGTGGTGATGATCTGTTTAATATGCTCAGGGTTGATGGGACGCGCTGTTTGTGGCGCAACATGGTTCCGCGCGGAAGTCACCGGCTGGCTAGCTTCCATCTTAACGTTTGGCATACCGTACGGGCGTTGCTCGCGTCCGAAGTACAATTGAGCTTGTCTGTGAGGCGGCATTTGCTGCTGCCGCGGTTGTGGCTGTCGTCGAGGTTCTGGCTCTGGTTCTGGGGAAGAAAGAGTGAGGTCGATTGTCTGATGGCCATTGTTGTGGAGTGAATCCCAATCAATGGGTGTTTGTGAGCGCGCCATTGTAAGGATAAGAATGGCAGCAAGCTGGAAACCAACGTAATACAACGTGAATAATCGATTCCAGTGCCGCTGAGTCTCGTAAGTCGGCCCCAGCGTCGTACAACGGATGGAAGCTAGAGTTCATCGTAACGTGTCGATCTTAGCGCAACGCCAAATCACGTGAGACGAGCACGGACTGAGATCCCATCTGATTGCTTTACCCCACAAACTTCGCGTCGCACATCACAATCCCGAACATCGGCCTACGATCACACAGGCGCATCCGCGGGTCCAACAAACGCGTCAGCTATAACAACCCCAGCAATGCGATACGAACAAGCGGCGTAACTCCGGGGATCAATTCTCCACCCTTCATCAGCCCTCTGTAACACGCTACAATCAAACCAAATCACTGCACGGACAACGACTAGTTTTCCACCAACCAGCCGCCTATATGCGCAGCCGTTCCGCGACTCGACAGCCTGCATTCTGGGGTGCAGACGTTGTAAATTTTCCGATGGCTTGCTTTACTTGTTTCGACAAGCTTTGTAGCGGGGAAACAACGACGACGTAGCTCGCTAGGCGGTTGTTTCGAGGTTTTGGTCAGACCGTGAGAGTCCGCCAATATAGTTTGCATACCCGGCATCCCGAGCTTATTGCATGTATAGATACTGCGTGTCTTCAGGCTTAATTCAACATTCGCTCGCTCACTTTCCTTCCTTACAGCTTCTTGTTACTTCTTCACAATGCTTGCATCCCTCGCTTTCGTTCTTTCGCTCGCAGCATCTGCTGTCGCAGCCCCAACGGCACTGGTGCCACGCGCTGGGCGCACATCTGCTCCTGCAGGCTGCTTGGCTGTCGGTGGTAGCGGAAAGTACAAGACTGTCCAATCGGCTGTTGACGCACTCAGCGCTTCCGGTACGGCTGCGCAGTGCATCTACATCGCCAAAGGCACCTACAAGGAGCAAGTCTACATCAAGCCGTTGAAGTCAGCCTTGACCATCTACGGCGAGACTACAGACACCAACAGCTACAGCGGCAACACCGTGACCATCACCCAAGGCAAGAGTCAGGACAATACTCCCAACAATGACGAAACTGCCACTCTCCGCGCATGGACTCCAAACCTGAAGGTTTACAACATCAACCTGGTCAACACTCGTGGACTGGGCTCCCAAGCTCTTGCCCTGAGTGCCAACGCCGACAAGCAAGGCTACTATGGGTGCCAATTCAAGGGCTACCAAGATACCATCCTTGCCCAGGTTGGTAACCAGGTCTATGCCAAGTCCTACATCGAGGGTGCCACCGACTTCATTTTCGGTCAGAAAGCCACTGCATGGTTCGAAAACGTCTCTATCGGTGTTCTCGCAGCTTCGCAGGGCTATGTTACCGCAAACGGTCGCGAATCAGACAGCAATCCCTCATACTACGTAATCAACAACTCGAAGATCGCCGCGGCCCCTGGTAACACGGTCAAGGCCGGTGCGTACTTCCTCGGTCGCCCTTGGAGAAACTACTCTCGTGTCGTCGTCCAGAACACCAGCATGACCAACGTCATTAACGCCGCGGGCTGGAGGGCCTGGAACACCGACGACCCCAGGACCGACAAGGTCACATATGGCGAGTATGCGAACACTGGTGATGGATCCAAGGGTACCAGGGCGTCCTTCTCGAAGAAGCTCACGGCTGCTGTTGGCGTCTCTACGGTGTTGGGTAGCGACTACAAGAACTGGGTTGATGCAGCCTACATGTCTTAGGTTGAACGCGCTCACGGATGTAGCTCGTACGTGAAGGCGTGTCTTCTTGTATATATTTTACTGGCACTGAGTGTCGCTTTTCTTCATCAATCATCCATCTTGAAACCATTCTGCTTCTCAAATCTCTCATAACAATTTTAAAAGTTTGTGCGGATCGTCTCTTACAGCAAGTGCCGATAGATGGTGTTTGGTGACTTGAGCAGGTCCAGCTGATGTAAGCAGGGCTAGACACGGCTCCCGGCCTAACGCGACCCACTAGTGGGTCACCGGGTCTGGTCTCGGTAGGATTTTGCTCTTCTTTGCTACGACATCTGTTGTTGCATTCGACTCTGCAATCGCCAATATATCGCCTCAGACAAAAGATGTCATATGGAACAGTAGATCCGCCAACGGCGCCAGGACATTCAGATGTAGATTTCGTACAACATCTGCAACCTGCAGCTTCAGACACTGCGCGAGATGCAGAAGAAGCACATCAGCCAGCCCTGTGGAGAAGGGTAACGGCAAGTTTGAGGGTGTTCTATGACCGCAACTTCGGACTGTTCCTAGTGTTCTTAGCTCAGACCTGTGGGAGCATCGTACGTCTGGCCTCTTTCTCTGTGCAGTGGTTGCATTTCATTCGAACCTGGTACTGACAGCCGTTTTAGATGAACACAGCCGCCAAACTTTTGGCCAATGACCCATCGATCAATTTCCATGCCCTGCAAATCATTTTTATCCGCATGCTGTGCACGACAATTATATGCTCGATTTACTCCTGGTACCACGCTGTGCCTGACTTCCCTCTTGGCCAGAAAGGGATCAAGGGATTGCTTGTGTTGAGAGGTACTGCGGGTTTTGTGGGCCTCTTTGGATTATACTGTAGGTATCGCTTCTTCTCCACTCTTTTCGCATGAATCGCTGGCGTTCCAGGACGTGAGGAGAATACTATATCATGAGCCGAGCACGAGGAAGTTCTAACGCACGATCATAGACTCTCTGTCCTGGCTCGAAATCTCGGATGCAACAGTCATAACCTTCCTGATTCCAACCATGACCGCAATCGTATGTTTTGTCTGGTTACGTGAGCCGTTCACCTGGAAAGAAGCGCTTTGCAGCTTCATCGCTTTCTGCGGCGTTCTCTTCGTCGCGAGACCACCATGGCTCTTTCCCTCCTCACATATGAACCCTGTAGTCGATGACTCGGACCGGAAAGCGCCAGCGTCGTCAATAACGGCAGAACAACGGACTATGGCGATCCTCATTGCTATCCTAGGCACTTTTGGAGCAAGCACTGCGTATGCTACTATTCGTGTGATAGGTAAACGCGCACATTCGCTAATCTCGGTCAACTACTTTTCCTTCATTGCAACGATGGCCTCTTTTGTGCTCATCTTGGTTCATCCTTCGCTGCATTTCGTTATGCCCAAGACGCTCGGCCAATGGGGATTGATCGCAATCATTGGACTCTTTGGATTTCTGTTACAATTCCTGCTGACGGAAGGTCTGCAGAGGGAAAAGGGTGGAAGAGCAACAAATTTAACCTACCTACAACTTGTATTTGCACTGGTAGTTGAAAAGTTAATCTGGGGGACTACACCGCCGGTTGAGAGCTTGGTAGGGGCGGTACTTATTATTGGAGCAGCGATCGCGGTCAGTCTACAGAAGGAGGATGGAAAGGGCAAAAAGGTTGAGGCTGTGAACGATGAGGAGAGGAGGCTGTTGCGAGAAGACGATTAATTGAGAGCTGGCTACATAGTATCGTGACGAATGTGTGCATGCATGTGCGCATCGTTCTTCGTTGTGGGGTTCGATGTGTTTTAGTAAACACAGATCCTTTCTTCCAATCTTACTCTACCCAGATTATTCTGCCGTCCGGCATCCTCCCCTCTATAACTTCGCTGACTAGTAGCGCAGAATTTGGGAGCAGCTGGCGTCGCGTGAGTTGGTGTTCGTGTTCGTGCGCAGATCGTGACTAGGCCATACCCACATATGTGGTGTATTGCGTGGCAGCCGATGGGATCTCCTCAGGCATCGCTTTGCTGAAAAGCACATCGCGAGGAGAAGGCAGATTCCGCGGAATTTCGATCAACGTTGCCGCGTCACCTGCGTCACACGTCTCGTCCGTTTCTACTCATAGGCTCATGACCTGTGAGGGTCGCATGTGCTTTATCTGTAGTGGTTGTTTCACACATCGCCTCTCTCTTCTCTTGAACTGATCTCGCTGCGAGGTCTACCCGCTGGGCTGATGATATGCTCCTCACTCTCATTCATCATCGTGTCCATATTAGTGATGTCATGGACAGTTCTCTTTTTCCCCTTTCTCTCAACGTGCGACAACCGAAGACTATCCGGGAGACCGTTGCCAGAACTGTTGTGTGATGGCTTGCCGGAGGAAACAGCTTTTTTGGCCTGAGTAAAGAAGGGTTTGAGGATAGGTGCGTTGACGGCTATGATCCCGACGAACTAGAGACATGCATTAACAAAGTTCATGCGATGGCATACAGGGGCGAAGAAAGCATACCGTTTCGCGGATCGACCATATGGTACCAACGTTGATTTGGGAAACGTCTTGGAGACACAGAATGCAACGGAGTAATGTCGCAGTCATGATGAAGATCCCTGTGCAGAGCCAGAAAAAATACAGCAGCTTCCTTTTGAAAGGTAGACGGACGCCCCATAGTAGAGGCAACGGAATGAAAAGGATCATGAGATCGGTACTGAAGGCCAGTAAGTATTGTGTCAACGAAAATAGCAGTATCGGTGATCACTTACGTTACGTTTGTGACTACCAAAGCTAGGTACTTCGAAATGTTGAGCGCACAGTCGTCACCAGGATACGGATAGACTTGCCATAACCGATGAATGGGGTGGCAATGTGTAAGAAATACAATGATGGTGGCGATATATGCGGCGATGCAGACAGCCCCAGTGATCTTGACGAGATTCCTTTGCTGGAGATTGAGGCTGTTTCCGTTAGCACAAAGTGATCAAAAGACGGCAAAGGGACCATACGTGAGCCTTCTATAGAAGAATAGCATACAAGCTTTCACTGTGATACCGAACTGTTAGTATATCCATTTGTACCGTGAGCAGCAGGTCCTTAAAGTAGTACGTACAACACCAGATCAATGTGGTGTACCTAGAAAGTGCGTGTACAAAGTCAGTTCAAATCACACGTGCAGTTGGTACAGGGACATTTCTTACAGAATCCACCCAGCGAGAAGGCATTTGCTACCCACAATGATGCGTTGTTTTTGCTCAGTTGTAAGTTGCAATGCAATCTCATTACTCATTCCTGTAATGGAACCGTATCTACCAATGAGCTCTAGCATGACAAGCTCAGCGGTAAAGAAGAGGGCGCAAAGTATGGTGAAGTAGTCGTCTCCATCCCAGTTCAATCCGACCTGCCAACAACGTGCTGTGATGCGGGAGAATATTATGACCATACCGACTGCATACTCCGTCCATGCTTCAGTCGTGAAAGGGTTGTACATGTTGCTAGGGTGAGCATAACCAGTTGATGGTCCTAATTGAACCTATTCAGGGCAACAAGGCCCTTAACAAGGAGTATTGGTGCAAAAAGTAAACAATAGGAAAAAAACGAAAGACATGCGATTTACGATGGAGATCGAGAATCTCAATCGGGTGTGGATGGATCCGTGAGGGTGCAAAGGCAATTAGTATGGGTGTCCTTGTAGGACAGAAAGCCGTCAGGGCGCAGCAAGTTCCCGCCTTCGCATCCGAAATGATCGTCGCTTCCGTATGCTTTCCAACCTTAGAATATGACCCTGAACAGGCTTGCAAAATCGCCATGAAGATCAAACGGCCCGATAGCTATGACGACGCGGAGACCATTGGTTCGCAATATGCTTTTTGTCTTTGTATGGTCTTATGAGGTGGGGGTAGCAGTCAGCTAGACACCAGCTTGGATTAGCGTCTGTTGGAATCATAGTCCCTAACCATACATGATCGTTCATGCTTTAGCGGCAGGCGAACAAGCGCATGAGGAGTCGTCGCAAATGAAGATCTCGGATTTGTCAGTCTCTGCGGAATCTCTAGGTGGCAGTGTCGAAGCGCGCATACCCGAAGATGCTACGTCAGTCTCAGGCCCGTGGGATCTTTGCACACAAAAAGGAATTCATCGCCACATAGACACTCAATTTGGGTCTGGGGGTATGTCGTTTGGTAGAGCTGCGGACAAACGACAGGGTGTGACAGGTCTAGCGCGAGGTCCGGCCCTTCTTTTGAGATGCTCCTCCGGTCCGCTAAGACGCTTGTGAACCTACTCCAGATCATTGCCGCCGTCCCGCGTCGGCTCAAGCACGCTGTGAAATGCGAGCAATATAACTCGCCCAAAGCTGCCTCTCAATAGACTTTTGTTTGGAACCGCTTTCCTTGGTAGAGCGAATAGATACGACAAGTCCGACCTAAGTTGTTCCACACTGTCAGTATAGTCTCGGAAATTTCCCAAGATGCTGGAATGCGCGATCCCAGAGCATCTCCACAAGGAAAGAACATGCCCGGTTAGCACACCGCCCAACTATGTTCCGCCTTTCCCTGCGTATTGCGCCAGGTTTCCCACCAAGATGGACGAGCTCGTCATGGCAGTTATAGGAGCACAGTATGCCTCTGTCGCTGGAAACGATGGCACGGCCATCTCTAAGCTGCAAGATTTTGTCAATAAAGCGCCAGAGTCAAAGCGACCGTCATTTTGGGAAGTGGCTTCCGTTGTCGACAAGAGAGGCGCGTACAGCATTGCTGTCATTGCATACTGGCGCAGCGCAGACGTGCACAAGAAGTGGCAGCAAGAATCTGGTTTCGATACATGGTGGCAGAGTCCAGACAGGGAACAAGATGGACATGGCTGGTTCCAAGAAGTCCTGCGTCCAACGATCGATCGTTTTGAGACGGTATTTTCGAACCCCGAGAATCCAGAAGGGGCCGCCAACATGCAGGAGAGGATCTCGGGCGAGATGGAAGAACATGCATATTGGGGTAGCATGCGCGACCGGCTGGCAGCTGCTCAAGACAATAGACTTGATGGCACCAAATTGAGCTCTGCCAACAGCAGCGCCAATGGCTCGCCTGTTAGCGACAACGTTCCAAAGCGCGTTCGTGTACCCGGCAAGCCCAACCTGTGTGTAATTCGGTCGGGTCAGGATTGGTCCAACACGCTACCTGAAGAACGCAACCTCTATCTCAATACCATGCATCCCGTGCTCATGGAGGGTATGAGGTTTCTGCGCGATGAAGGTCGCGAAATTGGGTGCTATGCGATGAATTTGTGGGACGTCGTAGACTCTAGGTCGTTCTCAGCAAACCGTGAGAGGACGTTCGGTCTCGGTTACTTTGATGACCTGGCATCTCTCGAGTACTGGAGTAAGAGCCACCAAACTCATATCAATATTTTCGGAGGCTTTCTGATGTATGCGAAGAAGCTCAACAACGTGTTATCGCTCCGACTGTTCCACGAGGTTTACGTGCTAGAGCCGAACCAGCAATTCTTCGAGTACATTGGATGCCATTCCGAGACGAGTATGATGAATGCACATTGAGTGTAGATCCGATAGATGAATTTGCAACAAATGTATGCCTTGAAGATTGACATCTGTAGTTAGACTGGACTGAGATTGGAATCTTTCACCATAGTCTCGGTCAATTGCAAGAGCAACCAGTCCGATGGGCTGGGTGCTAGTAATGCACGAGATTGTGCGTGCTGATGTTGCGCACTATCACGTGTAGTCGAGCAGGGTGATGAGAATTGTAAAGGGTTGTACTTTACAAAGAGTCGAATCGAGACAGATGGAGCCTTGGCGCTGCTGCCTTATCGCCTTATCGGCCTCGGCTGTGAGACGCGACTTGGTACGCGTCAAGCATCGTCGAGGTCTGTCATTTCAAGGCGATCCACGGCCGCTTGCATCAACATGTAGGTGTCCACCGAAAAGTAAAAGGCGCCTCCTGATATGTGGCGAGATCTAGATGTACGGCGCCACGGAGTGGTGACGCGAACAAGCGATCACGCGGAGGGTGGTAACGTACCCCGCGAAACATGATAAGCGGCACGGAGCTTACGCGGGGATATGGCAACGCCATCACTCCCTGGAGGTTGCCTGAGCGTTCCGTCTCGTTTGGAAGTCCTATCTCTGTCTTGAACACGTTTCTGATAGCACCATCCTCTTACCCTGGGTGCGCCATTATCTCCCTCTGCGAAAGTCGTCTGGCTATTGATGTAGCCACTGCCCCTTCACCTAGGCTAGCTCCGAGGAGCTGTTGGTGCCTTGGACAAGATACCACAGATCGATACAACTGTATGTTTCGTTTTATGTTACATGGTCAATTGACACTGACGAGATGCAGGGCCAAGACCTTCAGCCCAATCTTCTGACTTCAGCTCCATTCGGACCACTCCCCAGTCTCGAACATGGCTTGGTGGCGCCGTGACCCGACCTTCAGTCCCATTCAACGTTACGCGCAACGCATCCTACGGTCCCACGAGGCTGCTCTCCGTACGCGATGCTTCTCTCGTACGCCCTCTGAATCTGCACAACATGAAGACAACCATGACAGCAAGCGTCCATCTGGCATGTCTAATCTTGAGTGGCTGCAGCTACAGCAATACCAGCGATGGCGAAAGAGGCTGATGGACGACCCATACCAGGCTATCTTCGGTGCTAGCAACGATATGTTAAGTGGCAAGGGGCTCAAAGACTGGGAATGGACCAGCAAAAGCTTTCCAAAGTGGTTGCTGAGAGAGCTGGACATCCATGACGACACCACATCGTCGCCTAAAAATGATAAAGATGGCAATCCCAATCCGAGATATCCGAGACGAGTTGAGGTCAAGAATGAGAGTTCCCACGAGCACAAGGAACGAGCATCTTACTTCCCACAACCATCCTTCCGGGCAAGTCAACTGCTCCGTGATGACGCGACTGGGGTTGAATCTCCTTCAGACTTCAGGAGACCTCGAGATCAGCCTCATGCCAGGTCTTCCGGCCGCCTTCCAGAAGTGCCGAGCAATCCCGAAGCAAGCGCGACCAACTCTGCATATCCTGCAAGTATTTCACAGAGCTACGATCTCCAGCAGCCTACGCCACCGAAGAGCACAGAGTCCTTCGGAGAGTACATTACGAAGACGAAATCCGATGCGGCCTCAAAGATCGAACAATCTGCCAAGGTTAAATCGAATACGGAAGATTCCTCCATGGATCAATTCCTGACGGAGACGCCTAGACACAAGGATCCGTATTTCGGCGGTGCAACTGAGAATGGTACTTGGAGAGAAACTTCGCTACAAAGGAGATCTTCAAAAGATCTCGTAGCAAAGCCTGAGGTTTATACCGTGCCTCTGCAAAAAGCAGAAGACAAGCCCTCGGCACCGGAGTCAGCGACTGTGGAGATTCATGAGGCACCCTCAGTGTCACCCACAGAAGAACATATTACATCCTTTCCTACAGATTCGGGCCTTCCAAGCACGAGACGGCATGTTCCTCAAGAACAACTTTCAACACAACAAGAGCCTGCCCCCCAAGGCACTACTTCATCTTCCCGGTCTACGTCCAAGATTTTGAGTCAACTGCCTGAAGATGACTTGGACTTCTTGAGTGCAGATCACATACGTGCAAACATGGCCGCGAGAAGGAGCAAAGTCCTTAGCGACGAGCTCAGAAAGGCCGAACGGGCCAAATTAGAGAAGACTTTTGAGGATACTCACAAGAAACACCATGTCATCGATCCGATGCTTGAGGCCAAGGTCATCAACGATCAATTCGTCCGTCGAGTTGAAAGACAAATGCAGCAGCCAGAGAAACCACTTGAGTCTCAGGAGATTAACAAACCGCAAACAAGTACACCGATTGGGAAAACACATTCCGTGGAGACCGAAAGTCAATTGGAGTCTAGTGTCGAGCGAATGAAGTCATGGCTTGAAGAAAGCGGCGCCAAGTTTTCCAGCTTCTTTTGGCAAGACCCTACTGAGGAGGCGGACGTGGTAAAAACACGGCAATTCTTCGACAAGATCTTGGCGCGTATCCGTAAAGGCCGTACGACTATGAAGCAAGTGATTGATGATCTAGAGGCCGAAATTCCAGCATCTAAGCCTCTCTTGAAGCGCATGAAAGCGGACGAGGATCTACTGGACTCTGCTATCAATGCCCTTCGGCAGGGTCCAGGAACTGGCAAGATGCATTCCTTGACACCGAAGAAAGTCAGAGCTATCCAAGAATTGCGCCTTAAGTACCAGAGCACAGACAATGATCTTATTAAGGCATACGCACAGCTCGAGGAACTGGGCAAGTCGGATGCGGCAAAGAACGTGTCTTCAGCATTCAAACGGCGACTCAATATTGCATCAAAAATCACCCAGAAAAATGCTCACCTTACGCGTTGTTTGATCTGGAGTCTACAGGGTCATCTCGAGGACGCGGAAATTGCCCAGACTATGCTACCAAACTACAAAGCTGTCGCAAACAGCTTGTTGACCCTTAGAGACACACAATTGGCTTTAGCGCGATTGCTAGAACGTGCCATGCTCATTTATGGTGTAGCACCGAATACGTGGGAAGACATCAAAACCTCCAGTAAACATCAGAATGCGCAAGATCCGCAGGATCATGGGCAGTCAGCCCAAGGTAAAGTACACACTGGTATGACTGAGGTTGAAAAAGCTCAGCTTCGCGCTAAGGTAGCAGCTGAAGAACGTCTTGCCAACGAGGTTGATGCACAGAAGTCCGCTATGCGTGGGCTCTCAGACGATGGATACGCGCGCATACCGAAGATGGAACTGAAAAAGTCGTTTGAGGAGCGAGGACCTCTTGCTCACAGCCTATTCAGGCCTTTCGGACCCGTATTGGAGAGCCTAGAGAAGGAGATGCCGTCCAAAGTAGATACAACCGAGGTCGAGGAGAAAGCGATTCACCAACTCAACGACAAGACACCTGTTGATGACACCCAAAAGGCATATGTGGATACGCATGGATCAATTGCTGTTGACCACGAGCAGACAGAGATCCCGATCAAGGATAACAAGGCCGAGGAAGATCATGAAGTGAACAAGTTTGATATGCTGAAGGATGATCCTACAATAGGCGAGACGTTGACCCAGGTGAACGAGCTAGACAGCTCAGAACTGGTGGCTGAGAAAGAGGTTACATCAGTTGCTGCTCTAACCGAAACTGCTCAGGATACCATGACTGCTGCTCACACTCCATCATCTCCTGTATCCGCTACCTTGGATCCTAAGCCGGGCAAAGCGTCTGATGAGACGTTTGTTGAGGTATCGTCTCCGGTCACATCACCTCGTTCATCAGGAGCGGACTCACAGATGCTTTACACGATCCTTGTGCACGATCCGGACACTGGCAAGCTTTCGCTCACCACCTCTACATCGGTTGTACCTCGTGACCTTCCTCCTGTGATACCACTACACGAAGCGCTATCGCAGCTCGATCAGCCTGCGAAGTTCATTCCACATATCAAAGACGACCTCGAGATTGTCACTGCGAAGAAGGATATGCTTATACTGCGCGATGCTCTCAACCCCACATCGCCCACTAAGCCCTTCGCCACTGTGAGCACCTCGAGCGCAATGGAAGGCAACACTGACAATACGGTGGAGAGAGGTAATATCAATCCCATAGATGGGACGACCCGTCTCTCACCTACTGGCTACGTCGGACCAGAGGAGAGCCAAGAACAACTTGAGAAAGAGTTCACTGAGCGTAGGCAAGCTGCTGAGCGCGTTGTCAGCACAGAGGAAAGCAGTAACGAACAAGGACCAGCCCAACAGGAGACCAAAGGCAAGAGGAAAGGCCGCAAAGGAGCTGGTGTAGTCAAGACAGCCATCTGGGCTGCCGCAGTATGCTATGTGGCTGGCGTGCTTGGAGAAGTTGTTAGCTGAGTTGCTTTACGAGAGGTGATTCTCCACTCGCTGTCTTTTGCTATCCTTTTTTGTTTGGCGTTCGCGAGGCTGTTCACCGCTCTGGTTTGGGTCGAGTGTGTATGTAAACCATTGTTCTAGTGTCATATCTTGTTATCATACCTGCCCTTCTTGTACATTTCAACTTACTTCCTAAACACACCGTCACAGACGACAGCTAAACGGAGGACACAGCTTTCAGATGAATAGAATCACAAGCACCGGATCACACCATCTACTACGGAGCGCTTGGCCTTGTCAAAGCTATAGAGGCAGCACGAAGTACCTAGATGTTTCTGGTCCAACTCATATTTGACCTTATCGTAGCTCTTGATGGGTGAAAGCTTGGGTTGTCGTGAAAAATTGCGCCGATGCTGAAGCAGTGAAACAAAGAGATCATCGCACTATCTACATGCAAGTGTTTGGAGTCTGTGTAAGTCTCAGATGCATTTCGTACGTGCATGTTGCTTATTGTCCCTTAGATCAAATGTACAAACCAAGTCAATCGTAGCGATATTTACAAACGGCGGAACTGCACGCAAATTTGGATAGCTCCACGCTTACTACAGCTTTAAATAATGCACGGCCTCTCAACGGCTGTTTCGATGCAGGTTTGTTGGTTTAGCTCTATTCCTATAGAATTTTGCTTAATTTTGCAAGGTCGAATATTTTCGTGAAAGCTATTTTCTGCTTTTCATGCTCTTTCACTACAC